CCCTAAACCCTAAACCCTAAACCCTAAACCCTAAACCCTAAACCCTAAACCCTAAACCCTAAACCCTAAACCCTAAACCCTAAACCCTAAACCCTAAACCCTAAACCCTAAACCCTAAACCCTAAACCCTAAACCCTAAACCCTAAACCCTAAACCCGAACCCTAGTCCTCCAAACCCTAGTTTACCCCGCCCTCACTAACGTAGTCTCAACCCAAAACCACCATCACACATTTCCAAAAAAACCCAAACCGCGGCCTACGCCCGCGACGACGTGAAGGTCCGGGTCGCCGCCGGCACCCAGAGGTTCGCGAAACGCGCGCGTACACAGATGCAAATGCGTGTTTCCTGCGTGTACGCAAAATTCCAACGTCGTCGACCGCCAGTGTAGTGGTTTTGGTGACCCCTTTACTCGCGCAACTTCCAGGGCGGCAAAAGCGTCATGTTCCAGAGAAACTGCTAACCCTAGTTTCTAGCCCTAGTTTCAGGGAGGCGAGTGCGGCGACGCGCGCTGGGAGACGACGCGGGACGACGACGGCGACGTGGGTGAATCGCTTTGCATTCTATATCTTTCAAATTCAGTTTCACCTCTTTCTAGGTTTCTAGGTTTCGACGCTTTCACCATTCGTTCACAGACGCACCGCGACGACGGTGCTGCGTCGCGCGAGGAGCAGGACTTGAGACGAGGAAGAGGCGACGAGGATTGAAGACGCCGCGCGCTGGGCGTTGACGTCGGTGGCGTCGGTGACGTCATCAACATCATCGAAGAACTTGTCCGCGGTGAAATCGAGCTTTGCGATAATTCGACCATCGGTGACGTCATCAACATCATCGAAGAACTTGTCCGCGGTGAAATCGAGCTTTGCGATAATTCGACCATCGTCGAGCGCGCAGACGTCGAAACCGACCCCGTCGCGAGCGGCGGCGACGCGGCACGAGACAAAGGCGCCGGGAATTGTCGTCGATGGATGAAGCGCGCGACAGTGCGCGGAGTCCATGGTATATAGTACGCACCGAGCGCGCGCATCGACGGCAAAAATCAAGTCGTTGGCGGCGAGGAGGTACATCTCGTCGTCGTCGTCGTCGGCGTCGTCGTCGTCGTCGTCGTCTTCCTTCGAGCGAGCGATGGTGAGAAAATCGCTCGCCACGCCTCGTATGACTCCATTCGCGCTCGGTATTGCGCCGACGTACCCACGCACGTCTGCGACCGCACCGTTTTCGAGATGCGGTACCGACCACTCCAACACGCGCGACTGTCTAGCGCTTGCATCGGTGAACGTTGTAAGTAATCGAAGCGAGTCGGGCGCCATCGGCGAGCGCGCCAAGCGAGCAAAGCACACGCCGCCGAACCCATTCCAAGTCACGATGTTCGTGATTGGCTCCACAGTAAGCGATGTTTTCGAATTTTCTAGACGAACGCGCCAGAGTTTGAAATTTCCGACGACGTCCGTGACAACGAACGCGCCGCCGTCGGCGCTCGTCGCGAGCGCGTCCACGGCTTTGACGGCGCGAAATCCATCGCGTGACGCGAGCGCCGAGGGACCGAGCGCGCCGTCGAAAAACGTTTGCACGAATACCGTGCCATCTAAAGCTGCGGTGACCAAGACGTCACAAATCTCGGCGCCTTCGACGCCTTCAAACCACTTCGCGGCGGTTATTCTTCGCGAGTGTGCGTCCACCTCCGTCGCGGCGGCGGCGGACATCGTGTCGCAGCCGACGGTCCAAAACCTCGGCTTACTCGTCACGTACGTCGCCACCAGTCCATGATGACGATTAAATTGCAATATAGATACCGCATCGTTCGTTTTGTCCGTCGTCGACGGCGCGTCGCACGAGTCGACGCGCGCGCCGTCGGCTCGCCAGACGCTGACGCGTCCGCTCGCCTCGCCCGTCGCCACCACACCATCGTCTCGCGCCGTCATCACCGTCACGCGCGATTCGTGCGGGCCGAATTTCGTCTTGTTTATCGAAGACGAAGATGTATTCACCGCCGAACGTCGACGCGGACTCGTCGGCGTCGTCTTCAGCTCCTCGCGCTTCGCCACGCCCGCCGCGCGTTTGTTCGCCCGTTCGTCTTTCCGCATCGATGCCCGCCAATCGTACCTCGCCGCGCACGCTAACAAGTCCTTACGATCGACCATGTCGTACGCCGCGTCTCGCGCCGCGCACAACGCGTCGTACGCGCGCGAGCACCCGCTGTTGCGATCGGGATGTGCACGCACGAGGCGTTTTCGAAACGCCCGTCGGACATCCTCGCGCGTGACGTCCGCCGCCGCGCCGTCGAGGCCGAGAATTTCAAAGCAGGACGACGACGCCGACGACGACGCGGACGACGACGATTGGTCGCACGGGTCGGGCGGCCCGGCCTTCGTCACCATGGACGGCAACGAGCGACGCGCAGTGCCGAAAGAACGACCGGGAAAAACGCACGACAGAAAAAAAGCTTGAAAATGGTGCTGCACTAATATTCCCGATAAATATTACGACTGCTGCCCTCTGCAGAAAGACGTGGTCGCCGGCGTCGCCATCGCCGTCGGCGTAGCGCTGTGCATCATCCAGTGGGCGATTTATCGCTCGTGCTACACGAAAAAGCTCATCAAGAGGATTGGCACGTGGTCGGATCCAGCCATCGTCGCCGCCGCGCAGAAAGCCGCGCTCAAGCATCCGAAACTCTCCATAGTATTCTAGTATTCGCAAAAGCTACAGTACTTGCTACTTAGTTACTACCTAGTCGATTAGTCCGCGACTAGTTCGCGATCAGCTCAGAAAATCCTAGTCACTTTTTCCGCCGCGCCGCTCCCTTGAACCTCGGTCTACCTTTGTCGTATTTCCGTTCCGGTTTTGTCGTGGTTTGCTTCCGCGCCGTCGCGTACGTCACTTTCATTGCCCGTCCACCGACGAGTTCTTCTCCGTCTCTTAGCAACGCACGCTCTAAATCGCCATCACTAGCGAATTCAATGTGCGCGTAGCCACGGAAATCGCCGGTTTCCTTGTCCACACCCATGCGAACATCCGTAATAGCGCCGTCGCTTGGAGAAAACGTTTCTCTAAGAATGTCCTCCGTGACGCTGTAATCCAAGTTTGCCACAAAGGCGATGTGTTGACCTTCAACTTTACCCACATTAAGCTTAGGTTTGGGCGCTTCAGGTGTTTTTGGCTCGTACGGTTTCACGACGAGTACCATTCCGTCCCATTCGGTGTCGTGCCATCGCAAAGCCTCGTTCGCGATGTTCGCCGAGGCGAAGGTGACTATTGCGATACCGCGGAAACGCCCGGTATCCGGAAAAGTCATGCAATCGACGCTTTCGACGGTGAGCGTATCATCCATGAATGCCTCTTCGATGTCTTCTTCTGTCTTGTTGAAGGGAATACCGCCTACGAAGACTTGTCGGGCTCGCAGCTCGCGTTCTTCGGCCGTCAAGGCTCGGTCGTCGTTTGGCTTCTTCGGCGCCTCTTCGTCTAAGCTAGAAGATGATGATGAACTCGACGAAGATGAGCTTTCACCGCTCGAAGAAGCAGACTCGCTCTCGCTCTCGCTCTCGCTCTCGTCGTCAGCTTTTGCCGCAGCGACTTTCTTCGCTCTTCGCTCTTCGTTCTTCGCCTCAGCCGTGGGCTCTTCTGCCACCTTCTCGCTCCTCTTCTTTTTTCTCGCCTCAATCGCTTCGGCTAGTTTCTCGCGTTTCGTCATCTTTCGCTTCCGTTCCGGAGCGGGAGCATCCTTCTCTGCTTGCGTCGCGCAGCACTCGGCGCACGCGCTCCTCGCCTTGCGAAGCTGTCGAGGCGGAAACGCTCGAAGGGGTAACGACCTTGCGCAAAGCTTGCACGCGCGCACGCGCGACGCGTCTGCGTCATTCACGTTCACATCGTCGACGTCCTCATCGTCTGCATTCGCGAGCGCCCGCGACGCCGCGTCTCTCGCGCGCTTCGCCGCCCGCTTACGAGCCGCTCGCGCAGCCTTGCCCTCGACGACGTCGCGCGGCGCGGGCGCGCGCGCGGGCGCGGGCGCGTCTCCGTCTTCGCGATCGTCATCGCTTTCGTCGTCCGAATCCGGTTTGTTCACCGCGCTCGCGCGCGTCATAGACGCGAAGACGCGACTCGCACTGCCGCCGCCGGGACGGAATGCCGCGCTCGACAGCTTTCAGTGTCGGTCGCGCGCGTCCGTGGACGCATGGTGGTGAGTTTTCGAGACGCCGACGCGTCGACGACGCGCGCGTTCAAGCGCGCGAAGCGCGCGCTGGAGCAATGCGCGACGGCGAGCTCGTCCGCGCGCGCGTTCGTGAGCCCGGGCGAACGCATCCCAGGGATCGATTCGTCTGAAGGTTTCTTGCGAGGACACGGCACGCGACCGATCGCAGAGGACAATGGAACCGACGGTGACGGCGACGATGATCGTGGGTTAGTGGCCACGACCGCGGGCGTGGTTGAACGCGTGAATAAACTCGTCTCAGTGCGAGCGTTGAAAGCGCGCTATGCGCCAGAAACGGGTGACGTCGTGCTTGGGCGCGTGAAAGAGATATCTGGTAAGCGTTGGATTTTAGACGTGAACGCGCGACAGAATGGGGTATTGCAGCTCAGTGCGGTGCATTTGCCCGGGAACGTGCAGAGACGACGGAACGATGTGGATGAGTTGAACATGCGCATGCTGTACGCCGAAGACGACGTCGTGAGCGCCGAAGTGCAGAGCGTGTACGCCGATGGCGCCGCCGCGCTGCACACGCGAAGCTTGAAGTACGGTTGCTTGAAGAATGGTCAGCTCGTGCGAGTGACTGCGAATTTAGTGCGCCGATTGCCTCAGCATTTTCACAGGCTTAAGATGGACGAGTTTCACGACGGCGTCGCCGCTGAAGCGAACGACGTGGAAATCTTACTCGGGTGCAACGGTTTCATTTGGGTTGGTGCGCCGAGCGGCGCCACCGCACCGCGCGAGTCGGAGATTCGCCGCGAGCCGAGTGATGTCGTGGACGAGCTGCGCGAGCTTCACGGCGATGAAGTGTCTCCGGTTCAACGCGAAAATATATCCCGCGTGGCAAATTCAGTGCGCGCGCTCGCCGAGCTGTTCCTTCCCATCTCGCCGCCGGCGGTCATGGATGTTTTTAAAGCGTCGAGCGAGTGTGGGGTGGCGGTGAGGGATATGCTGAGCCAAGGATTCTTAACTCGTATCCTCGAGCGAGAATTCGAAAAGCGCGTCGCCGACTGAATATCAACGAATGGAAAACAATCGATCGAGAGACCGCTAGCGCAAATATTCGTGTTTGTGATGCATAGTTATATCTCCTACGCGAGCCCTACGCGAGCCCTACGCGAGCGACAAATTCTTTGCCAATCCGACGATGTATCTAGTGCCTACGCGAGCCCTACGCGAGCCCTACGCGAGCGACAAATTCTTTGCCAATCCGACGATGTCGCCGAACACCCCGGCAGCCGTGACCGCGGCGCCGGCGCCAGGACCTCGAACGATCAACGGGGTCGATCCTCCCGTGGGACCGTAACGCGCCGTTTTGATTTCGAAAATATTATCAGCGCCCGAAAGCGTAGCGAAGGGATGCGCCTTGGCGAATTCCACGAGACGAACTGATGCCGAGCGCGCCTTGACGTCGACGTGACCGACGAAGCGAAGAACGCATCCTTTCTTCGAAGCGTTCGCCGCGGCCTGAGCCATCGCCGCGTCATTTTCAGCGTACCGTTCGAGAAATTCATCCGCGGAGCACGACGCAAGCTCGGAGGGTACCATTGATTGCACCACGACGTCGTCCAGGCTGAGCGCGACGCCGCACTCGCGCGCGGCGATGACGACTTTTCTCGCGACGTCTAAACCGTTGAGATCCTCGCGTGGGTCCGGTTCGGTGTACCCAGCCGCCTTTGCGAGCGCTACGGTCTCCGAAAATGCGCTTTCGCCGTCCCAAGTGTTGAATAAGAAGCTCATCGTTCCAGAAAAAATGCCTTGCACGGATTCGATTTCGTCTCCCGTCGCGACGAGCGTTCGGAGCGTACTGACGATGGGTAAACCGGCGCCAATCGTCGCTTCGACAAACCACTTCCCTCCTCCATTTTTAGTCGCGTCCATGCACCGAGTGTAATACTCGAGATTGCCGCTATTTACCTTTTTGTTGCACGTCACCACATGCCAGCGACGCTCGAGCCACGGGGCGTACAACGCCGACACGTCTTCGCTCGACGTGGCGTCCACAACACACACGGTGGCGTTTGGCGAGGAGCAGCACTGCATGATTTCATCGTCGCTCGGCACTCGTCTGTCCGCGCTCTCGCGAACGACGCTTTCTTTCTGCTCGCCCTCGAACGCGATGATTTTGGTTGACGAACAAAAGCCGACGAGCTTGATGTTCGCGCGCGACGCCGCGTTCGCGCGCAGCTGCGTCACCAACGCCGATCCCACCAGACCGGTGCCTCCGCACACGAAAACTTCGACGCGATCGCTCATGTAAAATTTCGGGCGTCGGTGAGTGGCGAGCGCGTCACCTTGTGGGCGAAGCGCCGCGCCCAGGGCGCGGCGACGGAACGACTTCGCGGCGAGGTAGCGCGTGACCGCGACGAGCACGCTCATAAGACTATATTTTATTACGGCGACAGCTACGAACGTGTCTACGGTTGTTCGAGCGCCGGCGCCGACGCCGGCACGGAGCCTCGGATGCGCTATACCCACATCCTCGGGGCCAACGGTGCGCCACAACCGCGCGCGTCGCCGGCGGCGTCGATCGCCGCTAGGGAGGTGGCGACGATGCGCGGTGGCGACGACGACGGCGATGCGCGTTCTCGCGCTCGCGTGGACGACGGCGCGACGACTACACGACCGTTAAGTCTTGACGACGACGACGACGACGACGACGAGATTTTTCACATCGCGTTCGAGGCTGCGAAGAAAAGGAAGGTGTCGGCGGTACCGGACGGCGTGTTGACGCCCCGACCGAGCGCAAACGCGTGCGAGTCGACGCCCGAAACATCGTACGGCGGAACGACAAAGTCGACGGGCGGTAAAAAGTCCAAGGCCCGCGTGCTCGTCGAAGACGGCGACGTGCGCGCGTTCGTGTCAAACATGTCGGCGAAACCGCAGTGCGTGGGCGTGAAATGGCTCGATCGACGCGAAGAGGACAACACATCACCGCCGGACTTTGAGGTCGATGGCACCCTCGCCGCGGTACTGGCTCGTTGCGGAACGACGCGCCTCTATTCGCATCAAAGCGCGGCGATTAAAGCCGCGCGCTCGGGGCGCTCGGTTGTCGTTTCGACGCCCACGGCTTCGGGGAAATCGATATGCTACGTGGTGCCGATTTTCGAAGCGATCATGGACGAAAGGTCGAAGCAGTCCAAGGCGCTGCTGATGTTTCCGTTGAAGGCTCTCGCGAACGACCAGTTACACAAGATGCGCCGCGTCGTGCAAGCGGCGCAAGAGTTCAAGTACGAAATCGATGAACGGATGAAGAAGCACGGTGATGCGACAGCGAAGGCGAAGAAAGAGTTCATGAAGTTGAACTTTCCAGACATCGACATGAAACGATTAGAGCGCCTCGCCGACGCAAAGTTGGCGGTGTGCGACGGCGACACCGACGAGGCGGCGAAGAAACAGATAAAAATTCAAGGCACGCAAATCATCTTGACCAATCCCGATTCATTGCATCACGCCATGCTTCCAGGTCACAGGACGTGGGGTAAAAAGTTTTGGGGGTCGTTGCGGTACATAGTCTTGGACGAGGCGCACACGCACACGGGCGTGAGTGGCAGTCACGTCGCCAACGTTCTTCGGCGACTTTCGCGCGTGTGCGCGTCGTGGGACCCGACGACAAGACCAGAGTTCATCTGTACGTCGGCGACGATCTCTAACCCAGTTCAGCACATCCGACGCCTTACGACGCGCACGCCAGTGTGCGTGGATATCTCCGGCGCGCCGAGTGGTGAGAAGGCGATGATTTTGTGGCAACCGCCCGAGTCGGAAGCGGGCGGGATGAGCGCGGCGACGTGGTTTCAGCAACCAAATCTTGCGAGTCTTTCGGGTGAGGATGCTTCGGGCACGCAACGTCAGCGTCGTTCGCCCTATGCCGAAGCTGCAGATATCGTTGCCGATTTAGTGCGAAGCAAAATACGCTGTCTCGTCTTCGTCAGCGCGCGAACGTTGGCGGAGACGGTTTCGCGCGACGCAAAAGCAAATTTAGCGAAAAAGAACCCAGAATTGGCCTCAAAAGTCGACTCTTATCGAGCGGGATACAATCAAATTGAACGAAGAAAACTAGAACGTCGTTTGCAGAACGGCGAAATCAGCGCGCTTGTGTGCACGAGCGCTTTGGAGATGGGCATCGACGTCGGATCGTTGGACGCAACCGTGCACGTGGGAGTTCCTGAAACGGCATCGGCAATGTGGCAGCAAGCTGGTCGTGCGGGACGTCGCCGAGGGGCATCTGTCGCCATCGTCATTGCGTGCGAGCGTCCTCTGGACTACCACTACGTCACCAGGCCTGGTGAATTGTTTGAGCGACAGAGCGAAGAGGCGCTCGTCGACCCACACAATTCTGCAATTTTAGAGATACATTTGCCGTGTGCGGCGAAAGAAGTCGCGCTTGATTTGCGAGGTGATGACGCAGTCATGTTCACGGCGAGTCGCGATGATGCGGCGCCGGGAATGACGTCGATTGCGCCAAACTTCAAGGCGCCTTTGCATCTCGCCATTAAGCGCGCGTTGGGCTCGTCGACGTCGGCGCGCACGTGCGTTTTCAACAAAACGACAAAGACGATCGAGTGCGCGCCGAACGTATATCCGCACAGATCTGTCATGCTACGCGGCGTGCAGAGCGGCGAAGCTTGGAAACTACTCGAGTCCCCTAGCGGGTCGTTGGTTGAAGAAATTGAAGGCCATCGCGCTCTCGCGAGACTGTACGTGGGTTGCGTATTCATCGCTCGACGGAAGGCTTTCATTGTACAGCGGCTTGACATTGAAAACCGTATCGCGCACGCGGCACCTTACGAAAAGTTCGAAACGACGCAGACGCGCGAACGGACGGAAGTTGAAGTTCTCGCGCCAGACCCAGAGCAAGGCGTCGGCGAATTGGTTTCGAAGAATTGCGCCGCCACGCGTGTCCATCTCGGCGACATCGTCGTCTCTGAAAAAGTACTCGGGTACGCCAGGAGTGATCATAAAACTGGAAAATTGCTCCACGAAGAGATTTGGAAGACGCCCGTGATTGCGGCGCAGTACCGCACTCGAGCGGTGTTTTTCAATCTACCCGATGAAGTCGTCAATCGCCGCGTCGCAGCAGACGCGCTCCGGGAAGCGACGAATGGGGTCGCGAACGTGTGCGGTGGACTCGTCGCGAGTATCGCGATGTGTGATACGAGAGACGTCGCCGGTGCTACGCAGCTCCCGAACCCGAATGAAACCGGACCCGCCGCCGCGCGTATTTTCTTATACGACACGACGCCGGGCGGCATCGGCATCGCCGAAAAGGTGTTTGAGAATTGCGAAGAATTGTGGCGACGGGCGCTGGAGACTTTGAAAAGCTGTGGTTGTGCGTCAGGATGTCCATCCTGCGTACAAGCGGGCAGAAGAGGCCGCGACGCCGGCTTCGCGAAGAGAGACTCGAAGATTGTCCTCGACGGCTTGCTCGGCACCTGGCTCGCGGCGTAGTGGAATCTTGGATAGACCACGTTATCACACGATTGATTATTTTACATAGACATAAATGTACTTATAATACGTGATGATACATTTCTCCCTCCCCGAGCGCGTCGATTTTATCCAAACGCCCGACCCATCGTCGCGCGTCGTCGTCGTCGTCGTCGTCGCGCGTCGCAGACCGCGACGCTCGCGACCGCGCGCGCTGTCGGACGTACACGCACACGTGCGTCGCTTGATCGAAGCGAAGCGCCATGCTCGCGCGAACGCCCGCCACCGCGCGTCCCGCGTCTCGCGTGTGCCAGACGAAGACCTCGCGCGCGGGCGCGCGCGCGGCGCGCGCGCGCGCGACGCCTCGACGCGTCGTGCGCGCGGCGGTGGCGGATGAAGCGTCGGAGTCCGAACTCGAACAGCGCATGAAGGAGGTGATGCAGATGGAACAAGACATGAAGGTCGAAAAGGAGGAGAGCACCATGCGCCAGACGTTCCCGCTCGCGGCGGTGATCGGGCAGGAAAAGATCAAGTCGGCGCTGCTTTTGGGAGGGATCGACCCGACGTTGGGAGGGATCGCGATCTCGGGACGACGAGGAACGGCGAAATCCATCATGGCTCGCGGTTTGCACGCGCTGTTACCGCCGATCGAGTGCGTGAAGGATTCGTATTGCAACGCCGACCCGTCCAAGCCGGATGAGTGGGAGGAGGGGTTGAGCGAAAAGGTAACGAGGAACGCCGACGGGAACGTGGAGACGATCATCCGCGACGCGCCGTTCGTGCAGCTCCCGCTCGGAGTGACGGAAGATCGTTTGATCGGTACGGTCGACATCGAAGAGTCCATGAAGCAAGGGAAGACGATTTTCCAACCCGGGCTGTTGGCGCAGGCGCACAGGGGCATCCTTTATGTCGACGAAATCAACCTCCTCGACGACGGGGTCGCCAACTTGTTGCTTTCCGTGCTTGCCGAGGGTGAAAACGTCGTCGAGCGCGAAGGCATCACGCTCAAGCACCCGTGTAAGCCGCTTTTGATCGCGACGTTTAACCCGGAGGAGGGTAACCTTCGCGAGCACCTGTTGGACCGCATCGCGGTGACGCTCTCGGCGGATCAGATGTTGACATTTGAGGACCGCGTCGAGGCGGTTAGCCAAGCGATGAACTTCCAAAACGCGGCCGAAAACTCGGTGAAGAGCGTGGAAGAGGCGACGGAAGGTATCAAGACGAACATCATCTTGGCGCGCGAGTGGTTGAAGGATTGCACGATTTCGCAAGATCAAGTCGAGTACTTGGTGCGCGAGTCCATTCGCGGTCAGATTCAAGGTCATCGCGCCGAACTTTTCGCCGTCAAGGCGGCCAAGGCACTCGCCGCACTCGACGGTCGATCCAAGGTGAACGCTGACGACTTGAAGGAAGCCGTGCGATTGGTTATCGTACCGCGCTCTGATATTTTGCAAGACGCGCCGCCGCCGGATGAAGACGACATGCAGGAACCGCCGCCGCCACCGCCGCCGCCGCAAGATAACGCGGAAGACGAAGACCAAGATGAAGAGAACGAGGAAGAGAACGAGGAAGACGAGGAAGAAGAGGACGATATTCCGGACGTTCCGGAGGAGTTCATCTTTGACGCCGAGGGCGTCATCCTCGACAAGGATGTGACTCAGTTCGCGCAACAAACCAACAGACAAGGCGGCCGCTCCGGTCGTTCGAAGAGCGTCATTTTCTCCACCGATCGTGGTCGCTATATTAAGCCCATTTTACCCAAGGGTAAGACGATTCGTTTGGCGGTTGACGCGACGTTGCGCGCCGCTGCTCCGTACCAAAGCGCTCGACGCGAGCGCGATCCCAACGCGGAGAAGAAGAAGGTTTATGTCGAAAAGGGTGACATGCGAGCGAAGAAGCTCGCGCGTAAATCCGGTGCATTGGTCATTTTCCTCGTCGATGCCTCCGGTTCGATGGCGTTGAACAGAATGCAAGGCGCGAAGGGCGCCGCACTTTCAATCTTGGAAAGCTCGTACCAAAGCCGCGACATGGTGTCCATCGTCCCTTTCCGAGGTGACGAAGCTGAAGTGCTCTTGCCGCCGTCGCGATCGATCGCGATGGCGAGAAACCGTCTCGACACCATGGCGTGCGGTGGTGGTTCCCCCTTAGCGCACGGGTTGTCCGTCGCGGCGCGCGTCGGACTCAACGCCATGTCCACGGGAGACGTCGGACGCGTCATGATTGTGTGCCTCACCGACGGTCGCGCCAACGTGTCCATCAACAAGTCGCAACGAGATCCGGAGTATCTCGGCCCCGACGCCAAGAAGCCCACGAACGAAGAGCTCGAACAGGAAGTGGCTGACACGGCGGCGAGAATCGGCGCCGCCGGTATGTCGGTGCTCGTCATTGACACCGAAAACAAGTTCCTTTCGTCTGGCACCGCCGAGAAGCTCGCCCAAAACGCCCAAGGCAAGTACTACTACTTGCCGAACGGTACCGAGAGAGAGATTGCGGCGGCGACGGCTTCGGCAATGGCGGAAGCCAAGTCGATTTAGGAGAAATTTGCGCACGATACGATTTAGGAGAAATTTGCGCACGATATAGAAAACCACGTTTATTCAACAAGCACCCGTAAAGCACTCGTAAACCCTCGCGCGCGGCGAAATTCGCGCGGACGTTCGTTCGTTTGAACTTTCGAGACCGACGCGTCAGACGACGACGCGCCACGCGACGACGACGAGGACGAGACGAGGCGAGACGGCGACGCGTGAGGCGTCGATCGAGAAACCCGTAGACCGATCGCACGCACCCGAACGCCTCGACCGTGTGCACGACGATCGATAGACGACACCGTAGACGATGAGCGACAAGAAGAGCTCGCTGTCGAGCAGCTCGCGGCGAATCCAGAAAGAGTTGGCGGAAATATCGCTCGAACCGCCGACCAACTGCAGCGCGGGACCGAAGGGGGATAACTTGTACGAGTGGGTGTCGACCATCGTCGGTCCGAGCGGTACGTTTCGCGTGAAGGATGAAGATTGTTGCGCCCGTCAACCACCTGGTTGGGCATTTCAAAAAACGAGGACGCGAACGACGCGCGGTCGACTTACCAAACTCGCTCGGTTTCGCGCCGATCACGCAGGTTCGCCGTATAATGGGGGTGTATTTTTTCTCGACATTCAATTCCCGACCGATTATCCATTCAAGCCGCCCAAAGTGACGTTCCGCACGCGAATCTATCACTGCAACGTCAATAGCTCTGGACAAATTTGTTTGGACATTTTGAAGGAACAGTGGTCGCCCGCGCTGACAATTTCCAAGGTTCTTCTGTCCATTTGCTCGTTACTGACGGATGCGAACCCGCACGATCCTCTCGTCGGCAGCATCGCGCAGCAGTTCTTGCAAGATAAGGAAAATCACGACAAGACGGCTCAAGAGTGGACCAAGGTACGTTCGGCGGAGCACGTCTGAAAGACGAAACGACTGACGACGCGCGCGTTCACAGAGATATGCGCAGGGATGAAACAAACGCGCGCGGCGACACGATACGATGCGATACAATACGCGTGGTAGATTTCTTCACGTGTAATATAGAAGTTACAGTCTGCTAAAACGTTCACGAAACTCACTCCGGCGGCGCGACGTACACGGGTAACGCCACGGAATCTGGCGTCTTGATGTAGATGCTCTGGATGTTCCCCCACCTTCGCGGAATCTTGCTTACCGCTCCTTCGATCGCCGCCATGGTGTTTTCTACGATTTCGTCCACTTCCATCGTGCTCTTGCCGACTTTGACGTTGACGCACGTGCCTCCGGAGACGTGCAAGTACGTCGCGCCGACAGCGCGCTGAATCTGAGCCACCCAATCCTTTTTAGTTAAATCGACCGCCACCGGCTGCTTCTTCTTTTTGAAGAAATTCTTACCCAGTAACTTGGGCAACAGAGGCAACACGCGATCATCGGCTAAGAACATGTCGTACGAGTCGCACAGCTTGCGCTTTTGCTCGTGCGCCTTGTAGTTTGCCTTCAACTTGGATATCCCCAACACTTTTGCAACCCCGCACTTGGCCATCTCCGCCACGCGCTTCTTCGCCTCCTTATGTCCTTCGCCCTGATGATCCTTCACGATCAAGCACAACTCCGCGCTGGCGAGATCGAGCAACGGGTGCGGAATCGGCACCGGCACCAGTCGCGCGCTCGTCGCCTCCTTGGGTGTCCTTCGCAGCGAGATGAGCGCGCTGAACGTCTCGGCCTCGTCTTCGAACAGAGCGCTCTGGGGTTTTTCGCTCGCAACCTTCTCTATGTGCGTCGCCAGTGCTTCGATCGCCTTGCGCACTTGATCGACGTCCACGCGCGAGGCATCGTTCGCGCCAGCCGTCGCCGCCGCCGCCGCCGAAGCGTTTTTGGTTGTGGATTTCGTCGATTTCTTTGACGCGCTCGAGCGCGCGGGCGGTTTCGCCATGATGATTGCGCGCGCGCGAACGTTTATGTTCGTCTCCTCCGCGATCGAGCGTCGCAAAGGCGTTCGCACGGGCGTCGAGCGTCGCAAAGTGATGGGCGGTGGGGTTGTCGTCGTTCCTTCGGCGCTCGCTCCTGCGGCGCGCTTAAGTTATGCTTTGTTCGCCGCGTTACAAAGTCGTCAATGGCTAATTTTTGCGATGATGCTGAATCTGCGCGATTTTATTCCTGCCCTGCGGCGCGCACCGCGGCGTCGACGTCGCAATACAAAGACCCGCTCGCGACGCCCTTGAACGACGTGACTTCGGTGAACAGACGACTCAAATTTTCATCCAAGCTCTTCAAACTCGCGCCGTTGCGAAGCTCGTTGTCGTCGAAGTGAATGGCAAAGCTCATTTTGAAGCAGTCATCGGCAACCTTCACCCCGGTGTATGAATCGATGTTGGCACCACTCTTCGTGATGGCGGCGCTCACCGTCGCGAGCAATCCCGTACGATCGGCGGCGACGAGCTCAAACATGTATGCGCAATACGTCACCGTGCGAGGGCCTGGGCCGAGATTGTCTGGAATCGACTCCCCACACAGGGTGAGGGCTTCGACTTGCAAAGACTCGCGCAACTCTTTGATATCGCCACTTCCCAGGCGGGCGAGCTGCTTCTGGATTTTTGCCCGCGCCGAGCGAGTCGACGCGTTGAGTCTTAATTTTCGCAACCGCCGCAGCATTACGTGCGCGGGTAACTCTTTTCCTTCGTTGAAAATCTCAACAACCTCGGCGTTTGTGAGCACGTGATCAAATTCCACCTGCACTCCATTCACCTTGGCGTACTCCATGAGCATTCCCGTTTCTCCCGTGTAAAACGCGTAGTCGACCACCGTGGCGCCGTGAGGCAAGTTGGTGACTTGCCCTTTCGGAGTGAAAACGAACACACGACGGCCGAGTAGATCGGACGTGATCGTGTCTACGAATTCACGCGCGCTCAAAACGTCAATGAATTCTTTTTGCCAAGACTGTATGTTTTTCAACCAAGCCACTTGCCGCAACGACGCGTCGACGTTTTCCTCGGTGCCTTTGTCCGCCGCCGCCGCCGCCATGTCGAGCGCCTCCTCCCTTTCCAACGCCTTCAAGTCCACGTCTCGACCTTCTTGACTCGCGGCGTAACGTAATTCCGCGCGCCTGCGCGCGCGGAGCGCACGGCTCGTCCTGCGCGCGCCCGCGCGCCACTGCTGCCGAATCTCCGCGTCGGCGGCGATGCCGTTTTCAGCCAAGATGTGCATCGCCTCGGTGCGAATCATAATCTCCATCGGGAACACGGGAGTTTCTTCGATACCACCGGTAGGATTTGCATCATCTGGACTGATGGGTAAAATCACCGTGTGCAGAGCCTTGTAGCCGTTCAATTTCGGCGTCGCAATGTAGTCCTTCATGTTGCCCGGAACAGGCGGCCACATCGCATGCACAATGCCGAGGACGTGATAACACACTCTACTCGCTTGTAATCTGCGCGCTTCGCCGGTCATACCGGCCATGGCTCCGGTGTCGTGCAAAATGACACGAAGCTGAGCTACTTCGAAAATGTCATCGATGTTCTTTGAGTCCCCGTTCAAGGCGCTTCCGCTTCGTCTCCCGCCGGCGCTTAATTTGCGGTGCAAACCATACAACTCTTTAGCCTTGGCTTGAATCGTCACACCCACCGTGTTCCCGCGCAAGAAATCGTCGCCTTGCATTGTTTCTTGCAATGTGACCGCTGCCCTTTGGATCACACTCTCTTGCTGTTTGCTCAGCTCGTCGCAACGTCGCGACATCTCCGCGTACGCGTCCGGGTTGGCGTACCGAAAGGACAAATCCTCCAATTCATTCTTAACCTTGTACATCCCGAGAAGCTTGGCCAGGGGCGCGAAAACGAGTAACGTCTCGTTTGCGATCTTCACTCGCTTCTCCGGCTTCAAACCTTCCAGCGTGCGCATGTTATGCAAGCGATCGGCGAGCTTGACGATGATGATGCGAACTTCCTCCGTCATGGCGAGAAACATTTGCGCCAAATCCTCCGACTTGACGTCCTCCGCAGAAGTTCCGTTGATCTGCTGCGACTCTTTGCTCAGCGACGAACTCACCTTACTCACCTTGGTCTCACCCTCGACGATCCTTCGCACTGCGGTGCCGTAGCGCTTCTCGAGCGATTCAAACGTCACCGCGTCCGTGTCCTCCACCGTGTCGTGCAACAAACCCGCGACGAGACTCTCGTGGTCGAGTTCCATCTCCGCCAAGATGGCCGCCACGGCAACCGGATGCGTGATGTACGGCTCCCCGCTCTTTCGAGCTTGTCCATCGTGCGCGTTGAACGCCACTTCCAGCGCGTCTCGCACCTCCGCGCGCTCGAATTCGTCCAAGTACCGAACCCGTCTCGCGAGCTCGGTGTTCCACAAAAACTCTGGCGTGATGTGTTCCCAACCCGTGGCGGTTTCGGGATCGTCGTTCGGTTTCGGCGCCACCGCGCGCGTGCGCGTGGGCGTGCGCGGGCGCATCGTCGTCTTCGTCGTCGTCGTCCCGCATCCGCACCTTCGACTCGCTCCTCGCGTTCGCCGCGTCCCCGTCGCGCGTCTCTCGCTCGACGTCCCGCTCGTGCCCGCCGCGGCGCACGACGTCGCCCGCATCTCGAGCCCCCGTCACGCGCGACCGTCGATCTCGTCGCACCGTTCGGCGTCGTCCGTCGTCCGTCTTCGACCGCGCGACCGCGTCGTCGTCGTTTCGTTTCGTTTCGTCTCGAGCGGTCGATGCGATTCGCGCAATCGCGTCGCGCGACGCGAATCGCGCGCGCGTCGGTCGCGCGTCGTCGCGTCGCGTCGCGGTCGCGGTCGCGGTCGCGGTCGTCGTCGCGGTCGCGGTCGCGGTCGCGTCGTCGCCTCGACGCCCCCCCCCGGCGTCGAATCGCGCGCGTCGCGGTCGCGTCGAATCGCGCGCGCGCGTCCGACGCGCCCGACGCGGCCGGCGTCGCGTCGGGCGGACGCGCGGTCGACCGACGCGATTGCGCGATCGCCGATCGACGCGCGACATCGCGCTTTTGGGCGCTTCAATACGGTATTTTCGTCCACGTTCGATCGCACGCGCAAACAGTCGGACGGTAAACGCGCAGGCCGCGCCGGCATCGCGCCGGCCTCGCGCGCGCGTCTTCGCCGTCCGTCGGTCCCGCGGTCGCGCGGTCGCGCGGTCCCGCGGCGACGGCACACCGCGCGACGACGACGACGACGACGAGGGCGACGACGACGCGGTGACGACGACGATGGCGACGATGGCGACGTCGACGACGATGGCGACGACGCCGACGACGACGCGCGCGATCGGGCGACGCGCGCGCGCGGCGGGCGCGAGAGAGACGCGCGCGCGCGCGTCGACGTCGACGCGCGCGGGACGGGGCGACGGGGCGACGCGCGACGGCGCGGACGGCGCGCGAGGAAGACGGACGACGACGCGAGACGCGCGAACGCGAGCGATACGGGAACCGGAGGTGGAGACGGCGCGGGAAGGCGCGGAGGGCGGGCGACGCGGGGCGACGCAATCGTCGTCGTCGTCGTCGTCGTCCGTGGCGGATATGAAGAAACAGATGAGCGACGTGCGGAGACAGATGGAAGAGGATGAGGATTTGAGCGTGCTCATGGCTGGATTGCGAGGAACGAACATCGATGCGAGCGATTTCGCCGCGGATGGGGTGCGGATGAAGGTGGTGGACGTGGACAAATTGAAGAACGACGAGCTCGGGGACGAGCTGCCGTTGTATTACGACCCAGAGCTCATCGCGAATTATTGGTCGAGACGTCCCGCGGCGGTGGCGCAGCGCGTGGCACAGTTATCCACGATCGGTGGCTCTTTCATCACGGGCATCATCAGTGATTTCGTGACGAAGAGCGTGGAGGAGAACGCGGTGAAGCGGGCGATTCAGTTGAGAGAAATCGTCACGTCGCTCGGACCGGCGTACATCAAGTTGGGTCAGGCGTTGTCCATTCGTCCAGACATTTTGACCCCGGCGGCGATGAATGAGTTGCAAAAGCTTTGCGATAAGGTTCCGAGTTTCGATAACGGATTGGCGTTCGCCACGCTCGAGGATGAACTCGGATGCAAGTGGCAAGACGTCTACACCGAGCTCGGCCCCGAACCCGTCGCCGCGGCGTCGCTCGGACAAGTGTACAAAGGCGTGCTCAAGGAGACTGGCGACATCGTCGCCGTCAAGGTGCAGCGACCGGCAGTGTTGGAGACGGTCTCGGTTGATTTGTACGTTTTGAGAAAAATTGGAATGTTCCTGAAGCGGTTTCCCGCCATCACGACGGATGTCGTCGGCTTGCTCGACGAGTGGGCTGCGCGTTTCTTCGAAGAGCTCGATTACAACCTCGAAGGCGAAAATCAAACCAAATTCGCGGCGAGCATCGCCAAGGATTTGCCGCAAGTCGTCGTTCCTAAGACTTTCGCCAAGTATACGCGCCGTAAAGTCATCACCTCCGAATGGCTCGAGGGTGAAAAACTTTCGCAGAGCACGGCGGACGACGTGGGCGACTTGGTGAACATCGGCGTCATTTGCTACTTGAAGCAACTGCTAGACACCGGGTTTTTCCACGCAGATCCACATCCTGGAAACCTGATTCGCACCCCCGATGGACGACTCGCGATTCTCGATTTTGGTCTGATGACGGACATCGACGACAACATCAAGTACGGGATGATTGAGGCGATTTCGCATCTCATCCATCGTGACTACGAAGCCATTGTGAAGGATTTCGTCACCCTCGATTTCATTCCCGAAGGCACGGATTTACGACCGATCCTACCCGTCCTCGGTCGCGTGTTCGACCAAGCGCTCGAGGGTGGTGGGGCGAAAAACATCAACTTCCAAGAGTTGGCGGCGGACTTGGCGCAAATCACGTTCGATTACCCGTTCCGCATCCCGCCGTACTTTGCGCTCATCATTCGAGCCATCGGCGTGTTGGAGGGTATCGCGCTCGTGGGCAACCCTGAGTTTGCGCTCGTCGACGAAGCGTATCCGTACATCGCTAAGCGATTGTTAACGGACGACTCTCCGCGTCTTCGCGAGGCGCTTCGTTACATGGTGTACGGCAAAAAAGAAGTCTTCGACGCCGACAGAATGATTGATCTCCTCGAAGCGTTGGAAACGTTCCGCGCGGCGAGCGTGATGTCGCAAGGTGACCCGACGAAACAAGCGGCGAGCCCGCGTTTGGCGCTGAACGCTCCAGCGCCAGCGACGGCTGAGGAAAAGGCGACGCGCGACGCGCTGCAATTCGTCCTCTCCGCCGACGGCTCCTTCTTCCGGGAGTTCTTACTCGATGAAGCCGTCAAGGGGATCGATGCGTTGAGTCGAGATAACGTCATCCGGCTCTTAACCGCGTTTGGGCTCCAAAACACCAGCATCCCCGTGTTCTTACCTGGTTTCCCGAGCTTCGTGCCGCTGTCACCGAAGATGACGAACGCGGACAAGGAGACGCTCGCGAGCACGACCAAGCTCTTGAATTTCCTTCTTCGCGGCAAGCGAAGTGACGAAGTCCAATTCGATGTTCGAGATTTCAACTTTGCCGATGCATCCTCCCGCGTCAACGCGCGTGCATTCAACGAAATCTCACCACTCTTGCCCGCCGTGGCCACCGAAATCGTCCCCGAGCTCGCCCGCCGGCTCAGTTCGCGCGTCGCCGCTCGAGCCATTCGCGACGTTTTCGGCGGTGCATCCGCGTAGTCACGCACACAAAACCATTATTTGCTCGCATTTCGCACGCACGCGTTGTTGTTATGATAGATTTGAAACGCACTCTTCGCCCTTGCCTTCGATCGCGAGCGCGCGCGCGAGGGTTTGGGAATTTTCGCCCATGCCCGATCGAGCGCGTGCAGCCTCCGCCTTTTACCGACGCGTCAAGATGAAGGGCAACAACCAATTACCCAACGCGCACTTCAAGAAGGATTGGCAGGGTAACACCATCAACGGCCAATGCCGCGTGCGCACGTGGCTCAACCAAGGTGCGTCGCGCGCGCGATCCGAGACGCGGCTGCGTGATTAGGTCTTTCATCGGTCACGACGTCTCATGACGCTCGATGCGACGCCGTGCGCGACGACGACGCGATCTCGACGAACGCACACTGACGAACGAATTACGTTTTACCTCGCACGCAGCCGGTCGCAAGAAGTCTCGCCGTAACGCGCGTGAGTTGAAGGCGAAGAAGACGTTCCCGCGCCCCGTCGCGGGCTCGCTCCGCCCGCTCGTGCACCCGCCGACGCAGCGGTACAACTTCAAGACCCGTCTCGGTCGTGGGTTCACGCTCGAGGAATTGAAGGTACGTATTGAGCTTTCGCGCGTCGATGCTCGACGGGCGTCACGGACGACGACAGGCGCCGCACGAACGCGCGTGCGATGCGACCCTCGATCGCGAACCGAGACTGACGGACCGATCGTGTACGCGCGACAGGCGGCTGGTATCTCCAAGAAGATGGCCCCGACGATCGGGATCTGCGTCGACCACCGTCGTCGTAACCGCAGTGAGGAGTCTTTGGCGGTGCGTACATTCGAGCGCGACGGCGCGGGAGCTCACGCGAGACGGGGGCGCTCAGTTAGGGTCCGCGCGCGCAGACCCTAACTGAGCGCCGATGAAGGATGCGATGAGCGCGAGACGACGCGCGAGGGATGAGAAACGACGACGAACGCGAGACTGATGATATTACGTTTTACGATTACGCAGCTCAACAAGAAGCGCCTCGAGGAATACAAGGCCAAGTTGATCTTGTTCCCGCGCAAGAACTCCAAGCCGAAGCACGGCGATAGCCCGGCGGCTGACCTCGCCACGGCGACGCAACACAAGGGCTCTGTCATCATGCCGATTGAGAAGGTTGAGAAGGCGGTTGAGATGGTCGCGGTTACCGATGAGATGAAGAACTTCGGCGCTTACAGAAAGCTTCGCGTCGAGCGCATGAACGTGCGCCAAGTCGGCCCGCGCATTCTCAAGGCTATCAAAGCCGAAAAGGACGCGGAGGAAGCCGCCAAGCTTGCGAAATTGTAAAAATTTCGAACGCTTAGGATGCGTACGAGTTTGAATTAAAGTTCTTAGAGGGTCGGGGGTTGTGTCAGGCGACAAACGTGTTCATAGCCGCGTTTGTGTCGTAACTTGTAACGGAGGAGATCTGTTCATCATTTCAAAACGCGCGCGAACTTTGCGCCGTCACCAGTGTCATGAGCACGTGACGTGCGCGTGTATCTACGTCTGCGTCTTCGTCACCGGCGGGAAGAAACTAAGATTCGAACGCGCGTTCTCCGCGCGCGCGCCGCATATCTTGCCTCGTGCGTACGATGTCCTTCACCGTCACCGCGAACGCGCGCATCGCCGCCGCGCCTCGAGCCCTCGCGGTCAAGGTACGTAAAGTCGATTGTATTCGCGCGCGCGGTGCTCTCGAGACCCCCAGGCGTGATATACACGCCGAACGCGCGCACGACGACGATCGTATCCAACCACCGACTGACGACGAAAATTTTGGCTTGACGCTCACGTAGCGCACGACGCCGAACGTCGCGCCGACTTCGAGCTCTGCAAGGAGAGCGTCGACGGTCACCACGCGTGCGGGTGGAATGACGGCGTTCTTCGCCCTCACCGGCGTCGCAGTCGGGGCGACGGTGCTCAGCCAGAAAGCCATCGAGAAAAATTTGGAGCGAGAGATCGCCTTAGCCAAGGCGAATGGGATCGAACTGGACGATTTGTATTACGATTTCGACCTCCCGGGTGATGCGTACCCATTCGGAGACGCCGAAGGGATGGATTGGGTGCCGAAGGATTGGAAACCGCCGAAGAAGGGCGACGCTCGTTTCTTGCCGTCGCGAATGTTGGGGAACGTGCAGTTGCGAAATAAGATGCACGATCTCTCCAAGCGATGCAGTGAAAAGGGTATCGATATTTCGGACTTATCGGTGCCGTTCGACGCGTACGAAGGAGAGTTTGACACGAACCAGAAGCGCATGTTAGAGATGCGTAAGCGTTTGGGCATTTGATTGACGCGTTGAGCTACGCGTGCGTTGTTATTCTACATTATCTACACTGCATCGCTCGCATCGAACGCAAACGACACGTCACGATTTGGCTTTGCGATCGACGGTGTCCCACATCCCGGCGCGTTTGAGCCCAGTCGTCTGCGCGCGCGCTTTGTCACTCTGCTTCTCTGGGGCGATGAGCACTGGATAAATGCTCGACGCAAGCGCCGCGCACGTCGCAACCGTCACTAGAACACCTACGACGAGTTTCCCAGACGTCGAGGGCCCCGTCGGTGGCATCACCGCGCGCGCGCGTCCGAGTGAGGGAGGTGTGAGGAATCGTCGAGCTCGCAGTCTCTTCTTACAGTCTTTTGCCCTAGTCATCTAGCAACAATTCGCGAATTAATTTGGCTTTCGCGACGTTTTCTTTGATCGAATCACCCTGCGCTGTGAGTGCCTTTCGAACTTTGCGCTCGTCTTCGCCGCACTCGTCGGTGGGGGTGGACTGACCGACGACGCGCCGCGAGCCGACGTATCCGATGTCGTCGTCGTCTCGTTCCGTCGCCACCGACGCTCGCTCGTTTAGTTCGTCGATGCGCTGTTTCAAGAGCGGCAGATCCGCTTCGTACGCTTCCATTTGTGATCTGAGCAACTTTTCCGCCTTGGAGAGTGGATGAGGAATGGTCTTTTCCTGCTCGGCTAAATCCCGTAGGCGCTCTCGAATACTTTCGTGCGTCGCAGCCGAGTCTTCTATGCGCTCGACGAGCGCGTTGTGGCGTTCGATGGCATCATTGGCGCTTTTCAAAAGAGAGGTAACCTCTTCTTTTTGCCTTTTGATCTCCGCCGTCAATCTAAGCGCTGTCGTGCGAACTTCGTCGTGCACGTCTCTCGCGTAGTCGACGTAAATTTCCTTCAACGCTCTCGCGCACTTTGCGAGCGCCTCATTCGAGCCGGGATCTCCAGTTTTCATCTCGGGCGTCACGCCGCACTCTTTCATGATTTCGTCTACCCCCTTCATCTTATCTTTACGAATACCTTCGGACAGCGCCCGCAGCTCGCTCCTAGAGCCCGCCTCGAGCGTTTGCGGCTGCACGGCGACGGCGGACGTTGCCAGATCGCCTCCGGACTCCGCCATAGCGCTCGCTGGGGGCGGGATGAGCATTCTGTGTGTACCATCGCTCCTAATAGTCACAACGACTCCCTCGGCCAGGGGATCACCGAGCGGTTGCAGACCGACGAGCGGGGCGTCAAAGTCGCACAACGCCGCAACTTGAGGCATCGGCAACGCGCCATAGTCGGCGTGATTTTCATCCACCGCGTCCTCGGCCGCAGTTTCGAGGACGGGAAGCCATGTTAAAACTATGGAGTGCACGATACCGTTGACACACACGAAGACTCTTTCTCGCAAAGCCGGATCCCACGTGACACTGGCAAATTTTACCTTTGCCAAACTTTGTTCGCCCGGCGTTGCGCTCAGACGAACGGTGTCCACCGTGAGTAGTTTGGGGAGATCGGGAGCCGACGGCGACGCATCACTCATCACGAAGGTATATCCGCGGACGTTTCTATGTGGGCCATCACACCAGGACGGCTTCACCTCGCTCGGTAGAATGTGCACGTGCGCGGCGTTTGCGTGGAGCGTCGCCACCGTGCCACCGACGCCGAGATCGAAAAACGCAGGCGACACCGCGAGCGCGAGGGCATCCTCACCCTCGGACGCACCTTGCGTGGAAGAAACAGATCTCGGTAACGGTCCTTGCAAAGCCACAGGTCTTCCCTCGTCCTTGCTCACGTGCGCGGCGAGCATGGGCACACGCGTGTCGTCGAGTTCGGGAAACGTTTCATCGAGCCACGCCGCGGCGGCGGCGTTCTCCGCCGCCAAATGCTTGAGCGTGACTCGCGGATACTTCGCGCCACGCGGGACCACGGGGCACATGGCGTGCAAATCGCCGGTCTTGGCGAGAAAATACACCGTGAAAGCTCCCCAACCGTTCGCAGGCGCGAACGCGAAGTCCACGACGTCTGGCCGCAACGGCGAAGCCTCGGGAAACGACCCGTTCAAATCCAACTTCCAGCACCGTTCCACCACGGGTTTACCCCCAGCGGCGACGTTATCGCAATTAATCAAGCGAAAGACGCCATCCGTGGTCAACATAGCCAGCGTGGCGTCCGCGCTCGGGTGCCACGCGCACCGCACGACGCGCACGTTTGGTACCGCCTCGAATTCCTCCTCGCACACCCCTATCGCCGCGCACGCGCGCGTCTCCACGCCATCATCGAGCTCTTTCGCTTGACGAATCGAGTCGTCATCACCCGTAAACCCCGTGGAGACGCCAGCGCTGAGACAGGCGACGTAACACGCCGCGACGACGCGCGCTCCCGAACCCTCGTCTCGCTCCCCGCTCGCGCACGCGTGTCTCCCGCTCGGACTCACGCTCACGCGCTCGGCGTCGAACGGCTTACCGTACGCGGGGACGTGCTTGACCACGCGCGCGCGCGCGCCGTCGTTCGCGTCGAGATCGACGGCGTAGCGCACGACGTCGCGACTGAGCGTCGATCGAATTTCGCCTCGGTGATTTAAAACGTAAAACGAACCGCGCTCGTCCTCGCACGCGCACGCGAAGCGAGCGTTCACGGGTCTGCTCGACGCGACATCGGTCGGTTTCGACGCGCGCTCGACGTGGTCGAACAGGGCGGACATGGCGCGACCGGCGCGTCGGCGTGTGGCGCCGCGCCGGGCGCCGCGCGGCGGTTGGGCGGCGCCGCCGATCGGGTGCGCGTGATCGAGAAGAGAAGAGAAGAGAACGACGATGGCGATGATGATTTCAAATCCAGCGCGAGGGCGCGTCGCGGTCTTGGCCTCGCGCGCGCGCTCAGCCTTCGATGAACACCGTTCGCGCGCCGAGAAGGTTGATGTCGGATTCGATGCGCGCGAGCTTGAGCTCGTGCGCCTCCTTTCGCGCGCGCCTGTTCGGCGTGTCCACGACGAAGGGAAGTTTCTGATACGAAGAACTGATTTTCGCGTGCTCGGCGCGCAGACCCTCGATCAGCGCTCGACGTTCGTCGTCTCGCATTCTCCCGGCGGCTTCGCGCTCGCGACTATTTTTATCGCGCGTCTCGCGTTCGAGACGTTCCGAGCGCTCTCTCTCGCGATTAAACTCCACCAAATACGCCGGCACTCGACCGTAGTCTTCCTTCGCGAACGCGCCTTCGCTCGATCCCTTTCGCGCGCCGCGCGCCGTCGACGCCTCGCCGCGAATCGCCTCGAGCGCGTTTTCCCGCACCCAATTCCTCGCCTCGCCGTCTCTTCGCGCCGTCCACGTCTCTCCCCGTCCCGGCGTCGCCGCCTTGCGTCTCACTCGCGCCTCCCGCCTCACCGCGTCTTCCTCGCGCGCGATCGCCGCCCCGATCGCCGCCCACGCGCCTTCGTTCTTCTTCAGGTACCCGCGCTCGCGCCCCGCGTCGTCCCGCGCGTTCGCCGCCGTCCCGAACGTCCGTCGTTCCCCCTTTCGCGCGTCCCGCGTCGCGCGCCTTCGCGCCCGCGTTCGCGTCGCGCGCGCCATCGCGTCCTCCACCGCGTCGCGCATCGCTCCGGACTCGCCCGCGTCTCTCGTTGAATCGCTCGTCGTCCTCCGTTCGCCCGCCTTCAATCGCTCAGCCTCGAAATGACGCTTTGCATTCCCGACGACGCGGCGCGCGCGAACCCTCGGGTTTCATAACGACCCGCGCGCGGCCGGTCGCGGTCGTCGTCGGACGCGCGTCGGTCGACGCGATGGCGACGACGGCGGCGACGACGACGCCGGCGACCGCGGCGACCGCGGGCGTCGCGCGCGCGGCGCGGGGACGACGGCGCGCGACGACGGGGACGACGACGACGACGGGGACGGCGACGACGACGAGAGAGACGACGACGCGACGGCGCGGACGCGTCGCGCGCGCGTCGACGCGAGACGCGATCGCGGCGACGGTGAAAACGGGAACGAGATCGGGCGCGGGACGGGCGACGCGCGCGCGCGCGCGCGAGGAGGCGGGGCGACGCGCGCGCGAGCGGACGCGAGCGGCGAGCGCGAACGAGGGGACGGACGGACGGACGCTGAACGCGAGACGAGAGCTGCGAGCGCTGATGGGATTTTGCGCGCCTCTGTTGGCGTCGAATTTGATATCGCCGCTGCTGACGATGACGGACACGGCGTTCGTGGGACGGTGCGCGGGGGAGGCGAGCGCGGTGGCGCTGGCGGCGTTGGGGGTGTCGACGCCGTTGACGGATTATTCGGTGTCGTTGTTCGCGTTCATCACCGCTGGTTTGACGTCCATCGTGAGTCGAGGCGTGGCGAGCGGCGAGGACGAAGATGAGCTGAACGGGAAGGTGTACGGCGCGCTGTTCATCGCCGGCGCGAGCTCGCTCGCCGTGGGCGCGCTGTTGCTCGCTCGCACGGACGCGCTGTTAGATTTACTGAGCGTCACGGGAGAGGTGAAAACGATCGCGGCGGGATACACGCGCATTCGTGGCTTGGCGATGCCCGCGGCGTTCTTGACGGCGTCGGCGTACGCGACTTTGGTGGCGAGAAAAGACACCGTGGGGCCGCTGCTCTGCGTCGCGCTCGCGGCGGTGGTGAATTTCGTGGGTGATTATCTCATGGTGGCGGTGTTTAAAACCGGCGCCGCGGGCGCCGCGTGGGCGACGACGGCGTCATTATACACCGGTTTGATCGCCATCACGGTCTTGCTTCATCGACGCGGACTCTTAAAGTTTCCACCGAGGCAAAATTTTGGCGACGGTTCGCGTTCGTTTCTTCGAGCGATGATTCCCACCAAGGCGCAAATGGCGCCGACTATGGCGTTCTTCGGCCCGATCACGTTTTTGGTCGCAGCGTTGTTGGCTATTTATACCACGCAGATCCTCCAGGCAAACTCGCTCGGTGTCACTGTCTCCGCGGCGCACAGAATCGCGGCGACGCTCTTCTCCTTCACCGTCCTCTGCGGCGATCCTTTGGTGCAAGCCGGGCAAGCGTTCATGCCCGAGCACATAATCACGCCCTCGAAGGCGAACGCACGTAAGATGGCGATGATCCTGTTCCAGTTCGGTCTGTTCACCGCCGCCACCTGTTCCTCCGGTTTCGCCGCGTGCTGTTACCTCTGCGCCGGCGTCTTCACCACCGACGCCGCCGTCATCGCGCAGCTCCATTCCGTCGTTCTCCCCATGTCCGCCGCGGTTTCCGCAAACATCATCTCCAAATCGCTCTACGGCGTCATGGTCGCCGCTCGAGCGCTGAATTTCCTCGCCGGTCTCACCGCCATCGGGTTGCTCGGTTTCGGCGCGGCGATGTCGTATCTCAACACGCACGTCTTCGGCCTCGCCAAGTATTCCTACATCTGGTGGATCACATTCGCGTACTACGGTTTGGCGAGCTTTATATTATTTTGCCGCATCAACGGCATCGCGTTCAAGTCCATCTTGCGCGACGACCGCGTCGACGCCGCGTCGAAGGAGCGCTCGAGCGCGTCGTGAGGCTCGCGCGCGCTCGCGACTCAGGGGGGCCTCGTTTTGGATAATGGTCATAAATGTCCCTGGATGCAATATTCTAGAATTTTAAACGCCATCTAAATGTACGCGCATCCCAAGTCGAGACGTCGACATCGCGCCGGCCCTTACGCGACGCGTCGACGTCGCCCGCGCCACTCTCCGCACCGGACCAATTCCCTAAACCGTACGAAGCACCATGTCTTCCATCGCCACGCTCAGCGCGCGCGCCATCGCGCGCACGACCGCCTTCAAGACGTCCAAGTCGCGCGCGAACGCGCGCCGCCCCGCGAGACACATCGCGCGCGCGTCCGCGGACGTGGACGAAGCGCTCGCCAAGGCGCAGTGCCCGATCGCGGACGTCAAAGACACCATCGGACGCGGTTTCGTCATCGTCGACATTCGCTCGCCCGAGGAGTGGCAAGAGGGGAGCAAGTCGACGTGGAAGAAGATTTGCCTGGCGGTGTTCGACGAAGAGACGGGCGAAGTCGAGATGAACCCGTACTTCATGGGCCAGATCAGAGACGAGTTCCCGAACACGCTGAGCCGAATTTTGTTGGTGTGCGATGACGGCACGGAGCGAAGCGAGATCGCGTGGCGAGGGATCACGAAGGCTGGGTACACCCAGTGCAAGATTATTCAAGGCGGCTCCGAGGCGTACTTCAAGGAATTCCCGCTCACGGCTGCGGATAAGCGCGTTTGGAAGTTGGCGGACCAACCCGGTGAGGATTTGTCCCAGCTTGTGTCGGGGGTGTCCATGAACATGGATCACATTTTCGAGAGCGAACGTCGATTTTAAACGATGATTCAGCCGCCGCGAGCGAAGTGACGCGACGTGCTCCACGCCGACGCTCAAAGTCGCGTGGATGCTAAGCTGCTAACAACATCTTATACGACTACTTACTCTAAATCTACCATGACGATGATGTGTTGTAATTTCTCAGACATTTTCAGACGCTCGCGCGCGCCACGGCGACTTCGCAACGCTCCACCGAGACGTCTTCGCATCGTCGACAGATGATGAATCGATTCTTTTCGGTCAACATATCCTCGACCACGGCTTGACGTTTAATGACGCGCGCGAAAAACGGCCCGACGTGCGTGGGGACGTGCGCGAAGAGCAATTTGTTCCACAAATCGTACGAATCTCCGCCGACGCGCGTCGCCACCTCGGGCAAGCCGTACCCAAACGTCCCGTGCGGGCGCTTCTGCGAACGAACCTCGCGCACTAAGCAGCACGGCGACAATACTAAAATATCCCCGTATTTCGACCACAACTCGATGCTTCTTCGCGACAAATCGCCGCACAGGTGTACGCCGCACACGACGACCCGAGCGCCGCTCGCTCGCGCTCGCGCCATCATCTCGTCCAACGCCTCGTCGTACACGTCCAGCGCGAAGTGGACCACCTGTCTCTCGCTATCCAAATGCGTCAACTTCATTTTACGATCGCTGTCAACCATGATTACCTCACAATTCTTCCCCAACGTTTCCGCGCACACGCTCGACGTCAAACCTTTACCGCTGCACAAGTCAAACACCACGATAGATTTCTCCCCGCGCGCGCTCCCATCCATCGCCACCAGCTCCTCACGAATGAACGCGCACGTCACCATGGCCTCCGCGATCTCTTTTCGCAGCGCGCGCCCCTTGCGCCGCGCCCAGCTCGCGTAGTTTTCGTCGCGCAGCATTTTTCGACACACCTCCGTCTCGGCGAACGCGCGCAGCCGCGCGTTCGTCTTCACCCGCTCGCCGCGCACGAGGTAATCGATCGAGCGCATGCTCGCGTTCGATTCGCATCGTCGCGCCGCGAGCGCGTCGTCGCCGTCGCCGTCGTCGTCCATTCGCGCGTCGCCGTCTGACGCGGGACCGACCGTTGCGTCGCGGCGTCAGACGGCGACTCCGGTCGCGCGCGCGCGACGGCGACGGCGTCGCGCGCGCGCGCGGCGTCACCGACGATGCCCAACGCGGCGTCGACGGCGAACGCGCGCGCGTCGAGCGTCGACGGCGCGCGCGCGAGAGGCGATGACGTCGCGAACGACGCCGCGGACGACGGCGACGACGACGGATGCCTGCGGCGAGGGATGTGGATCTCGAAGCGCAACGACGTGACGAAGTGCTGGAATCGTCGCTTCGCGCGCGTCGTGGGCGATCGATTGGAGTTTCGGAAGGACGCGACGAGCGATAAGGCGAGCTCGTCGGTGGCGCTCGACGACGTGCGCGGGTGCGTCGCGTCGTCGTTGAACATACACGGCGAACGAGGGAAGGCGGGATGTGGGGTGTACATCGAGGTGAAGAATGTGAATGATGGTGTGTTTTTGTGCGCGGAGACGCCCGGGGAGGCGACGGCGTTCGTGGAAGCGTTTCGGGACGCGCGAGCGAACGGGACGAAGCGGGCGAACGCGCGGGCGGAAAAGCCTCGAGACGCGCGCGTGCGAGCGCTGATACCGACGGCGGCATCGCCGGGCGAGGTTAATTCTGGTGCCTATATCGACTCTCCGCAGCACTCGGGGTCGACGATGGACACGCGAGGGAGAATCATCGATACCTTTGGCGCTATGGAAATCGCTCTGCAAGCAAAGGATGAACTTCTGGCGGCCGAGGCCGCGGGGCGGGAATCGCTCGAGAGCGCGCTGCGGTCGGAGACCAAGCTCAGCGCGGAGTTGCAGAAACGCGTGAGTTCGCTGAAGGAGAGATTAGAGAACAGGGAGAAGGAGTTGAAGTTGGTACGAGAGAATTTACAAGTCGAAAAAGCGTACTCGTCCGAGCTCAGGGAGCAGCTCGACGAGGCGCTCGTGCACGCGACTGAGATGGAAGATACAGCGGCGGCGGCGACGATGGAAATCGAGCGTCTAGATAGAGAGCTGGCGGACGCTAGATCAACGCGCGAACGCATGGAAGAGGCCCTGATGAGCGAGGGAGACTACCTGCGCCAACGCGAGGCGGAAGAGTTCCAACGCCAGCGACAGCTAGAGTCGCAGTTGAATGAGGCTAAAAATCGAATAGAAGAGCTGGAGTTAAAGCACGAGGGCGAATTAGCGGACGTTCGTCGTCGCTCATCTCACGCCGTGGCCGTCGCGAGCGCGACAGAGCAAGAGCTTTTGCTCAGTCGAGATCGCTTGCTGAGCGAGCTCGCGAGGATGCGCAGAGAAGGGTACGAAACCGTATTGAACACGAGTCGAGACTCCACCCATCAAACTGGTGCCAGCGCACCATCGACGCCATCGCGAGTGAGAACTGTTTCGATGCCGACGACGCCCTCGAGACTCGGGCAAGTCTCCTCGTCTCCGCGACGAGTGACGTTTAAGGATTCTCAAGCGTCGAGAGTACACCTCGCGCGCGATTCGCCGAGGACGCCACGGTCATACGCGTCGCATCCGGAACCGGATGCCACTCCGGATGGCACGCGTCGCGCGTTATTCGATCGCTCGACGCGGTCACCGGGTAAGCACCTCGACGCGAGCAGAGTGATTGATAGATTAGACTCACCGGGTACGCACGGATGTCGAGTGCAATAACGCGCTCACACTTTCAATATTTACAAGTCGTTTAGTCTACTCTTCCTTGTCCTTGTCCGCCTCGTCCTTGCCGCCCCCGTTGATCAGTTCAAATAGTCCATCGAGCAGCTTCTTCGTCCAAGCGATTTGCAAGACGTTGAAGAAGAGATTGGTCACCAAGAACGCCTTCGTGACGCCTGGGAATTTAGCCGTGCCCGCGGCGAGCACCGCGAACGAATCCTTCCAAAGCGTGATGGAATGTTTCATGAACAAAACGTCACGAACGGCTATAAACATCAGACCGAATATCACCTTCGCGAGTAAATCCATGCCGGAACATCGCTTCGCGAGCTCTGGATAATACTTTCCGAGATCCACCCACACGAGCGGGAGCGAAGACGTCTCCGTGACGCCCATAAAGAACAAGCCGTAATACTGCCCAAATCCAATGTGCAAACCCGCCAAGCACAACGCCGCGGCTAGGGCGTGATGCATCAACATCTCGATCGAGTTCAACTGCGCGTGTCGCAGCGAAATAATGAAGTCCCAGATTTGAAACGCGCAGTTGCACAAAATCATCTTCCGCGAGCTCAACGGAAGGGGTTTGTGCAGCCGCTGATGCGGCGTCTCGTAGCCGACGTTGAGGTCGTACAACCATCCACGGGTGCCGACGTACGCGCAATACGCCAACGGCGCGAAGCACGTGAGCTCAAACGCGAGCAAGAACGGCTCTTTACGCATGAACCTCGGGGCAAACTTGGGACAGAGGAACCGATTCAACGTCACGAAAACGCACGTCAGGGCGACGATGGTGATCGAGATGTATCGCACGTCGTCACTCGTGATCCCCGGAGGGATTTCTTTCGCCGCGCGGGCGAAGAAGGCCATGATTCGTCGACGCGCGGACGTTTGAAGACTCGAGGGGCGAGCACGTCGAAATGGAAGAGGAGTTTCGGTTCGCGTTAAAAACGAACAATTACAGCTAAACCGTCGCAATTTGCGAGCGCATGGACTCGTTGATGAATTTATCGATGTTTTCGTAGCCGATGATGGCTTCCGCACCTTCGGCGAGCTCGTAGGAGTACCCCATCGTCGGATCGTCGTAACTCGAGTGCTCGCGCATGAAGATGCGTCGCTTTACGAGCAGCGCCATTAATGCACGCACATCGCCAAGTTCGGCGTGATTTTCGCTGAGATGCTCACCCGACACCACGCCGAGCTGGGCGAGTTGCTCGAACAGCGTTTCCTCGCGAATGCAACCGTTTGAGATTTGCACGAGCGCGGCGACGACGATGGCGAATCCGCGCGCCGCCGTCGCCGACGGATCGTCCACGAATTTCCTTCGCATCTGCGCCGGAAGAACGCTTCGCAACGCGTAGCACTTCGCCGAAGCCGCTTGCGATTCGTTCACCGTCTTGGCCGGTCTCTTATTCCGACTTTGCGCCCGCGAGAGCTCTATCATTTCAAACCCAAAAATATCCAAAAATTTCTTTTGCGCCAGCGCCACGATGTACGATCCCGCCCCCTTCTTCGTTCCCGCCCCCCCGATCGCGCTCATCGCCTCCCCGATCTTGCTTCGCAGCACCGGCGCGCCTCGATTTTGATGCGACGCGAACAGCACGTACCGCATCACCTCGCTCGTCAACCGTTCCCGTTCCTCCGCGCTCATCGTCTCCGCGTCCTTCCCCGCTCGCGTCAACCGCGCCTCCGCGTTTTCCGCGTACCGTCGCGACAGCGCCGCCGCGTCCTCGTCTCGCACCCCCACGTACTCGCTGTTCCCTCGCTCCAGCGTCTCGTCCCGTCCGTCGTCTTCCGCGCCGTCGTCGTCCGCATCTTTTTTCCCATCGCGCGTCCGCGCGTCCGCCTCGTCTCCGCCTTTCCGCGTCGTCGCCGTCCGCGTCCGCGTCGTCGTCGTCCGCGCGTCTTTTTCGTCGCTCTCGGCGTCGTCTCTTTCGTCGTCGCGGCTTTTTCGTCGTCGCGTCGCGTTCGCCATCGTCGTCGTCCGTCGCGACGCGCGATGCCGCGGATTCGAATCCGCGCCGCGGACCGTCGCGCGCGATCCACACCGCGGACTGTTTACCCACACGATCGGTTGGATGCGCACGTTCGGACATTCGGACACGTCGCACCAAATCCCGTCCCGAGACGCGCACGAGACGCGTCCGCGACGCGCCGACGAAAGCGTCGACGCGAATCGCGCGAACGATGGGAATCGGATGCGCGGCGCGACCGACGCGCGTCACACCGCGACGGCTCGCGCGTCTCGACGATGGCGATGCGACGCGCGATGACGCGCCTCGCGAAGGTGACGGCGACGCGACGCGCGCCGCACGCGACGATGGAAACCTCGGCGGCGGCGATGATGGGGACGACGGGGACGGGGACGGCGACGGCGACGGCGACGGCGCGACGCGCGCTGGGACGAGGCGAGATGCGGCGAACGTACGCGGCGTACGACATCAACACGCGATCGAAGCCGCACCTGAACGTGGGGACGATCGGACACGTCGATCACGGGAAGACGACGCTCACGGCGGCGATCACGAAGGTGATGGCGGAGATCGGAGGCGCGAAGGAGATCGCGTTCGATCAGATCGATAAGGCGCCCGAGGAGAAGGCGAGAGGGATCACGATCTCGACCTCGCACGTGGAGTACGAGACGGCGACGAGGCACTACGCGCACGTGGATTGCCCGGGACACGCGGATTACGTGAAGAATATGATCACCGGGGCGGCGCAGATGGACGGCGGGATTCTCGTCGTGAGCGCGGCGGATGGGCCGATGCCGCAGACGCGGGAACACATTTTGCTCGCCCGACAAGTTGGCGTGCCATCGCTCGTGGTGTTCATGAATAAGGTGGACATGGTGGACGACGAAGAGCTCGTGGAGTTGGTCGAGATGGAGCTTCGCGAATTGTTGAGCTTTTACAAGTTTCCCGGCGACGACATTCCGATCATTAAAGGCTCGGCTTTGCACGCGTTGAAGGGCACGGAGCCCGCGATCGGGAAAGACAAGATCGTTGAATTGATGAAGGCGATCGATGAATACATCCCCGAACCCGCGCGCGCTTTGGACAAGCCGTTCTCGATGCCCGTCGAAGACGTGTTTAGCATTCAAGGCCGCGGCACCGTCGCCACCGGTCGCGTCGAGCAAGGCATCATTCGCACCGGTGACGACGTCGACGTCGTCGGCATCACGCCCACGAAGAAGACCACGGTGACCGGGGTGGAGATGTTCAAGAAGACGCTCAACGAAGGTCAAGCCGGCGACAACTGCGGGTTGTTGCTTCGCGGGTTGAAGCGCGACGAAATTTTGCGCGGGCAAGTCTTGTGCAAGCCCGGGTCGATCAAGCCGCACAGCAAGTTCGAGGCTGAGATTTACGTGCTGAAGAAGGAAGAGGGCGGTCGACACACGCCGTTTTTCTCCAACTATCGCCCGCAATTTTTCATGCGCACGGCTGACATCACCGGCAACATCACCTTGCCCGAGGGCACGGAGATGGTCATGCCGGGCGACAACGTCACCGCCGTCTTCGAGCTCATCCATCCGGTGGCGATGGAGCCCGGTTTGCGCTTCGCCCTTCGCGAGGGCGGTCGCACCGTCGGCGCGGGCGTCGTCGCCAAGGTTTTGGACTAGACGAGACGACGATCGTCGCGCGCTCGAGTAGAAGAGGTCTTTAATTAAAAGCGAGAAGCGCTTCGATTTTCGCGCCTCGGCGTCCGTTCGATCGACGTTTAAAACCACCCGCGCTTTTTATCCTTCTCCGCCTGCGCGTCCATCATCTTTTGCTTCAACGCCTCGCGTCCGCTCGTCGCCTTCCCTCCCTTGCTCGCCGCCTCGCGTCTCGCCCGAAACGCCGCCTTGTTCGCCTTCTTTTGCGCCAGCATCGACGACCCTCCCTGCGCCTTGAATCGATTCTTCCCGACGTTGCACGTCGGGCACCGGTACGAGTTCGGCAACTTCTTAAAGTCCCCCCCCCTGTACACGTACCCGCAGTCGACGCACACGTACGGCGTCGCGTCCACCGCCCCCCCCGCGGCGGCCCTGTTCCCGCCAAAGTTCAGGAACGCCGTCGTCGTCGTCGTCGTCGCGCGCGTCGCCCGCGTCGCCCGCGTCGTCGTCGCGCGTCCGAACGACGTCCTCGCGTCTCGTCGTCGTCCCGCGTTCATCGACGTCGTCGTCGTCGTCGTCATCGCCATCATCATCGTCGTCGTCGTCGCCCGTCGAGTGACGTCGCGAACGCCGATCGCCGCGCGCGACCGACCGCGACGCCGCGTCGTCTCGCGTCGTCTCGCATCGTCGCCTTCGACGCCTGTTCGACCGCATCAAAGATCACGACGCGCGCGCGAAATACATAAAAAAGTATAGGGTTTAGGTGTACTGAAACGCGCGTTCGAACGGCTCGGCGCGCCGGCGGCGGATCGCGCGATCGCGCGATCGACGCGACGCGACGCGAGACGACGGCGCGCGACGTGCGAATCGCGATCGACCCGACTCGCGAGACCGTCGATCGAACGGCGTTCGAACGCGCGACGGCGCACCGGACCGCGGGCGTCAAAACGCGCGACGCGCGCGACGATGATGTCGGCGATGGCGAACGCGACGGCGATGGCGAACGCGACGGCGCGGGCGACGACGACGACGACGAGGCGACGACGAGGGACGCGCGCGCGGGCGATGCGGGCGGAGACGGTGACGATCGCGCGATGTGAGGGGGCGCGCGCCTCGCGCGCGTCGACGGTGGGCGCGAAAAGCGCGCGAGAGACGCGATCGGCGATCGGCTTAGGGCAAAAGCGCGCGGCGCGCGCGGCGAGACGCGCGGGGGGCGGGGCGATCGAGATCAACCCGAACGATCCGCCGGAGGAAGAGGTGTTCGATATGACCGAGGGAGGGCAAAAGAAGCGATGGGGGATGGTGTTCGCGCTGTTCATCGCGTTCGTGCTGTGTAACTTGGACAAGGTGAACATGTCGGTGGCCATCGTGCCGATGGCGGAGTCGTTCGGGTGGACGGCGACGCAAAAGGGCTTGGTCGCGTCCGCGTTCTTCTGGGGTTATTCGTTCACGCAGATCCCGGGTGGGTGGTTGGCGAGTAAGTACGGCGGTAAAGCCGTCTTGTTCTGGGGCGTCATGCTCTGGTCGTTCGGTACGCTCATCGCGCCGTGGTGCGCGGCGCTCGGCATGCCGGCGCTGCTCGCGTCGAGATTCTTGGTCGGTCTCGGCGAAGGCGTCGCGCCGTCCGCGGCGACCGGCGTGTTGGCGAAGGGCGTTCCGCCGAGCCAGCGATCGAAGGCCGTGACCTCCGCCTTCGGCGGTCTCGACGTCGGCTCGTTGTTGGGTTTGCTCATCGCGCCGCCGATCATCTTCCACCTCGGCGGCTGGGCCGCCGTCTTTTACTTGTTCGGCGCCCTCGGCTTCTTCTGGGGCGCGTGGTGGTTCATCTCCTACATGCGCGATTCCTCCACGGACATGAAGGAAGTCGAAACCACCGGCGCTAAGAAGGGTCTCTCCATCCCGTGGGCCGCCTTTGTGCGCAACCCGCAGTTTTGGGCGCTCACCGTCGCGCACTTTACGTGGAACTACTTTTCCTACGGCTTGCTCGCGTGGTTGCCGTCCTTCTTGGCGAGCGCCATGGGCGTGACTTTGTCCAAGTCGTCTTTCCTCTCCATTCTTCCTTACTTGTCCACCGTCATCGTGACCGCGCTCATCGCCCCACTCGCCGGTGAACTCGAGGCGAAGAAGAAGCTCACGCGAACGCAAATTCGCAAGGGCTCGCAGACGCTCTGCTTTGGCGTCGGCGCCGTGACGCTCACGATGATTGGCTTGATCGTGAACGCCACCCCGGTGGCCGCGGTGACGAACCAAACCATCGGCATGGTTGTCGGTCTCCTGTCCGTCACCTTCGGCTTCGCCGCGTTCATCCGCACTGGTTTGTTCTGCGGTCACCAAGACCTTTCGCCGAAGTACGCGTCCATCATGTTGGGCGTCACCAACACGGCGGCGGCCATCGCGTCGACTCTTTCCACCTTCTTCACCGGTCTTTTCCTTTCCATGACCGGCGGCAACTGGGCGTACTCCTTGTTCTTCCCGATCGCTGCCCTTCAATTGGTTTCCGTGTTCGTCTTCCTCATCTGGAAGTCCGACCCGGTTGACTTCGACGCCGTCGCCTAAGTCAAGCCGGCGCAAGTTTTGGCCTAAACATACGCGTCGAGGACGTTCGATCTTCCGCCGAGCGTTTGTGGCTCGCACTTCCCTAGCGAGAAGTGACGGCGCGGGCATCGTAATGATGCGCCGCGTTGCGTTGATTAATTGCACACATAGAATTCTGCAATCAATATTTACTTCAAGAAACCTCGACGAAAAAGCGAACGCGAACGAACCGAAAACTGTGTTTGTGATGCATCATAATTAAATCGATTGACGAACGATGACTCGAAAGCGCTTGCTCGATCGGACGAGAAAGCGGACGACCCAATCCATCGTTTGCCCTAATAAACTTCGTGCTAAACGAAGTGGTCGATAAATTTCAATTGTCCCTTCGAAAAAAAAACGCACTCCTTCTCGGCGAGAAAGACGGGCGGAATTATTCCGCAGCCTTGGCGGCAGCCTTGGCGGCGTTCTTTTGTTGCTTGAGGTAGAAGGTGTAGACCGTGGAGACGACGACGGCGGCGAAACCAGCGATGTACTTCCAGTTGAGTTCCTTCGGGAAGAGGGCGAAGGAGATCACGATGGAGAGCACCTTGCGGAGCGACTTCACGATTTCAGCCTCGGTGGCACCGAAGTACTTGATGAGGGAGAGGATGAAAGACACGGAAGAGTAGCCCATGACGGAGAAGGCCATGATCATCGGCACCACTTGCGGGTTCGCTTGAGAGAAAGCGAGCGCCGGAGCGAGGCCACCGGACGCGATGAGCGGGACGAGACCGTACGCGGTACCGATCAAGGACGCGTAGCAGAGCACTTCCTGCGTCGTCGACGGGGTTTCGCAACGGAAGAAGTTCTTCTCCTCGAAGTTAGCGCAGATCGCATCGACGCACAAGGCGGCGGCGATGAGCGCAACACCGATCGGCGCGAACGCCGGGGAGGACGCGACGTCACCGAGGGTGAAGAGGACGATGCCCGCGACGAGAATCGCCGCCGACAACCACTCCTTCCAGTTGTACTTCTTGCCGACGATCAAGACGGAGAAGGCCATGACGGGGATGATCTTCGCGGACTTGAACACGATGCGGGTGGCGTAGTTCAAGTAGGACAACGCGTAGTTGGTCAAAGCCATACCACCGTAGGTGTACACGGAAAGAATACCGTAGTTCTTCCAAGAACCCTTACGGGAGTCTTTGGTGAGCTTCATCTCGAGCGCGCCGCACAAAAAGTACGTAAACGTCGTCAAAACCGTCATCCACGCCGAGAACTTGAAGCCCGGAATGCGGAACACGCCCTCTTGAAGCGCGGCGAAACCGAGCGCGGAACCGAGGGAACCGGCGGCGAGAATCGCGAAAGAGATCCCTTCGCCCTCCGGCAAGGTCAACCCGAACACCTTCTTCGGTTCGCCCGGCGCGGCTTTCGCCACACCACCGGCGCGACTGCGACGTTCCGAAAACGCGCCTCCTCGTCAGTCTTCATCCCCTTTCCTTCGCACCCTCCGGCACCGCGTCTCTCCCGCACCGCGTCTCGCCCTCGCGCCCTCTCTCTCTCTCGCGTCGACGGCAAACCCTCTCTCTCTCTCGCGCGCGTTCACTCATCCCCCCCCCCCCGCGTTCGCCCGTCGCCGTTTTCGTCGCGTCCGACCCCTCTCGCGCGCATCGCTTCGTTTTCACGCACGTCACCACCCGTCGTCGCTCCGCGCGCGTCGCCATCGCGCGCTGTTCGAGCGCCACCGCGCCGCCGCCGACGATCGCCGATCGTCGTCCGCCCAGCGTCGGCGCCGACGTCGACGCCCGCACGCTCGGCGCGCGTCGTTGGCGCGCGTGGGTTTGCGCGCGTGCGTTCGGCGCGATCGCCACCGTCGTCGCGCGCGAGATCATTCTGCGTCGTTCGTCGCGTCGGTTCGCGCGTCGCGGATTGCGTCGCGGCGGAGGCGGCGCGTCGGCGCGCGCGTGTGGTCCGTGTGTCAGACGCATGCGTCGCGTCTCGGACGCACGCGTCGCGTCGCCTCTTTGGGTCCGTGTGATATCTCATGCGTGGCGTCGCCTCTTTGCGTCCGTGTGTCAGAAAAGAGACGCAGACGGCGACGCGACGCGACGCGACGCGACGCGCGTCGACGCGCGCGCGAGCGCGCGACGCGCGCGCGCGCGGGCCCGTTTCCGACGCGTTTCCGACGGCGCGATGGCGACGCGAAGCGGCGACGCGTCACCGGGACGACGCGAACGCGAGATCAAAATCACGCTGAAACGCGCGACGCCGGACGCGCGAGGCGAAAACGCGGACGTCACGGTGCGCGTGCGGAGCCTGGACGTGGACGTGGGGACGCTGAAGCGACGATTCGTGGTGAACGCGGTGTGGGACGCGCCGAACGCGGAGTCGGTGGTGCTGATTTACGGGGGGAAGGTTTTGCGAGACGACGAGACGCTGCGAGACGCGTTCGCGCGGGGACGAGAGAGCGTCGCGGCGTACGGAGAGACGGCGGGGGAGGGGGACGGGCGAACGGAAATGGCGACGGTAGACGAGTCGGGGACGGAGGGAGAGGCGCGCGCGGCGGAGGAGTACGTGGTGCACATCGTGGTGCGAAGCGCGCGGGAGACGTCGGCGGAGGATTCGCGGGCGACGACGACGACGACGGCGGAGGGCGCGGTGAACGCGCGCGGCGGCGAGGGCGACGCGCGCGAAGAGGGCGGTCACGAGACTGCGGTGCCGGCGAGCGAGGCGCGGGAGACGACGGCGACGCGGGGCGACGCGCGAGACGCGGGCGCGTCCGATCCGGGAACGCCCGCGATGTTTCGGGGAGACGTTTCGGCGAACGCGTTCGCATCACCGGTGTCGATGTTTCGCGAAGACGCACCGCGCGCGTCGCCGAGTGCCCTGGAGCACGCGACGTCGCCTTTGATGAACGCGACGTATCAAGCCGCGTACTACGCCGCGTTCGCGGCTTTATCGCCGTCGTCCACGCCGCCGGGTCCACCACCGCTCGTGGGAGTGGGCAACTTTTTACGCGTCGATGCGGCTTCGAGCGGCGAACATGCTGCGAACGAGCGCACCGGAGTAGACGACGCGCAGCAGCGACAACGCATGGAGAACGGGCTGCCGCCAGAGCTAAACATTCCCCCGGGCGCGCGCGTGCGAGTGATTCACATTCGCATCGACTTGAAACTCATCCTAAAGCTCGCCATGATGGTTTTCTTTATGTCGCAGGATGCGAGCGCGGCAAAGACGGCCATGTACGTTGGCGTCGCGATCTTAGTGTACCTGCAGCAAACCGGCGCCCTGGCGCCGGTCGCGCGGTGGATCACCGGCAACGATAACATCGGTAGAAACGGATTAGAGCGACAAAATGCGAGACGAAACGGCGGCGAGGGAAGAAACGCCGACGGTGCAGCGAACGAAGATCAACCGATCGTCGCCCCTTTCAGGGCGACGCACGCGGCGGGGCACACGACGATGCCGACATCGTACATAGGCGAGATCAAAATTTTCGTGTATAGCTTGTTTGCGTCCATCTTCCCATCGTGGTTGCCCCCTCGGTTGCACGAGGCACGCGACGCGCGAGCGGCCGTGCGCGAGCACCAAGATTGATGAACTTACGAAACGATTCTTTCAAACACCGAGCATGTAACAGTAAAACAATGTGCCAACGAATGTATTAAATCGCTTATTCTAGAAACCCGTCAATGCGCGTGCTGGTGCGAGTTTTTCAGCGCCATGCGCCCGTTCGTCGGAACCACCGGTCTTTCGTTCGCGACCGCACCCTCCGACCGTGCCGATGACTCGAGCGTGAGCTGGCTATCTTCGCGGTGAATTACGCAGGCGTTGAGCGTCGCCGGCGCGATAGCACGCGGACTCGAGCGCTTCGCCCCGGTGTACTTTTCGTACGCATACCAAGCCACGCCCGCTGAGTTCAAAATTATACCAGCCACGTTTGTCGCGCTCGCCCGCACGTGAAACGCAAACAAACCGAAGACGCCTTGAACTATGCCTTTCGTCCGTCCCACCACCGACGTCGTCAGCGCCTCGTTCAGCTGCGTGCACAGGTACGTCGCGTAGTTCAATATGAACGCGCTCGAGCACGAGCACAAAAAAGCAATCAAAAACCCAAAGTGGCCGAGGTAGGGATAATCCAATAACCCGCGGTGCTCGCCGAACACGAAACAAATCGCCAAGCTCAACGGCGCGCTCCACAACGAGTTGTACAACAACAATGTGAACGAATCCAACTGCAATTCGTCCCCAATCTTACCAACCAACACAACATACATCGCCGTGCACAGCGCACTGCACAGCGCAACTAGGTACCCTAGGAAATTAAACTCCAAATCTCCCGTACCGGCGCACACTCCCCCGAGCGTGGTCAACCACACCGCCGCCTGCACGCGCGCCGGCGCCACTTTCCCCATCATCACCCAATCGATCGCCATCACGAACGGCGTCGTCGCCGACTTCAACACCCCGTACATCGGGATGTTTATCATCGACAGCGCCTTCATGTCGAGCACGAGTTTCATTTGAAACACCGCGCTCACCACGCCGACGCGCTTGAACGCCTTCGCGTTAAAGTTCCCGCGAAACCCTTTCCCCCCCCGCGGCGAGATCGCGCCCACGTGCTCCAGCGCGACGATGGCAAACACCGTGAATATCGTCTGCGCCGTGACGAGCGTCGCCGGGAACTTAAACTTCCACGTCGCGAAGATGGACTTGTTGAGAAACACCGTCGCGATGGACGTCGAACCGTAAAACAAAGACGCGGACGCGCCCTTACGACGCCTGCGCGCGTCGCTGTCGCGATGCGTCGGAAGCCCCATCGCGGGCGCCTCTTCGATCGCGCGCTGGCGTCGCGCAGACCGCTCCGTCGCCGCCCGCGCGCCTCGGAATGCCTCCGCGAGATTTGGATAGCGCGCGCTCGACACACTCCGACGCCCCGCGCGCGCGCGCATCGCCCATGCTCGCGCGCGCGATCGCTCGTAAACGCCACGCGGCGTCGCGCGCGGCGTCGTCCTGGCGCGCGCGCGACGTCGCGGCGACGGGATCGCTCGAAAGCGTCCCGCGGTCGGACGCGTCGAGGTCGACGGAGGAAGTTTCGTCGCCGCGCGCGCGCGCGTCGAGCGATCGCGCGACGCGAGCGGACGTTCCGCGGTGGTATTCGACGTCCTCGCGCACGCCCGAGGACGTGCACATCGCGCACACGCGCACGCACGTCACGAAACACCTGTGGAGGGAGAGACTGCGCAAGGCGGAGAGCGGCAAGGCGGCGACGAAGCTGAGCGAAAAGCTTCTGCCGCGCGAACCGAGGACGCACAGCGCCGTGTACGTGTGGCAGAGCGATGAAGAAATGCGGGAAATGTATAAATCGCACGGCAGTGGGGCGGTGCGGATGGGGAGGATATTGGAAGATTTGGACTCGCTCGCGGGAAACATCGCGTTTTTTCACGCAGACGACGACGACGATACGACAAAGACGCCGCAGTTGGTGACGGCGAGCGTCGATAGAGTGCGACTGAATCGACCTTTGTCGCTAGATAAGGATGTGGTATTGCGGGGGGAGGTGGCGTTCGTGGGGACGTCGAGTATGGTGATTCGTATGGAGGCGGACGACGACGGCGCCGTCGAGGATGCGACGGTGGACGACGACCGCACGGAACCGGCATTGGCGGCAGATTTTACCTTCGTGGCGAGAGATCCGGAGACAAACAAATCATGGCCGGTAAACCCGTTGGTTTGCGTGTCGAGGCGACACAAAGAACGAGCGCAAGAGATTCAAGCGTCGATTTTGCGCAAGCGTTTGAGATCGAAAAAGGGCGACGCCGTGTTGAACGAGACGCTCATAAAACATCGAACGGAGTGGGTGCGCTCGATTCGTGAACGCGCATGCTTGAACCAAGAGATGCCAGCGTTGACTGCCGGTTATAATGAAGTCATGACGACGCAGACAATGGCGGAAAATATGTTTGTCGCGCAGCCGCAGCAAAGAAACCTCTCTGGCAGAGTCTTTGGCGGGTTCCTACTTCGCCGAGCGTACGAGCTCGCGTTCGCGAACTGTCAGCTCTTCTCCGGTGGGCACCCGATGTTCGTTGAGATGAGCGATATCGATTTCACGCTTCCCGTGAACATCGGTGATCTCGTTCGTTTCAAATGCAAAGTATTGCACACGGTGAATGCGGAGGAAGCGCGATGCGGCAAGCCGAGCGTCTACCTCGAAGTTCGCGCCATCGTTACCAACCCTCATAAAGTCACCTCTGCGGTGGCTAATAAATTCTTCTTCAAGTTCAACGTCGCCGAATTCGCCGAGGCGGACGGCACGACCACGGGCGAGCCCGTTCGCCTTCGCCGTGTGCTTCCCGAATCGAACGACGAGGCGTTGTTGATTTGGGACAAGTGCATCCGACGCACTCTGTGCGATGACAACGACTTTGACGTGCGCAACAACTTGAGCATGATGACGACGTAGGGTCTTGTTCTATTTTTTTAGTTAGTTTATCTTTCTGTTGTAAACTCTCAATATCTCTTGAAACTCCGCCGTCTTGAAGACGAACCGTCTCGTCGCGCCGACGTTGCTTCCTCGGACAATCAAACGCCTTTGCTGACGCGACTGCTCGTGCTCACGAGGCGTCACATCAGCGCGCGATATTCATGGTGGTTCGTCGAACGAGCACTGGCGCGACATCGCTTCCCGGCGACTATCCCGACGATGGTCGCTGCGCCAACGCCCTTCGACGCCTTGACATGTACGCCCACGCGCCGCCTGAAATCTCAGGCTTCACCGAGCGCACGGTTGGAGGTGGTTTATTCACAATCGTCGTCTCGTTGATCTTCATCGCGCTGTTTACGATGCAAGTCAGTGCGCTGTTCGCGGCGACGTACGTCACGGACATCGTCGTCGATCACACCGCGGACGCCAAGCTACGAGTGAACGTTCGCGTGGATTTCCCATTCGTCGAATGCGAGTTCCTTCATCTGGACGTGGTCGACGCCATCGGCTCGCGAAAGACGAACATAAGCGGTGAAAACGTCTACAAACATCCGTTGAGCGGGCCTATGAAGTACATGAACATTCAACACGCGGCGCCGGTGAACGCCGAGACGCTGGACGACGCGTTCGAGTACGGCACTACGACCGACTACGACCACTACGGCAACAAAAGAATCGCATTCGACATCGCGGGGTTAGACATGTTCGAGCACATGGTTCGCGTTCATCATGGATTACTCCTCGTGAACTTTCACGCGCCGTGGTGTTTGCACTGTCGGAATTTCGCGCCGATCTGGGAGCACGCGGCTGAGATGGTGCGTCTCGAGTTGCGTCGCACCGGACGCTCCCGACTTTCGCTCGGCATGGCCTCCGTGGACTGCTCGACGGAAAAGAACGACGAGTTGTGCTCGAAATTGCACGTGCAAGCGTACCCATCCGTGCGCGTCTATCGCGCCGGGTCTTTGCATCCTTCGAAAGAAAATCAAACGTCGATTGCAGAGTTACACCGCGAGGCTGAGAACATTCAATTCGAGGTGTATCACGGCAAGCGCAGCGCTGAAGCGATCGCGGCTTTCGCAGATTCTCTGCTGAAAGAAATCGAAGCCGCGACAGAGGACGGCAACGACGAGGCATCGCCAAAGAAACGAGGCACGGTTTTTGGACACGATGCCGATGGTGACGGTCGGCACGATTCCGTCGTGAGAACGCCTGGTTGCTCCGTGAATGGTCAATTCAACGTCAATCGAGTGCCGGGAGCGTTTTATTTTGTGCCTCGATCGCGATCGCACTCGCTCGCGGACGTGGACATGACGCACGTCGTTCGACACTTATCATTCGGCGAGCACGTTCCAGGTAAACCCAGTTTCATTCCACGACATTTGCGCAAAGCTTGGAGCCTCATTCCAGTGGACATGGGAGGGAGATTCGCAAAGAAAGACAACGGCGGCGGCGGCGCCCAGTTTGACGCGCGTGAAAATCGAAGAACGGCTTTTGAACACTACATGAAGGTGATTCCACGCACGTTTGCGCCGATTGACGGGGCACCGATTCAGATTTACGAGTACACATTTTCGAGCAACCATTTCGACGTGCACGGAAGCGCTGAAGAACGCGAGATGATATATTACGATCGCGTGGAAGAGCATGCGATGGATGATGAATTTCGCCGCCCTCGCGGTCCCGTGGTGAAGTTTTCGTACGACTTGTCGCCAATGCAGGTAAAAAACTCAACTCGAAAATTACAAAACACTAACCACGTTCGCTAATAGGTCATTACACGGGAGACGCGCAAACCACTCCTCGAATGGGTGCTCGGGTGCAGTGCGATTTTGGGCGGCTTGTACACGTGCTCGGTTTTCGTCGAGCACGCGCTGCACGCCAGCTCGCGCGCCGTCAAGCGCCGCCTCGGGAAAACACACTAGATCTCCGGTCGCTGAGGTTCCCCCGGCCCATCTGGGACCTCGCTTAGCGCTTTCACGAATTCATCACCGATATTTCCATTCGCGCACAGCACTCGTCGCGCGTAAATGTCGAACGCGTCTCCCGAAGGATCGAACACGACGCCGCCAGCTTCGCGCACAATAATCGTTCCCGCCACGCAATCCCATGGTCCGCCGAACCCGATCTCGAAGAACCCATCCAGTCTACCCATCGCCACGCCGCACATATTCATCGCACACGACCCTGAGCACCGCACGCTGCGTGACTTTTCCACCAACGCTCGCACGCGACCCATAATCGCGTCCACCGTCTTCCCGTCCCTGTGCACGCCAATCTCCGTTCCGATCAGCGCCTTCCCCAGCGTTCGCACCGCACTGCACGAAATTTTCTTCCCATTCAAAAACGCCCCGCGTCCTCGCACCGCGGTGAACATTTCGTCCGATATCGGATTAAAAACGACGCCCACCGTCGGTTCGCCGCCCTCGCACAACCCCACCGACACGCAACTAAACGGATACCCGTGCACAAAATTCGTCGTCCCATCCAGCGGATCGACGTACCAGCACCTCACCGACGTCGTTTTCGACAATTCTTTCGCCCCGCTCGCCGCGTGCGTCTCTTCTCCGACGACATCATCCTCTGGAAACGCTTCCCGCAGCGCGCTCAAGACTAAATCTTCACACAGTTTATCAGTCGCCGTCACGAGATCCACCGCGCCTTTGTACTCCACGCTCGTCTCGTTCGAGCGATCGCGCGTCCACGCGCGCGCGATCTCCGCTCCCGCGACGCGCGCCGCGCGCTCGGCGACGCGTAATTCTCGTTCGTGATCCATCAAAGGCGTCGCCGTCCCGAGGCGGTGCGTCCCGAAGTGTGGCGCCATCTCGCGTCGCGCGCGCGATGCGTCGCGCGAGCGCGGCCGAGGCGTCGACGAGCGACGGCGCGACCGCGCGCGCGGTGATCAAGAGCGAGGCGGCGTTCGCGGACGCGCTCAGGACGCATAAATCGAGGCTGTTGGTCGTCAACTACGGCGCCGAGTGGTGCAAACACTGCGCAAAGTTGACGCCCGCGATCGACGCGCTGCGCGAGCGCTGGGGCGGCGAGGTCGCGTTCGTGGACGCGGACGTGGACGCGCTGCCGTTCACGGCGCGCGCGGTGCGATGGACGCCGACGGTGGCGTTTTACAGAAACGGACGGTTGGTGGACGAGTGCGAGCGAGCAAAGCCGACGCAGGTGGCGGATCGCGCGTGGTTGCACGCGTGTCACGACCCGGACGATGGGGAAGGAAGTAGTGGGAGAAAGTAGTACATTTGTATATTCACGAACTAATGAAGCGATTAATACTCGGCGACGGTGGCGATGCGCTCGGTTTCAGACATGGCGTCGCCGCGAAACCCGACGGCGACGACGTCCTTGCCGAGCTCGAGCGTCCAGGTTTCGGGCGCGCCCGCGGGGACGATTTCGAGTGCCTGATCACCCGCGCTCGCGAAGACGTCCTTTAAGAGTACGTTCACGTCGATCGCTTCGTCTTCTTCCTCGTCCGAGTCGAACAGATCGGCGGTGAAGTCGTCGAAATCGATGTTTAATTTCGAGCACGTCTCGGCGATGGCGGCACGAGCGTCGGTTCTGTTCTTGTTCTCCACGCCTTCGGTGAGAGATACGATGGCGCGTTGCGTCGGTGCCATCGTCAACAAACGTTTCTGGTCTTGCATGCGCTGTGCGTGCACGTCGTACGATGACAACGCTTTCTTGATCGATCGCTCGATTTCCTCGAGATGCGTCACCGTCGCCTCGACGTTCAAGTTGCGATTGTTCGGAGTTTGCTCGATAGCGGGCAAGATTACCTTGGACAGCAAGTCGACAAACTTTTGTCGAATCGCTGATAGCTTTTCTCCGCTCTTCGTCAAGCTTTGAATATTCTTCAGCGCCCGGCTAAGCGTGGCGTGATATTTTTCGTGCAACTCGTGCACCTTGAGCCAATACTCTGACGTAGGTTGAACCGTCGACGACTTGGTGGCGGCGGCGATGGCTTGACGCTTAGTTTCCGCTTGCATCGCCATCGCATCCGTCGCCACGAGATCGGCGACAAATCCTTGAAGCTCGGGATTGATTATCGTCGGACGCTGCGCCCGTAACTGATTCGTCAACGACTTGAACATGTGCAAATCGAGGTGATCTTTGAGCTTGTTAACGTAAATCTGCCTCCTCACCTGCGCGTCTTCGGTCGATTGAAACTCGTTTGCGATCGCCGTCTTCCCTTTATTCTCTTCCAACCATCGCTTCAAGATGTCCCTTCGCATGGTTTTCTGATCCACCGGCGACAACGCTTCAAAATACGCTCGCCCCTCTTCGTACGGCGAACGCGCCGTCGAAGTCGAAGCCGCTTCGCCACCTCCCACACCCTCCGTCTTCGCCCGCTTCGCCGGCGCTTCCGCCATTTTTAAGCCTTGCGCTTCCATATTCTTTTGCGCCCTGTCGCGTATGATCTTCTCCGAGATCGACTCTATTTTGTTTAAAACTTTGCGCTTGTACGACTCTTCGCTCTTGCACTTTTCGAACAGCATCTTCTCCAGCTTCGTCGCCGCCACCCTAGCGTTCGTGACGACCGCGTCCGCGTAGGGCGGATCTTTCGCGGAGAGCATCGCGGTCATGCTGTCGAGCGCGGACGATGCGTGCGCGGTCAGTCTTCGCCCGTCGGCGCGTTTTCGTCGACAATTCCAGATGATTGATGATTGACTTTGCGCGCGCGGTTCGTCGTCGCTCGGGAGCACCACGCTTCGAAACGCACAGTTCCTCGCGGTTCTCGTCGCGATTGACGCGCGAGCGCCATTCATCGTCGTCTTCGCCCATTGTGCGCGGTGCGTTCGCGGCGCGAAGTGCGGTTCGAAGGCGCGAGGAGTCAAAAATGAAGGCTTTGCGTATTACACCAATGCGAGTGCGAGAGAAGAATCAGTGCTCGGTCATGCGATGACGTTTGCAGACTTGGGAGAATCTTTTGCGGTGACGACAAGCTTCCCCGTGGACGACGGGTCGACGTCGACGACGGCGGTTTGATCCTCGTTGACGTCGCCTCGAAGGATGGCTTGGGCTACGGCGGTTTCTAATAAGCTCTGCACCGCGCGCTTCACGGGACGAGCGCCGAATGCGGGGTCGTAGCCGGTGTCGGAGAGTAACGCAACGGCTTCGTCGGAGACTCGGAGTCCAATCTTACGATCAGCGAGACGGGAGGTGACGCGTTCGACTTGTTGTCGAACGATGGCGGTGACTTGATCCTTCGCAAGCGGATCAAAGACGATCCACTCGTCCACACGGTTGATGAACTCCGGTCGGAAGTGTCCACGCACAGCATCCATCACACGCTCGCGTCTAGTTTCTTTCGAAGCTTCGTTGGTGTCGAGCACATATTGACTACCGATGTTTGACGTCATGATGAGAATAGTGTTTTTGAAGTTGATCAAACGCCCTTGCGAATCGGTGACGCGACCATCGTCCAAAATCTGAAGCAATACGTTGAAAACATCACCGTGTGCTTTTTCCATCTCGTCGAAAAGTACGACAGAATACGGACGGTGTCGTACCGCCTCGGTGAGTTGACCGCCTTCCTCGAAACCGACGTACCCGGGCGGAGCGCCAATCAAGCGACTCACAGAGTGTTTTTCCATATACTCGCTCATATCGATGCGAATCATCGCTTCCTCGGTGTTGAACAAAAAGTTTGCCAATGTTTTGCACAGCTCCGTTTTACCCACGCCCGTGGGGCCGAGGAACATGAAACTCGCAATCGGGCGGTTCGGGTCAGAGAGACCCGCGCGAGAGCGCTGAATAGCCTCGCACACAGACTGCACGGCTTCATCTTGGCCGACGACTCGCTTGTGAAGTTCGGCGGGTAAATCAAGAAGTTTTTCCCGCTCGCCTTGCTGGAGCTTGGCGACGGGAATACCGGTCCACTTGGAGATGACGTCCGCGATGTCGGCCTCGGTGACTTCGTCGCGCAAAAGAGTCGGTCCCTCCGAAGTAGCGAGCTCGAGCACTTCCTCTGCCTCGTTTAGTCTTCGCTGCAACGTCATGAGCGTACCGTACTTCAACTCAGCCGCTTTATTCAAGTCATACTCACGCTCGGCGCGCTGAATGCTGTTCGTAACCGAATCAATTTCTTCCTTCAAAGTCTGAATCGCCTTCAACTTGTTTTGTTCACCTTGCCATTGATCGTTGAGCACCGACTGCTTTTCGGTGAGCGCCTTCAGATCGCTGTCGAGCTTCTCAACTTTGGATTGGATCGAGCGCGCGTCTCGCGAAGCGCCTGGTCGCGACAACGATATCTTCTCCATTTGAAGTTTCAAAATCTCGCGATCGATTTCATCCAAAACCGTCGGTTTCGACGTGATTTCCATCTTGAGCTTGGCTGCGGACTCATCTACGAGATCGATCGCCTTGTCCGGCAAGAAGCGATCGGCGATGTATCGGTCGCTGAGCGTCGCCGCTTCGACCAAGGCAGAATCAGAGATCGAGACCCCGTGATGAAGCTCGTAGCGTTCGCGTAAACCTCGCAAGATACTGATCGTGTCCTCCACCGTCGGCTGCGCGATTATAACTTGTTGGAATCGACGTTCGAGCGCGGGATCTTTCTCGATGTACGTGCGATACTCATCCAACGTCGTTGCTCCGATGCATCGCAGCTCACCTCGCCCGAGCATGGGTTTGAGCAAGTTACCCGCGTCCATGCCGTTGCCCCCGCCGCCTCCGCCTCCGGCGCCGACGACGGTGTGAATCTCGTCGATGAAAAGGATAATTTTCCCCATGGAGTCGGAAACTTCCTTCATCACCGCCTTTAGCCTATCTTCAAACTCCCCTCGAAACTTTGCGCCGGCGATGAGCAAACCCATGTCCAATGACATGATTTTCACGTCTTGGAGAGACGTCGGGACGTCGCCTCGAACGACGCGTTGCGCCAGTCCCTCCGCCACCGCCGTCTTCCCTACCCCGGGTTCTCCGATCAACACCGGATTATTCTTCGAGCGACGACTTAAGATTTGAATCGTGCGACGAATTTCATCGTCTCGGCCGATGACGGGATCCAACTTCCCCGCCCGAGCCTCCTCCGTCAAATCCCGCGAGTACTTTTTCAGCGCCTCGTACTTATCCTCGGCGTCTTGATCCGTCACGTTCTCTCCCCGACGCAGCGTGATCACCGCGGCCTCGAGATTCGCGTACGTGATCCCCAAATCCGCCATCAATCCTTTCCCAAATCTCTCGTCTCGCGCCAGCGCGAGCACCAAATGTTCCACCGCCACGAACTCGTCCGACATGCCGCTCGAAATCGTCCGCGCGTCGTCCACGAGCGACTCCAAAAACCTCCCCAGCACCTGTTGCGCCGCCCCGCTCACCTGCGGCTGCCCCGCGATGAAATCACGCGTTCTCGATATCACTAATTTCAAATCCTTCACTCCCGCTTGGGCGAATATCCGCATCGCGAACGCGTCCTTTTGCGAGCACAGCGCCTCGCACACGTGCTCCGTCTCCACGATTTGTTGTTTGCTCTGTTTCGCCACCTCCGGCGCCCGCACGATCGCGTCCCACGCGCGCGCCGTGAACTCATTCTGGCTTATCTTCTTCCCTCCGCTCCCGCCCGCGCCCGCGCTCGCGCGCGCGACCGCGCGCCCTCGTCGTCGCGCCGAGGCTTCGTCATCGCGTCGCGCGTCTTCGACGCCCCTCCCGACGCGCGTCGCCGTTCGACGCGTCGCCGTCGCGCGCGCGCGCCGCGCGCGCGCGACGCCCGCCCGCGTCGTCGTCGTCGTCCCGGTCGCCGTCGTCGCCATCGCCGTCGCTCGCGCGCGCGTGTGCCGTCACGTCGCGTCGCGCCCGGCCCATGACGCCTCGATTCGTCGTCGTCGTCGAGCGCGACGCGCGCGCGCGCGGAGACGCGCGCGTCGAGCGCGACGCGCGTCCGCTGACGCTCGACGACGTCGACGCGCGCGCGCGGTCGCTGCGCGTTCGCGTCGACGCCGACGCCGCGCGGTGTCGGGTGTCGGCGCGCATCGCGCGCGGCGCGCGCGGCGCGGACGCGGTGAGCGTCGTCGAGCGCGCCATCGGGCGACGAAACGTCGCGCGGTGCGCGCCCGTGGGCGACGGCGAGGCGTGGTGCGTCGACGTGGAGCCGGACGAGGGCGAGAGCTTGAGCGCGTGCGCCGAAGCCATCGCGGACGCGGCGAGGGCGATCGCGACGAGCGACGACGGCGACAGGGCGACGTGGGCGACGCACGATTACTTTGGGGAGTGCGATAACGGATTTTGAGGCGCGCGCGGAGACGGAGACGCGGCGGAGACGGAGACGCGGGCGGGACGCGGGCGGGACGCGAGGGCGACGCCGCAGAACGCGACGCTCGTCTCGACTCGAGATGGCGACGCGACGCGCGCGGGCGATCGTCGTCGTCGCGTGCGTCGCGTGGGCGATCGCGAGCGGGGTCACGCGCGCGGACGCGCTGTGGGGACGTCGCGGGGGGGGGGCGAACGCGGCGAGCGCGGGCGCGGCGGACGATCGGCGCGTGTGCTTCGTCGCGGCGACGGTTCCGTGGACGTTCGGCGCGTACCAGGCGCAGGCGCTGGGACTCTCTAAAGCGTTCGCGGATAATGGGTACGAGACGTTTTGGATGCCGCGCGTGCCGGGGGTGCGGTTGCCTCCGGGCGAGTACGCGGATTGGCGCCGCGCTCGCGAACGCTTCGCGGGCGACGTGCGCGCGCCGACGAAAGCGGAGCAAAAGGCGATGGAGCACCTGACGTTTTTGGGCGTGCCGGACGTGCACGCGCCGTACGCGCGGATAAACGAGCTGTCGATGACGATGAAGCAGGTGAACGAGGCGTCGTCGACGCACCGACTGGACGCCTTCGTGTTGCTCATGGATATCGGACAAATGTATTTCGATGGGTACGATTTCGCCGTGCCCGTGGTTTTGTGGATGCCGTATCACCACGAAGAAGCGGACGCGTCGGTGGCGGTGGTCCGGACGTACTCGGGCGTGGCGGCGTTGTCCGACACCACGGGTCGCGCGATCGCGACGGAGCAGCCGCTCACGCGCACGATTCCTCATTTTATCGATCGCGCGTCGCTCAACGCGCTCGCGGACTCTTTCGAGACGAAACTGAAAATCGCCGACGATGTCAAAAATAGACGCAAAGTCATTCGCCGCGCGGTGTTTGATTCTAAAAAGTACGACAGAATGTTCTCGAGGAGCATCGACGAAGTCGACGACGACACCTTCTTGGTGCTCATGCAAGGTGGCAACTACGAAAACTCTGACAGGAAAGGATGGGTGGCGTCAATCAACGCGTTCGCTGAATTTCAACGAGCGAACCCGAAATTAAAGACGCACCTCTGGATTCATACGGTGGACAGCGCTATGACGCAAAACGATCTGAACCACAAGAGCAAGCCGCCCGTCGCGGTTTTGCGAACGGGTATATCCCTACGTGCCGCGCTTCAACGCGCACAAATTCCATCGAACATGTACACGCTGGATGAGAATTTGCACGACAAGGTTTTCACGTCGGCACTGAAAAGACACGCCGACGTGTGTTTGCACACGTCGAAATCGGAAGGTTTCGGCATGGTCGTCCTCGAGTGCCAAGCGCTGGGTACGCCCGTAGTGACGACGAACTACACCGCGATGCGCGATTACACCAAATATGGGTTAGCGGTCGAAATTGGGGCACGTGAATCGATACAAGGTGCGTATTTCGCAGCGCCGAGCGTACCGGGCGGCGCCGCGGCTTTGACGGCTATTGCCACGGGCGCGGCAAGTCTTCCTCTGGTCGAAGACGTGTACAAGTGGATCGATGAAGAGCTTTCCTTGAGCGCGGTCTTTACAAAGTTCGAATCTCTCCTCGGCGAAGCCAAGATTGCGCACGCAAAGCGTACACCGTGGAGCCAAGTCGACACGTACAAAACTAGACCGCTCTTCACCGTGACCACCGATGAATATCCGAGACTCGCGACGTGGGACACTCCTTGGACGCTGTACCACCATCCGGGCGTCGAAGTTGATTACGATACGATTCAGCGGATGTTGATTCAAGCGACAAGTTCAGGAGATTATTACGTCATCGCCGTGGCTCAGACGCGAAGAGAAGGCGTATTACTGCCGTTCGATCCTCAAGATGGTGTGCACAACATCAACCCGTACCACGTCGCTATCGTTCGCACGTGGATGCTCAGGCAGTTTCAAGAGGCGAACAGTTATATATGGTCATCCGTGTATCAAATCATGCAAACGTGCGGCGATCACAAGTTTTTCTTGCCGCTTCCGGAGGGGCTGGCGAACATCAAGCCAAACCTGGATCCGGAGATCGCGAGCCGCGACGAGCTGTAGTTATGTAAGGAGTAATTATAATGGTAGTAGTGCAGTGAATAAACTGACAGTGCGCTAAAGTTGTTTTAATCCTGATGAAAACTTTGGCTGCGAGTCCGCTTCTTGTGCGCGAATGAGCGCTTGGATCGCAGCGTGTTGAGCGTGGCGGTGAAGTTGCCAACCGCCATGAGAACGAATAAGACGCCCGCCACGGACGCTTGCCACTCTCGCATGATGTGGCTTTCTATGCGATACGTCGTCATGACCACGAACAGCACGCTCGCGCCGACGTACAGTTGCATCGCCTGCAAACCGAACAGGAGTGGGTACAAAAGCTTGAGCTGTCCGCCCGAGAGTTCAATCGACGCCACGTCCATGGGCGACGCTTTCCCCATCGCCACGCGCGTGTACAAGCGGAAACGCTGGTATCTATTTTGGACTAACATCACCACTCCCTGAAGCGTGGTGAAGAGTAAGAATCTCAAAGTGAACGCCTCGCACGCGGGCGAATCTAAATCCATCGTCAACACGCACAGCGCCATCGCCGCCGAATAGTAGTGGTGCTTAATCCACCACGGACGAATCGTCGACCCGTTCACGCGCAAAATGTTCTCCCGCAGCGCGAGTGCGGTGTAAAAGTACAAAAGCCACACCCAATACAGCTGCAGTGCGATCGGATAAAACGCCCTCAAGTATCCAATCTGCGTCGCGTCCAGCGCCTTCGGGTGCACGCGTTCGCTGTATCCGAGCAACAACGCCAACGGCGCCAACACGTAAACCACCGTATTTTGATCGCGAAAGTGATAATACTCCTCCTTCAACCGCAATCTCGCCTCTTGTCTCACGGAATTGATCTCCACCGCTCCCCCGACGAACAGTCGCAGAAACCGCGAGTGCGTCGTCTTCGGCTTCATGTACCCGTACAAGTCTCCACCCGGTCCCGCGCCTTGTATCACCCGTCTCGCGCCGTACAGCGCCGCGCGCGTCTCCATCGTATCGTACGCCCCGTCCCCCTCCTTCGCTTTCCCCTCCATGTCCATCAGCGCATCGTTCAGCGCCGAGAGTTCAAGTTTCAGCGACTTCATGTTTGAATCCAACTGCGCCACGCGTCCACTGATCACGTGCGCGCGTCGCTCGACGTCGCACGCCGCGTCCGCGACGGCGTCCGGCGCGTCCCTCTCGCGCGTCGCGTTCGCGTTCGCGTCCATCGCGCGATCGAACGCGTCGCGAATTCGTTTCGCGCGCGTCGCCCTCTGTCGCGCGTCGCCACTCCGCGCGCGCGACGTCGCGCGCGATGCGTCGACTCGCGCGCGCGCGCGCGACGCTGCGGTCGGCGCCGTTCGCGCGCGCGGCGACGCACGCGACGACGACGTTCGACGGCGTCGCGCCGGGCGCGACGGTGGCGTTCGACAGCGAACGCGCGCGCGTGGACGTCGTCGTCGCGCCGCACGCGTCGGCGACGGAGCGCATCGAGATCGAGATCGCGGACGACGCGCACGACGCCGAGTTCGAGATCACGCGCGCGCGAGGCGACGGCGGGCGAGGGGAGGTGGTGCTGGTGCGGGACGCGAGGACGGGGGCGAGGGACGGGACGCGCGCGGCGGTGCGGGCGAGGATACCGCCGAGATTTTGCGGCGTCGACGCGCGGTTGAGGGGGGAGAATTCGACGATTTCGGTGGAATCGGTCGTCGAGGCGGGGGTGAAAGTGCGCACGAACGGCGGGGACGTGGAATTGGGGACGATCAAAGGGTCGACGATGGACCTGGATACGAGCGGAGGCGCGGTGCGCGCGCGAGGATCGGTGAGCGCGGATTCCAGAGTGCGCACCGCGGGGGGGGACGTGACGATGCGCGGTAAGTTTGTTGGGTCGGTGGTGTACGTAGACACCGAACCAGAAGGGAAGTTTCACGCTGAGGCGGTTTTTGGGGATAAAGTGAACGTCAACACCGGCGGCGGCGACGCGACGGCGAAGAGTCTACGCGTGGGTGAATTCGGTCTCGTGCGCACGAGTGGTGGCGCCGTTTCCATCGGAAGTTTAGAGGGTGCGGGTGAAGAAATGATCGGTATCGATTCAGGCGGCGGCGACGTGTCTGTCAAATTCGCCGAGCGCGTGCACATCGCGCACGTCAATTCTCGAGGCGGAGGCATCGACGCCTCCTTTCCGAGCGGCTTCTCTCCCCAACCACACGTCATCGGCGTCTACCGCGACGCGATCGTCGACGATATCGTCCAACTTCCCTCCGCTGACGGCGTCGAGGGCGTAAAATCAGCGCCACCGACCGCTCGCGCGCGTCTCGTCCACGGTTCCGCCGACGAAGTCGCTCGCAAAGTCGCCGCCGCCGCCGAGGGCAGTTTCGTCACCCTCGACGCCTCCAACGTCGCCGACGCCGGCATCGTGCGCATCGACACCCATTCATGGTTCACCTCCGCGCTCGCCGCCGCGCGCGCGTCGTCCAGTCGCTAATATTTATCATCTTTGTTGTTGTAACTGTATTCGCGTTTTGTCGCTCCAGAGTTTGAAATTCCTTTTTCACCCAACCAACTAACTCGTCATCTTTCGAAAGCGCCGCACACGCGCGCGCGCGAGCGCGGCGCGCGGGGCGAGCGCGAAAGTACCATGTTGGCGCGCGTCGCGTCGTCGATGCGCGCGTCGTCGTCGCGCGCGGATCGAGCGACGACGACGAATAAAAGTTTGAGTTTCGACGATGGAGCCGACGACGATGGAGCCGATGACGACGCATCGGTGTCGCTGTCCGACGCGGACGCGCTGATGGCGATGTCGAGGGCGGTGCACGGCGCGGCGCTGATCGCGGCGTCGACGGCGCGGTGTGATTTGGTATGAACGCGAACGCGAACGCGAACGCGAACGCGAACGCGAACGCGAACGCGAACAATTCGCGAGCGAAGAGTGAAAGACTGATGAATGGCGATGCCGCGATGTAGGTGTCGTGTTGTTACATTATGTGTTACCTCGCGCTGTGCGCGTCGACGCGACCGGTGGCGAGGGCGGTGTTACGGTCGACAAAGGCGGTGACGTTTACGACGTTCGTCGCCGGAGGATTTTTGTTCGTGCAGGTCGTTTTTCAAACGTCGTACGCCGCGATCGGGGCGGAACGAGTCCCAACGAAATGGCTGGAAGTGTTCGGGTTGCAAAAGTTCGATGAAGCGACGGTCGGCACGCGTTCGCTCATTCCGGATGCGTTCGTGGCTTTGACGTCGCTGTGGGCGCGAGGCGAATTGAGACGAGAGTTGGCTCATTTGGAGGCTGGCGGGTCGAGAAGAACCACAGCGATTGCGAAGTACTTGCGACGAGGTTTGATGTTCGTCGTCGGGCTGACAGAGGAAGATTTGCGGAATACGATACAGAAATGGTGGCGTCTGCTCGGTTTCATTTGTTGCGGCGTCGTGGGATACTCGGCAAACGGAGTGTTGCAGTTTCTCCTCTTCGTCGCGGTGCACACGCGTTTCGTCGGCGGGCGCGGTGATCCACGCACGTCACGTTTGACGCGACTTGAGCACGCAATTTCAACCACGGGTAAAATGCAATTCCTGACGGGATTGATCATATTCGGGTCGTATGTGTTTACTTCGCTCGGGGCGACGTCGCAGGAATTAGAAACGTCCAAAGTCGCAAACATCTTTGGCTTTTGGACCTTGGGTAGGAATGGACGGCTTTGTTGCATGAAACCGGCGCAAACTGTTGGGTTCATTTTCGCTCTGTTGGCCAACGCATGCTTCGCCTTGGCTGTGTCACACGGCGATATAGATAGTTCATTCAAGTTTCAAGAGCTGATGGGATTCAGAGTCCGCGTGGGAGGGTATCGACCTTTGCTCTACGCTCCAATCTTAGCCGCCGCAATCACGTTCACTGGTTTAGCAACCGTTGGAGGATTGCCCATGAGTATGATTCAAGTTGTGGACATAGTCACAGTTTTGGTGACCATTTTGCGAATGCTGGCGTCAGCGAGAAACCTCAGTGGTACGAGAGGCGCCGATGTTGACGCCAAGAAGTTCCAAGATAAGTGGCTGGTGCGTTTGCGAAATACGCTTTGGTATTATATCGCATTTCAGTACGTGTACATCTCGCTTTTGTACGTCTATAACATACCAGAGGTCGCCGGTAGTCTCATGGACGCGTGGCCGAGTAGTTTGAGTCGACAGCTCACCCCGCTCGACTTTGGTTTACTGCAGACGCCGGCGCTCCTTTCTTGGAAGTACATGTGGCCGCGTTACCTTACACTGGTCATGTGCGTGATGTTGTATTACTGGCTTAACGAGCGTTTGCAGCGCGATAGTGAAGATTACGACAGTGACTGGTACGAAGATGGGCTGCCTGAGGGAACACCGATTCGTCGTCTCGATATGAGTAAGGAATCCGAGTCGACGAAGGTCGAGGACATCAACACCATGCGTCCGTCTATCTTTCTGTATCACGCTACCGCTACGGTATTAAAGCACGTGAAAGACTCGGTAGGTGATGAATTCGAATCCGCGTTACACGGCGTATCCATGGAGCTGCTTTTACTCGTGGCAACAATCTGTGTGGCGTTTCGAGTCGAAGTCGTGAGTATGCTCTACGTCGTGGTTATAATGTTTGCATGCATAGAACTCGCTGTGCCAACAATCCGCGGCAAGGCTCCCGTACCGCTTCGGTATGGAACTTTTAGCGTCATTGGAACGTCGATGAGAATTTTGACGGATTCATGGCGATTCTTGAACCGAATGCGTCGGATACGAAGCAATGTTATCACGGCCGCCGACATAACGCCGCCGCCGATTCAGACAAGGCGCAGTCCATCTGGATCGTCTGGGTGGTTCAGGCGTCACCTGAGGGAATCAGACTATCATCATGCCGCGCCAGTATCAATTCACACTGAGGTGAATGACTACGGATTTTATTTGGCTCTACTGGCGACGATTTCCATCGTGTTCAAACAGCTCACGCTCTTGACGATCTTCCAATCGGGATCGCTGAACACGTTAGTAAACGAAAATTGGGGGAGTTGGCTTGGCTTGATTTCACTTTACGATCCACGTCTCGGCGATGACTTGCAAACCACCACGAGTTGTTGTGCGTGGCCTTACGTTCTCGATTCCACCAAGACATTTTGTCAGGATGCTAGTGTTGCGGCGTCATCATCAAACCAGTTCCCGACGCAAGCGTGCTTGACTTTTACGACAAACTGGTACATTTTTGGAGCGCATTATGCGGTGATCATTTTCGCCGTTTTACACGGATTCTTGCAGAGACGACACAATGTCAAGGTGCAACGGAAAGCAAAATCGACGACGGCGACCGCAGTTCCGCGAGCGAGTTATTGGGCAAAGCTTCGCGGTGAAGTTCAGGGATGCGATGTGGCAAAGAAGTTGAAATTGCTCATCGTCGCCGAGCGCATGAAAAACAAAAACATCGAAACGCCAGTGGGCAAGAAGAAAATCGTCACGACGGATGAAGGCATGTCCCCCATGGTGCAGCAGACGCCGATTCGCGCAGAAGAAGATATATTCGCCAATCTCGTCAAACAGGTGAATGCCGGGAGTTTGAAGCATAGCAAAAGTAAAATCGCACTGTACGGATGGCGCCCAATCGTCATAAGGATGGTTTATCGATTCGTGAAGTGGGATGTCAAGAATACCTTCGAGACACTAGATTCCGCGATTGAGCAGCTCGCGAGCTTGAAGTATCTGCTCGCGATGGCCGTGTTACTGATCAATGCCTTCTTAAAATCAGATGTGACGAGTTCTATATATATCATCATCCTTGGATACTTTTTGGCCTTCAACAATCGCGCAGGAGTTGTGAGATTTCAGTCTCAAGGTTACGCAATACTTCTCATCATCGGCGCCATCTTGGCGATACACATCATGGCCGCCTTGCGCCTGCCGCCGAGTTGGCTCAATACAAATTACTGTGAGACGTGCCCTGAAAAACGGTTTTGGCTCGATATTTGGGACTGTCCGTCCTCCGCTGCCGCAGCGCCTGCGCCGTCAGCGTATTTGGATTGCAACTCGAGGCCAGTTTTTGTACATGAGTACGAAATAATATCTGACATCCTCGTGATGTTACTCGTGGGACATTACGTGCGAAAAGGACACAAAAACATGGTTCGGGACGACGTCCGCACGGCATGGATGCGCGGCTACGTGAAAGCGAAAGGCCAAAAGATGGGTAGCGAGTGGGTGCAGTCAGAGGCGTTTACATCTCTCGCAAACAAAGTCAATACTCGCCTCGCAGAACGGCGCAAGCTCGATGAAACATCAGAACTTTCCTACGATGACAAAATAAAGCGATGGGACGCGGTAAACGTGCAACTCCAAGAGTACGTTCCGAGCGTGGACGCAGACCTTCAAAGGGAAGAAATGAAGCGCGCCAATTGGACGAATCGAAATCTATCGAGGCAAGTTTCAATTAAGGAAGAATTGCAAGTCATTCAAGAGCACTACACTTTCAGCCAAATCGCTTCGATGGCGATTCACGAGCGACGAACGACTGTGCGACGGAGAATTGAAGAGATCATGGGTCAATTCTTCTTGAAGTTCTTCTACAAGTATCTACTTTTGGTCATCGTTATTCTCACTACGACGGCTGCCGTGGCGCAGCACGATAGTGATTTCATATCACTGTGCTATGCGGGAATCACGATTTTGTTTTCGATGCGCTTCAATGAGTTGCGAATAAACACTCGAATATTCCCGAGTCGCGCCCACAAATGGTGGAATGGCGAGTTGTTCCGTCTCTTGCCCGTGTACGTCTTCACCGTCCTCGCGGCGAAACTTGTGTATCAGATCCCCTATATCAAGCCGATACTTCTCAATGGTCGCACTGCGCGACTTGGGTCATGTGTTGTGGGTACGCGCATGTGCGAAACAATTAACTCCTTGTTCGGTGTCCGTAAACTCGGCTCGGCGTGTGACGCTACCATGCTCGCTGCAGACTGTGTGTCTGTGTTGGGTTACAGCTCTGGTTCCATAGGCGTCGACGTCGCGCTATTCATTCTTTGCTCGGTTCAAGCGCAACTTTTCTCCAACGAACGATACGTCCGTGAAGTCTTGCGATTAGAAAAAAACGCAATGGACAAGCGTGCTCGCCGTTCCATCTTGTATCGCAAATACATTCTTGGATGGCGAGCAAAGATTCAACAGGAGATTGATGAAGAGTACAAAATGATCACCGACAAAGTTCGAGCGAGCGCCTTGCAAGCGTCTGAATGGACTCATTTCCAAAAGTTCAGGCACACAATCGACGAAGAGACGGCGGCGGAAAAATATGTTCCTGAACATGTCACTGTGCGGGCACAAAACTCAACCACCGTCGAGGTGAAGTGGAAGATGCGCGGCTCGACTGACGACATCGAACAATTCACTATAAAGCGCGAGCGTTCGCCGCGGACAACGATATTTCCACATCACGTGAACCCAGTGAAAGTGGACGTTGATGCAGAGTCACGGGCACCGTCATCACATGTGATCTCTGGTCTAACTCCGGGTATGAGCTACTCCTTCACCGTGCAATCGTGTTCAAGGTCGATTGGTTACGGACCTCCGTCAGAGCCATCCGACGTCGTCACCATGCCAATGCCGCAAGACGACGAGGAAGGTGAAGAGGTTTTATCGGGCAAAGACAAGTTGATAAATGGCGTTGCCAAGGTTGTCCACGCTGCGAGAAATTCTGCCGCTTACTTGCTCGATCCCGCGCTATATCCGTTGCCCAACGACAAAGGCGGCGAAAGCGAGTGGACTCGAAAAGGAGACTGGGGCGGCGCGAATATCATTACCGGCTTCGGAAAGATCATCTATTCTCAAAGCGAGCGCTTGTTGTACATCGCTTTGGTGTGTAACTTCATCGATCACGTCGATTTGATGAGTGCATGTCTCGTGATCTTCATTTTGGCGTTCGCGGCGATGTGGAATCCGCAGCCACTGCCGGAGATGTGGCGTTTCATCTTCTGGTATTCCGTCGCGTGCTTTTACGCACGGATTTTGCTCCGAAGCAAGGCGTTCTGCATGGAACTTGATGCGAACGCAAAGTTTGACAACCGCAACAAGTGGTACATCAGTGCGCAACCGTATTGTCCGACGATGACGTTGTATGACCCGGCCGCGGACAGTGAGTTTAGCACGTTGAGTGCGACTCTTCTCACCGTCCCACGCGCTCGAAATTTGGTTCGCGATGAAGTCTGGACAGACATATTTCTCATTGTCACGCTCGTCTTACACATGTCACACATGCATAGTTTGGGTCAATGCACGAGGCGCGATGCCATCCCGCTAGCTCCTCGAGAAGATTATCAGACGTACCATGCTGGTGAATTCAAGGACGACATCGACTTGGCGGCGTTGACGTCGCCGCCGCTTGAGGATGTCGCGACAGGAAAAACACGGCAAGTCGAGACGCACCATCTAGAAGGACGCACTAGTAAGGAACGCACTCGTGCTTTGAGACGACGTGAACGGAGAAGGGCGTATATGAGGACGTTCGGCCTCTTCACTAGGGGTATACACGTTGCACAAACTCGTTTCAGAGAATTGGTGACGCAGATTTGTCTTAGCAATTCCGCCAAAATGCCGAAAAGGAATGTCGGCAAACCGGGCGTCGACCTTTACTCCTTGGAGATTTTCTTACAATTAATCATTACTTGTTGGTTTGTCACGGGTTACCGTAACTTAGTCTTCGAGTCTGGCACGGCGCTGAGTTCGACGGAGTCCTTTGGAACGGGACTGACGATTTCCATCGTGTCGTCTGTGATGTGGATAATTGTGATGCGCTTGGTGTATCTTTCGCAGAACATCAAGTTGAAGTTCTACTTGCACTTTGCACAAGTCGTGCTATACGTCTCACTGGTTTTCATTTTCCTTCCGTTACTGGACACGCGTTCATTCGTGTCTCCGCGACATAACTCGCATCTCAAGGCGTTTACGGTTTTGATGCTCTTCCAATTCATCGTCAGCGCGTTGCAACTTCGAGAAGGTTTTAGGGAGGGGTATCAGTTCAAAATCGTCCTCATGCGTTTCGGGAATACCCCTGTAGGACGATTCGTGTACAACCTCATCAACACGTTGCCATTCTTGTTCGAAATACGAACTCTTTTGGACTGGGTCGTGTGCGACACGAGCATAGATTACGTCATGTGGTTCCGGTACGAGACGCTTTACTACCTGTTGCACAAAACGGACATGCTCATCTCGTGGAGACGGAACAGACGCCAGTATTACAGCGGAGCAAAACCTGTGCCTTGGCCCCTTAAGATTCTACTCGGCGGCGGCATCATCGCCATCATCATGCTGTTGCTCACCGGGCCGATTTTCATCTTTAGCACATTCAATCCGGCGTTGACGAGCAACAGAATAGAAGCTGCGACGATGCAGGTGCAATTAGACTTCTACGCGGATGAAAAGACGGAGCGTCACAGGATATACTCTGGGTTCGCGACCGGTTACGGGATGTCTTCGATCTCGCAAGAGGCAATGAAGTCAGAACTTCTCAGAGGTCTTTCCTTTCGCAGCATTGACTCCGACTGCGTGCGGTTTCCAAAGTATTCTCAAAGCGCTTGGATTTTGCCGCAAAGTTCGAAACTAGCTCTCGCACAGTCGCTCAACACAGCAGCAGCAGCATCCACGTGCACGGCCAAGATGACTATCACGACGGAGTTCACTAGACTCGGCCCGCTGAAGGCGAAGACGGTTTCGCAAGACTTGGTGGCGACGCTCACCAACGCGCATTGCGCCGCGCTCGCCGGCGTCATCACCAACGGTCAAGGGAGTATCCAGTTCGCAAACGTGATACCGCGCGGCTTTCATCTCACACCTGAGACCATGGTCGAGATCTTGGATTTCAACACGTCGGCGTACATCGGCTTAAACATGACGCTAGGATCGACGCCGACGGCGAATTTGTGGGAAGTGACTCCGACGTCGCCCTCTTTCCCAACCGCTGCGCCGGATTTCTGTGGAATTGACTCGACGCTACCGCCTTCAGATTACGGGGTTTTATACGCCACCATAAGCGATCGATACCTCGTCGGTTTAGTGTCGAGCTTGGGCTTATCGAGCTACAGTCTTCGCGCGCTGTACGGCTTTGTTTTCGTCACCGTCGGCTTTTTTGTTCGCACGATGTACAATTTCAAACTCTCCGACGTCTTCGTGAACGAAATCGCCAACACTGATGAGCTGATCAACGTCTGTCGAGGTTTGCGTTTAATTCGGTCGTTAGATTATCCCGGAAGACGACGGGATGAAATGAAGATGTACTACTCCCTCATGAGGATGATGCGTGAGTCGTCTCTGCGAAGAGTCATCAGTCGAAACGCCGATGAAATTTAGCGAGCATTTCGCGAGCAAATTTAGTGAGCGACAACAAATCTAGGACTAATGAATCGAATGTCTCCTCCAACCCACGCGCTTTTGTCCGGTGACATGTGCGGCCACCCTGAGGGCGTGCACGACGCCCGCGCGGTCGATTGCGCCGAATTCGTACATCGCCAGAACGGTTCTGAGATAATACGAGAAGAAATCCTTCTCACGCAGCGAGCGCCAGTGCGTTCTAGCGAATGCCTCACACAGCGCCGGGCTTTCGTGACGTCCCAAGCACCGAAACCTCAGCGCGATGGAATTCCACTTGACCATGTATTGGAGCTCCTCCTCGGCGAGGTCTGTAAATTCGTGAATCAACCGCGCGCTCTCGTCGATTTCCCGTCGAGCTCCATCGTCGTCTGAATCCACCTCTGGCGTCGCAGACATCATCGTAAACGACGAAGAGTTGAAATACACACCACGCGCGGGTTCGTCGCGTTCGAGCGGTGCGCGCACGGCTCCACCGCGTTCGGGCGGCGGCCGCTTCGTCCGCTTCGCGCGTCCCGCCGCCGCCTCTTCGCGCGCCTCCTCGGGCGACGACGTCGGCGACGACCTCTTCGCGCGCTTCTCCGTCGATTCCGTCGGTGTCTTCGGCGGTGACGGCGAGCCGTCCGCGCGTCGTCCCGTCGTCGTCGTCGCGCGCGCGTCCGCGTCGCGTCGTCGCGCCTCGTTCGCCGTCGCCGCCTCGACCGCCGTCGCGTCGCGTTTCCCCGCGCGCGCGCGACGCACGGCGTCGTGGAGCATCGCGCGCGCGCGCTCGAGCGTCGCGCGGACGCCCGATAGCCCTCCGGGCGGCGACGCCATCGCGCGCGCGCGGGCGGCGTCTGGCGCGTTCGCGACCGAGTTCGTTGCTCGGGCGCGACGAGACGACGCGGAGCCGTACACGACGTGAAGCGTTCTCTACAATACAAAACAAAAGAACAACAAAGAGCGAATTTACGATTCGACTCAACAAAGCGAGCGGTATTCGTACAGAGCGCGCGCGCGCGCGGTCACAGGTCGACGGCGGCGCACAGAGCGCCGAGGGCGTCGGCGTCGGCGGGCGCGGACGCGCCGTCGACCTTCTCGAGCGACGTGGTCGTTTGAGGGTGAGCCAGACGTTGGCTTCTGCGCTTCGCGCGGGCGTAACACCTGTTACACACGACGGCGTTGAGCATGCCCGCGCGCTCGAGCACGGCGAACTGCGCCGAAAGACTTCGCCACTGCGGCGTCTGGTGCGTCCCGCACTCCGCGCACGTCTCCGTCGATCGGTCGTACATCCGTTTTCGCCCGCGCGCGTCGCGCTGGCGCGACGCGGCGTTAACGGCATCCTTTCGCGGCCGTCCTCGACCTCTCTTCTTCCTTCGAACCTCTGGCGGCGCTCCGTTCGCGCCCGGTCCTCCCGGCGGTCGCGCGCTCGCCGCGCGCTCCCGCTCTCGTTCCCGCACCTTCGCGCGCTCGTCCGCGATCCGCGTCCGTCGCAACCGCGCCAAATCCATCGCGTTCCTCTTCGAACTCTCCTTCAAAAACGCCCGCTTTTCAAAAAACTCAAACGCGTCCGCCGTCCCTCGCCCTCGTCCCTCCCCCGTCCCTCCCTCGTCCCTCTCCACGCTCACGATGTCCACCGACACGCTCGCCGGCCCGAACGTATCGAACGTCACCGCCGTCTCCTCCGCCGTCAACCGATCCCCTCGTCCGATCTCTCGCGGTTTCAACCGCAGCAAGCGATCGTACGAGTGCTCGCTCAGCGTCGCGATCTCCGCGCCGCTCAGGATCCCCGTCGCCGAACTCCCCCCGTCGCGCGCGCTCGCGTCGCGCGCCGCGCGCCCGCCGTCGTCCGCTCGCGCGCGCCGCGAGACGATCATCGCGCGCCGCGTTCGCGCGCGCCGAACTCCCCGCGCCGCGCGCGATCGCGATCCCGCGCGATCGCCCGTCCGACCGACCACGACGTCGGACGACGAAAATATCCACGCTCCTACACGTGCGCCATGTTAAAGTACGAACGATTCAACGCATTTCAAGAGATGTTCGAGGGATCAGACGGGATTCGCGACGACGGCATCGCGCGCCTCCGCGTGCGCCATGTTAAAGTACGAACGATTCAACGCATTCTAAGAGACGTTTGAGGGATCAGACAGGATTCGCGACGACGGCAGCACGCGCCTCCACGTGCGCCATGTTAAAGTACGAACGATTCAACGCATTTAAAGAGATGTTTGAGGGATCAGACAGGATTCGCGACGACGACGATCCGTCGCGCGGCATCGCGCGACGCGCCGTCGCCGCGCGTCGTCGCGCGACGCGACGCGACGCGACGCGACGCGATGGCGTCGCGCGAGCGCTCGGAGGCGCTTCGACGCGCGATGGCGCGACACCGCGCGGGACGCGGAGCGAGGGAAGAGACGCGGCGGGACGCGGGACGCGCGGCGACGGAGGACGCGAACGCGCGCGCGCGACGACGCGCGGAGGCGCGAGGCGTCGACGCGCGGCGGCGCGAGGGCGACGAGGGGTGGCGGGCGATGGCGCGCGCGCGGGCGGAGTCGCGACGGGCGAGGGAGACGGCGAAAGGCGCGGGAGGGAGGCGCGAGGCGGGCGCGCGGGACGACGACGCGCGAGGACGACGACGAGGCGAGACGGCGAACGGGACGGAAGGGAGGGCGGACGCGACGGACGCGCGCGAAAAGGCGAGGGCGAACGAGACGACGCGCGAGGAGGCGGCGACGCGCGCGCGACGGGAGACGTCGGTGGCGACGGTGGCGACGGGTCGGAGGGCGTCGGCGGCGGCGCGTTGCTTTTGTTTCGCGAGCGCGGGGGACGAGGAGACGCGGACTTTGGAGGATTTAGACGACGAGGCGGCGCGCGAGGGCGCGGAAACGTTCGCGTCGACGTCGCGCGCGGTCGAAGCGGTGGTCGAGCCGGTGGTGACGGCGACGCGCGTCGCCGAAGGAGAGGACGCGGATTCGAGCGAGCGGGAACGCGTCGCGCTCGACCGGGCGCGAATGGAACGCGAGGTGCGCGAGCTTGAAATTAGGTTGCGTTCGGAAGAAGACGCGCTGCGTGCGCGCGAAAGATCGCTCGTCGAGAGGGAAAATCGAATCGCCGAGCGCGAGCGGCTCGCCGCGGATAAGGAGACGGAGGCGGAGCGTCGGTTGGCCGAGTTGCAGATTGAGGAAAAGCGATTGCTAAACGTCTCGCAATCGCAGAGGCGGCAGGATTCGTCCACGAACGCCACGGCGGCGCCAGAGGGTGATTTGAGCGACGTCGGCGAAGCGGGGTTGAAGACGGAGCTCGGTCGAATGCGAAAGACGACGAAGCAGTTCACCGAAAAAGAGCGCGCGATGATTGAGCAAATAAACGCGCTGCGTCGAGCTCGAGACGCGAGCGAGGCGCGCGTGCGCTCGCTCGCGGACGAATTAAAGGACACGAAGAAAGACTACGAGATGTGGTCCAAGGAAGAGAAGGCAACGGAGCGTAAGTACTCGTCGGTGGCGGCGCAGAGTCCAGCGGAGAGCTCGCCGAGCCCGGCGCGGACGACGCTCGACGACAGAGATTTGCCCGAGTGGCTGCGTTCGCCCGAGCCAGCGCGACGAGACACGAATCTCGGGTCCCCGGTTGGACCAGATTCTGTGTCTCCGACGTACAAAAAGTTTTCTCCCGCAAAGTTGATCATTCCCGAGGAAGCGTCTTCCAAGACGTCGATCGAGAAAGATGCCCCAAAGACGCTCAGAGAGAACGGCGTTCAGCATCCCATCTTCAGCGCCGTTCGTAACGGGCGCGTAAGCGAAGCACAAGAAATCCTTGTGCACAATAGCACCGAATTTGACGTCGACACGCGAGATTCGTTCGGAAACACCGTTCTCATCGTCGCTGCGCAAAACAACCGCAAGCGCGTCACCAAGATGTGCGTTCGCGCCGGCGTCCCGCTCGACGCTCGAAACAAGCAAGGCAACACCGCGTTGCACTATTGCTACGGTTACGGGTACTTCGAGCTCGGCGAGTATCTGGTTAGCAAAGGCGCCGACGAGCGTGTCACGAACGCCGCCGGAGAAACAGCGTACGACGGCTTGAGCGCCGAAAACAGACGCGCGCTCGAATCCACCAGACGCGCGATCGTCGCCTCTCGAGACGCCAAGCGTCGGTCTCGTCCCACCGCGCCCGATCGCGACGAAGCGTCATACCTAGCGAGCTATTCCGACGCCGAATCCGCCGTCTCGTTCACGGATGACGACGAGTAAATGTATGTATCATAGAGCGCGCGCGCAGAGCGCCAGCCCGGTTGTAACCCTCCGGCCCGACCTCACTCTTCGCCTCGCACGATGCTCGCTCGATCGGCTCGTTCGCTCCGCAAGACCCTCACGGGCGTTCGCGCGTTCGCGTCGGGCGTCCCCGATGTCATGGTGCGCGCGCGCGCTCGAAACGACCGAATACGCGACGCGAAAGAGTGTCTGGCGGCGGCTTATCCACCGGGACACTTTTTGACGACGAAAACCGACGCGTGCGCGTCGCGCGCGCCCCGCGCGGCGGCGTGGCGCGACGAGATCGACGACTGACGATATGCGTACGCACGCGACGCGCGATATAGACCGCGGCGGTGATCCGCGAGACGGGACCGGCGTCGAACATGAAGATCGAGAAGGATTACCCCACGCCGAAGCTCACGGCGGGGGGCGTCATCGTGAAGAATAAGTACTCCGGTATTAACTTTATCGATACCTACCATCGAAGTGGTTTGTACAAGCGCGAGTTACCCTTTATCGGCGGTCAAGAGGGTGGTGGATACATCGCGGCAGCGAGCGACGAAGCCATAGCGCAAGGCGTCAAGGTCGGCGACCGCGTGAGCTACTCGTCTGTGTTTCAAACGTACGCGCAGTATACGGCGGTGCCGGCGAGCAAGGTGATCACGGTACCGGAGTCTATTCCTTTGGACGTCGCGGTGTCGTGCGGGGTGCAAGGAATGACGGCGCACTACCTCACGCACTCGGCGCACGCCGGGCTGGTGAAGCCGGGCGAGTGGATGTTGATTCACGGCACCGGCTCGGGCACGTGCCAATGGGCGGCGCAAATGGCCAAACTTCGAGGATACAAGGTCATTGGAACGTGCTCTAAGAGCAAGGAGGACATCGCGCGCGCCACGGGCGTCGATGAGCTCATCGTGTACGATGAAGCGCCGGGTACGTCCTACGAAGACTACACCTCGGTCGACCTCGTGCCGCGAGTGATGGAAATCACCAAGGGCGAAGGTGTCAAGGCTGTCATCGATGGCATCGGCCTCGCCACGTACGAGACCTCCATCGACGTCTTGGCTCGCCGCGGTATCTTCGTTTCCTTCGGCAATGCCTCCGGCGCCGTCCCGGCGTTCCCGCCGCTTCGCTTCATCAACAAGTCTGGTTACTTGACCCGCCCGAAGTTGAACGACTACACCGTCACTCGCGAAGAGCTCATGGAACGTGCGAACGACATCTTCGGCTGGATTTCTTCTGGCGAGCTTCAAGTCGCCGTCGACCGCTGCTTCCCGCTTGAGCAGTGCGTTGAGGGTCACAACTACCTCGAAGCCGGTAAATCTCGCGGAAAGGTCTTGTACGAGATTAGTGATTGATCAAGCTCGTACGAAGCGCGAACACCGTCGAAAAACACACGTAACCAATATTACTAATGAAATCTAATGAAGTTGTTTTTATTTATACTTGCGAGCTTGCGTAAGTTTTACAAAATTGCTGCTGCGGCGCGGGCGCGGGCTTATTCGGTGTCTCCCCATCGCACGTTGAAACGCGAAGCCAGGTAGTGAGCGCCGATCGGACCACGAGATCCGTACGGGTAAAGCTCCGGTGCGATCTTTTGCTCTTCGATTTTGTCTAAGAGCGGGGTGAAGAGCTTCCAAGCCGCTTCGAGTTCGTCGTTGCGAATGAAGAGACGCTTGTCGCCGTTGATGACGTCCAAAATCAAACGCTCGTACGCATCCGGAAGCTCAACTTGACCGTACGCGTTCTTGTATTGGAGATCTAAAATCGTTTGATCCAATCGCTGCCCCAAACCCGGGACTTTGTTGTTGATACGCAAGTAGATCGCTTCGTCTGGTTGAATGCGAATCACGAGCTCGTTGGTGACGTGCTCAACTCTACCTTGTCTTTCCCCGTACAAGTTACCAGGTGCGTGACGGAACTGCACGCGAATCTCCGCTTGACGCTTGTGCAAGGCCTTACCCGCCTTGAGCAAAAACGGTACGCCGTCCCAACGCGCGTTATCGATGAACAAAGCCATCGCGGCGAACGTCGGGCAAAGCGACCCCTTCGGCACTGTCTCGTCGTCCAAATACGCCGGATACTTCTTCCCATCGGTTTCTCGTCCTTTGTACTGACCCAACGCGACATTATCCATCTCAATCGGACGCATGCAGCGAATCACCTTGACCTTTTCGTTGCGAATGTCCTCCGCGTCCAGGCTCGCCGGTTCCTCCATCGCAAAGAGCGCCAAGATTTGCAGCAAGTGGTTCTGCATAATGTCGCGAATGATGCCGTAGTTATCGAAATAACCACCGCGACCTTCGGTGCCAAAGTTTTCACTAAAGTTGATTTGCACGTTGCGGATGTAGTTTCTGTTCCAAAGCGGTTGGAACATGATGTTCGAAAAGCGCATGACGGTGAGATTCTCAATCAACTCCTTCCCGAGGTAGTGATCGATGCGATACGTTTGCTCCTCGCTCAAGTCTTGCGCGAGCGCCGCGGTCAACTCGCGAGAGCTCGTCAAGTCTCTCCCGAACGGTTTCTCTACGATGACTCTCGTGTCCCCAGTCTTGCTTTGGCACTCGCGCGCCGCGTTTTGCGCCACCGGTACAAAGATGCTCGGCGGAATGCTCAGGTAAAACACGCGCTTTACGCTGCTAACCGCGCGTTCGTTTTCGCACATCAACGCGTCCAACGCCTTGAAGTCCTTCGCTTGATCGTATTGACCCGGCACGTACACGCACCGCGCGAAGAATTCTTCCGACTTTGCCGCGCAGTCGCTCTCCCCCGCCTTACTCCAGTCGATGCGACACGTCAACGACTCCGCGATTTTATTCCGAAACTCCTCCGTCGTCATGCTCGATCGCGCGTAGCCGTAAATCATGAAATTCTTCGGCAACCGTCCCTCGTAATACAGCGCGAACAGCGCCGGGTAGATTTTCTTCTTCGCCAAGTCCCCGCTCGCGCCGAAGACCACGAACGACAGCATCTCCCCTTCGTCGTCCCGAGTCTTCCCCGACGCCCTCACCTTCTCCTCCTCGACCCCTCCCGAGGCCGTTCCGAGATCCACGAACGTTTCGTTCACCCCCCCGCGCATCGCGACGTCGCGATCGCGTCGCATCACGACGCTCAGCCGTCGATGCCTCTCGACATTTCGCGGATTGCGTTGATGATCGCCGCCCCGCGTCGCGCGTTTCGCCGCCTGCGCGCGCGCTCGCGCCGTTCGCGTCGCGCCCGTCGGGCGCGCGTTCGGGAACGTCACGGCGCGCATGCTCGCGGGCGTCGCGCGCGCGGTGCGCGTCCAGCGCGTCGCTGTGCGGCGTCGATCGTCGCTCGGGACAAAAAGCGCACGCGCTGGCGACGACGTCCAGCCTCACTTTTCGCTTGATTCTATGATCTGGCTCGAGAGTGACGCAATACGCGAGGGTTGTGCATCTTGAGATTTTATTTTTCGCGAAAACGCTCGAAAACGGCGAGCGTTTCCGACGCGGTCGTCGGCGCGCCTCGGACACGGCGACGCGCGATGGTGCGCGCGCGCGCGCGCGACGCGGCGACGAGGGACGGAGACGCGGCGCGGCGTCCCGAGAAAGACGGCGAGACGGCGCGAATCGGGACGTGCGCGGAGGTGGAGCTCGTGACGGATGAGCGCAAGGCGGGGGAGATGTGGCGCGCGGAACGGTTTCGTGAGTTTCGATGGCGCGTGCGGTGCGCGGGACTCGAGGGCGAACCGAGGTTCGTCGAGATATTGAATCGCATGGGAGGCTTGACGCGCGAGTTGGCGGAGATGGATGCGAAACAACGGGAGGACGGGACGACGGCGCCTTGGTGGCGCGACGGGGAGTACGACGAGACGCGAGCGGAGGAGGCGAACGATCGAGGGATGGCGCGGATGAAGAAGAAAGAGTACGAGAATGCGTTCGATGAGTTCACGGAGGCGATCAGGCTCGAGCCGCGGAAGGCGGTGTATCACGCGAACCGTTCCGCGGCGGCGCTCAAATTGGAGCGGTTTCGAGCGGCTGCGGAGGACGCGGCGTGCGCGATAGAACGCGATTCACGCTACGTCAAGGCGCTTTTGCGCGGTGCTTCGGCGCAATTGAAGTTGAGGTGCCCAGAAAAAGCGCTGGAGCTGTTTGAGGCGGTGCTGGAGATCGATCCAGAGGACGAGAGCGCTTCGCGAGGGAGACTAGAAGCCGAGCGCGCGGCGGCGGCGGCGAAAGCTGAGGTCGAGCGACAGCGTGATGCGGCGAAACGTGGCGCTCGAACGGCTTTACCGAGACACGACGTGGATCGAGAAACCGCGGCAGAAGCGCTCCTGAGCGCGGAGGCTCTTTTACGCGCGAATCCGAGTTTGGAAGGCGCCCGAGCCAACGTCGCAGAGGCGCTCGTGTGCTGTCAGAGATATGAGGCGGCGATCAAACAGTGTGAAACCTTACTTGAAGACTCGCTCGATCGCAAATACATCGTTGCCGAGACACGGTGGCGCATGGGCGACGTCGACGGCGCGCTGGCGGAGATATCAAGCGCATCCTTTCGAGACTCGTACGACGAATTTGCGAGCAAAAAATGCATCGAGCTCGGCGCGCGTTTACTGCATCTCCAAGATTTGATCAAGCGTGCTGAGCGCGACGTCGAGGACGAACAGCATTCGAACGCGATCCGTCTACTGAGTAAACTGTTGCAAACGCCCGAAGGCGAGATGACGACGAGATTCCGTGGTAGAATCTTACGCGTTCGCGCCGAGTGTCAATTCAAGCGGCACGAGTACGCCGCCGTCGACGATCCTGACGCGTGCGCAGACCTCGCCACAGCGACGCAAGACCTGGCGGAGTGTTTATCACTCAATGGTAACGATTACGAGGCGTATGCGTTACGCGCAGCGATACGCACGGCGCGCGGCGATCACCAAGGCGCGTTTACTGATTTGCGCGCGGCGCAAACAATCGCGCCGACGCATCCGGGCGTCGACGACGCCGTTCGTCGCGCCGCCGCTCGCGCGCTTCGCGGCTCGAGCGCCGACGCCGACGACCCTGAATCAAGAGATTACACCGTCGAAGACGGCAACGCGCGACGCCGGGGCAAGTTCTACGACATTCTCGGCGTCAAGCCCGGCGCCGACGTCCGCGCCGTGAAATCCGCGTATCGCAAGCTCGCCGCCGTGTGGCATCCCGACAAATGGACCCGCGCCTCTCCCGAGGACGCCGCCAAGGCTGAAGCGACGTTTAAATCCGTGCAACGCGCGTACGCCACCCTGAGCGACGCCAAGCAACGGAAGTTGTACGATTTAGATCCCGCGCGTTTCGACGAACGCGAGCTGTAAGCGCCCCACGCCCAATCGTCGCGTTCGACACACCGCGTCGCGTCGCGTCGCGTCGCGTCGCGTCGCGTCGCCGCGATGGCGACGCCGCGCGCGGCGCCGCGCGCGGCGCCCGTCGCGGCGCGCGCGGCGCGTCAATCGCGCGCGGCGACGCGCGACGACGCCGCCGACGCGTCCGCGCCGCGCCGACGCGTCGTTCGACGCCCCACCGACGGGCCTTCGCGGCGCCTGAGCGAGGAAGAAAAACGCGCGCGGCTCGAGGCGCTGCGCGCGCGCGACCTGGCGCTTCGCGCCAAACCGCGCGTGGACGCGTTGATAGGCGCGTGCGCGCGAGACGAGACGCGCCGAGCGCAAGAGTTAAAGAAGGAAATCGTCAGCGCGCTCACGATCGAGGCCGTGCCGCTCGACGCCCACCTGGCGCTCGTGTCCATGTACTGCCGAGGCGTCCTTCCCGCGTTGGCCGAACGGGCGTTCGCGGACGCGCTTCGCGCCGGTCCCGTTCCCGACGCCGCGGTGTGGGAACTCGTCGAGTGCTTCGACGCCGCGGGCGAACCGTGGAGCGCGAAAGCGAACGAAGCGTTGGCGTATCTCGAGACGAGACATCGGTAATGACGATGCGCCGCGTCGCCGATCGTTCGTTCGGACGCGCGGTTTCGTCGCCTCGGCCGAACCGCCGCCTCGGCTCCTTCGCGGCGCGCTTCGGCGCCGCTCGATAGCGTCTCGTCCATCGACGCGCGCGGCGCGTTCGCGTCGCGTCTCGTCGCTCATCGACGCTTCTCGCGTCGTTGTATTGTATTTTACGCTCAGGACTTCGCGCGCGCGCTCTGGCGCGACCTGGATCGCGCGTCGAGTCGCGTCGAGCCCGTCGCTCGCGAGCTCGTCCAGATGCGGCGCCCTCCGCCGCCTCGCGCCACTTCTTTTCCCCTCCTCTCCGTCCAAAGGTGCGCCGTTCGATCGCCGCGCGAAGCGCGCGCGCGAAACGCGAAGAGCGCGTCGCGCGCGCGACGTCCGCAACGCGCGACGGCGCGCGCGCGCGGCGACACGGCGTCGAGATCGTCGCGCCGACGTCATTCTCTCAAAGAATTATCGTCGACGATTCGTCGCGGTTTACGCCGCGCGCGCGCGTCGCGGGCGCGCGACGCGGACGCGCGCGATCCGAAATCGCGCGATCCGGCGCGCGCGACGCGTCGGCGGGCGCGGGACGCGCGCGCGAGGGCGCGGGGCGCGCGAATGCGATTCCGAGGGTTGAATTTCTGAAACATTCATCGCGCGGGAAACGCGACGCGGGGCGCGCGCGAGGGCGAAGCGGCGGTGGAATTTTCCGCGGAACGAACGAATACTGACGGCGCGACGTTGTGCGATCGAACGCGTAGGAGAAGTTGGCGAAGTCGTGACTGTTTGATCAGATCTTGCGGATTCCGAGGCGATGACGGCGGTGGCGGCGGCGGCGACGGCGCCAGCGGGGGCGGCGGATGGGGAAAAACCAGACGCGCGCGCGACGGAGGCGGGAGATGGGGCGATGACGGACGCGCCGAATACGCCCGCGGAGGATGGGGCGATCACGGAGGCGGCGGCGGCCGCGGGTGCGAACGCGGCGGCGGCGACGTGGCCGGCGAACGCGGTGTCGGCGGCCCGCGGGGAGATCTTGTTGACGCTGAATCAGTCGATGAAGGCGCCGAAAGGGTACGCGTACATGCCGGCGGGTGATTACGCGGCGTTTGACTCGAATTGGTTGGAGAGTAAGAAACGCGTGCGTAGACCGTCGGCCAAGGTAGATGACGGGATGTTCGCGTCGGGCGACGACGAGGGCGGCGGGATGTTTGCGGCGCCGGGCGACGATTCGGCAAAGCTTCCAGAAAAACCGGACGAAGAGTGTACGGAAGAGGAGCTTGCTTTGCGGAAGCTGCAACGCAAAGAGCAAAAGCGTCGTAAGAAGGAAGAGTTGGCGAAGCGTCTCGCGGCCATCGAGGAGGCCAAGACCAAGGTGGCGGAAATCGAGGCGAAGAAGCAGTTACAATTCGCCAGGTTACCTCCGCCGCGTCCGGCGTCGGCGCGACCGATCAAGGCGACGCAACCGTACGATGGTTACGGCGTCTCGTCCTACGGGTCGAAGAAGAAGGGCTCCGCGGCAAATCTTGCGGGCGTCAAGAAGTTAAGGGATGGCCGCGCTGTCACGACGCAGCGTTTGCAAAAGGAGTACGAAGTTGAGCAGGCGCGCGACGCTCGACGCAAGGAAATGATAAGACGTTGCCGTGAAGTTTTAATAGCGTCGAAGAAGCACAAGTATCACAAGATTTTCCTTGTGCCGGTCGACCCGAAAAAGCATGGGGTGCCAGACTACTTTGACATCATCAAGAACCCGATGGATATGGGCACGGTGAAGACGAAGCTCGACACCAAGGCATATCTCAACCCCGCTGAGTTTTGCGCCGACATGCGCTTAATCTTCTCCAACGGCCTTCTGTACAACGGCACGGCGTCAGATGCTGGCGTCATGACTGAAACCGTCCGCCAGTTATTCGAAACCGCGTGGTTGAATAGCGATCTCGAAGACTACGTCTCAATCGAAAACGAAATTCGAGAGCACGAGGACATTGAAATTCGCAACACGCCCGCCACGCCCATCAGTCTTGAGGTGGCTGTCCTCGAAGACGCTAGAGCGGAACTCGAAAAGGTCAGACGCGAGATTGAGGAACTGAAGCGCGCCAAGCAAGAAGTTATATACAAGGAAGACGACGAAGATGATTGGGACGACGAACCGATGCCGCGACCAAAGTCTCGGTCTCGCGGGGCGGTCAAAAGACAAAGAGACCCAGATGAAGATCCCGACTTCGACTTCGATGACGCGCGCATGGATGAAGACACTTACAAGGAGTACAAGGAGGAAGGCCGGATTCGAAAGGAAATCAAGCGAGAGCGTGGATTCAGGAGCGAAGGAGGCTACTCGCGTCCGCGACCGGCGCCGACGCCCTCGCGCGATATGACTTTTGATGAAAAGTCTGAGCTCACAATGTTGCTTGGAGAACTTCCCGAAGACAAGCAGGATCGAGTCGTACAAATTGTTAGTGAAGCGAAACAAGCTTTGGGCCAAGGGGAGGAAGATGAGATCGAAATCAACATCGAAGAGCTTCCCGCGGCCACGCTCTGGAAACTTCACAAATACGTCAATGGCGTGCTTCGTCCGAAGAAGCGTAAGCTCAACGCCGCTGAGCAGCTTCTTGAGGCGAAAATGCGTGAAGCGCAAGCCGCGCGCGAGCTTGCGGCTGTCGAGCAAACATTGCAGCAGGTTCAAGAGACCGGAGGAAGCTACCAAGACGTCGTTCATCTCAACAGCGCCGGGCCGTCGGCTCAAAAGCCAGAAAAGAAACCGGTCGACGACGACTCCGATACCGACACCGATTCCGGAGATTCGGATTCAGACACTTCGAGCATGGATAGCGCGGAAGGTGCTGGCAGTAATCCGGAGAAGCGCGCCGCCGTCACCGGTGCCGCCGCGCCCGTCGACCAGTCGTCTAACCAGTTCGCCAAGGAGGCTCCGGGCATCAAACAAAACGTCTCCAAGGCGGCGGTGAACGTCCAAAATCCGTCAGGTTGGGAAAATCTGGCGAGTTCTGACGCGCCAGTGAACGCGAGCGCGCAAGCGGCGACGCAGGATGCCATTCCGGATGACTTGTGGAATGAGTTCGAAGCCGCGGCTCAACAAAAGCAACAACTCGACGAATCCAGAAAAGAGGACGAGGCGCAGGCGCAAGCCGAGCGCGAGCGACTGGAAGCGGAAAAGAAAGCAGCTGAAGAGGCGAAAAAAGTTGCCGAAGAAGCCGCAAAGCAAGCCGAGGCCAAGGCGCGAGAAGAGGCGCGCGCCAAGGCGCGAGAGGCGCTCGAAAACCAAGAGCAAACCATCGATCTCGAGGAACAACGCATCGCGATGAAGCAGTTCGGAGGCGACGGTATGGGCGGAATGATCGGATCCATCGATCCGAGCAAGCTCAAGCAAGGCTCGGAGTGAGCGCACTCGAGCCGATACGAAAACAAAAAAAACATCCCAAATACCCACCCACCAGAAAACAAACAAAAAAACGCCGAAAGCCAATAACACCACACAACTCCGACTTCGTGATGATGTCAATGAACACACACAGTACTAGTTAATCACTGTCGTCTCCTCAAACGCGCGCGAATTCGAGCGATGTGCCGTCGCGGCGAAAGTCGTTTCGAAAGAGGCGTTAAGATCCACGCGTTGTGTGGGATTACATGTTGTGTTCGTTGCGGTCGTTCGCTTTCTATCGTCCGTTTCGCCAAAGTTCTAAATGGGAGGTGAAAGTTTTGATTCGCCGACGTCCGACGCCGAATAATGCCGTCGCCGAGCGTCGCTCGAAACATCACTTGGATTCGCTCCCGCGATGAAGTCGCCTCGCGCTTAGAGCGCAGAGGTGAGGTAAATCGCGAGCGCGCCCGTACCGATGATACCGGCCAAAGTCGCCGCCCAGTACACCAAGTTACCTTCGTACTTATCACCATCGGACTTGAAGTCTTGCGGCACCCAGATCGGGGAGTACTCGTCGACGTTCGCCTTGCCGTTGCGCAAGCCGAGCTTGTAGACGTAGCCAGCCTTGCCGCTTCGCCTGCGCGCGTCACGCGTCGTCGTCGTCGTCGTCGTCAGTCTCTCAACCCATCGCGCGCGCGCGCCTTAATCTTTACGTCCTCTTCCATTTTTTTCGCCTTCGCGCGCCCCGCAATCGTCGCCACACCCCCAGCCGCGCGTCTTCCCGCCATATCGCGCGCGAGATAACGTCCAGATACGCTCGCGTCGCATCGCATCGCATCACGCACGTCTTCGGCGCCGATCCGGCATCGGTGGAGCCCTTGTAGCCGACCGCGCGTTGCGCCGGCGCAGACTTCGTGCCCTACACATCACGCGCGCGCGCGCCTCGTCGTCAGTCGTCGCTCCACGCCCCCCGTCTCCCCGCGTCCCCTCGCGCGCCCTCGTTCGCGCCCCAACCCCGCGCGTCGCGATCGCCCCCCCCTCGCCGTTTCCCCGAGTCCCGCCCGCGCCCAGTCTCCCGCGCGACCGATCGCCGAATTTCCCATCGTCCGCTCTCCCCCCTCACGCCTCCGTTCGCGCGCTTCTCGCGTCGCCCGTCGCGATCGATCGCTCGCCCGCGATCGATCGATCGATCGATCCGCGCGCGCGTCGTTCGCGCGTCTCCCGTCGCGTCTCCCGTCGTCGCGTCGCGTCGCGCACCCGCTTCGGCCCCGAGGAGTTATTCATGATCACCAACGATCGGCGCGTCGTCTTCGACGTCGTCGCGCGCGTCGCGGCGACCGCGGTCGCGGCGAGGGTCGTCGATTGCGTGAGCGCGGCGTGCATCGTGGTCGGGTGTGCCGCGCGCGCGATCCACGGCGACGAACGCGGCGTCGATCGCGACGTGCGGGGTGTTTATCGTTAACCGGTTCCCGCATTCGAGTCCGTTTTAACGCCATCTATCGATACGTATATCCATCGCCGCGATGGACGGAGATCGCGCGCGCGCGATCGGATCGCGCGCGGCGCGTCGCGGTGACTTTTATCGATGTTTAATACGTATTCGAGTGACTTTTATGGCTGTGCGTGCTTCCGAACCGTGCGACAGGTCTGAATCATGAAATCCCGTCTCGGTGTGCGCACCTCGCTCGACGCGCGCGCGCACGATGGCGCGATGGATGGATGGGCGCGCGCGCGCGGCATTCGCGGCTTCGCGCGGCGCGGCGAACGGCGACGGCGAACGGCGACGGTGCGTCGCGGGAGATTCACGACGCGGGAAGCGCGAACGCGCGAACGAACGAACGAACGAACGAACGAACGAACGATTCGATTCCATTCCATTCGATTGATTGGATTCGGAAAAAGATGTTCGCGCGTTCTCGCGAGCGAACGACGCGAGGACGCGCGCGCGGCGCGCGAGGCGCGCTCGGGGCGGTGGTGACGATGCTCGCGATGGCGAGGGCGCGCGGCGCGCGCGGCGAGGGCGCGGTGGTGACGCTGGACGTGGACGCGTTCGAGACGCTGGCGACGCGCTCGCGCGAGCCGTGGGTGGTGTCGTTCACGGGGAGCTCGGAGAAGTGCGCGATCTGCGGGGAGGTGTCGCGCGAGTTCGAGAAGGCGGCGAGGGGGGCGGGGGAGAAATTGAGGGTGAATTTCGGGAGCCTGGACGTGACGAGGGAGGGGGTCGATCTCGAGCGGTTGGGGAGGCTGACGCGGTTGACGACGATTCCCGCGGTGAGCGCGTACCCGACGTTCGCGACGTTGAATCCGTACGACGCGCGGCGGTCGGCGAAAATGCCGGTGAATTATCCGATTTCGCGAGAAGACGGTCAGGTTGGGGACGTGCGGGCGAAGGCGTTCGCGGCGTTCGCGGAAAACGCTTTGCCGACGCACTTGGTGAATCGCGCGAGCGCGACGGAGGACGCCGAGCGCTTCGCGAGCGCGGCGTCGATTCGCGCGGCTTTCGGTGGCGACGTCACGCTGCCGATCGCTGTTTTATTGACGAACAAACCGTCGACGTCGGCGTTGTTGAAATCCATCTCTCACGCTCTCGAGGGTCGCGTGCGCTTCATCGAGGCGGTGTACGAGGGCGACGTCGCGCCGCAGTTGCCCGGCGCTCCCGAGGACGCGCGACTCGTCGTGTACCCGACCGACGTTTCTGCGACGCCGATTCCCTTTGAGAGCGCGTCGATGAAGCGCGAAGTGGTTTTGGAGTTCTTGACCGAGCACGCCGGACCGGAGGTGGAGTTGAAGATGGAAACCATCGACGCGACGCCGAAAAAGGATGGGCAAAAACAAGACTTTTCGACGTCTCTTTTCAAGCCTGCGCTCGCGAAAGATTTCGAAACCGACGTGCTGTCGAATCACAAGCGTATTCAGGTGGTCGCGTTCACGAAGGCTAGCGACGAGTGCGTCGAACTCGTCGACGCCTTACCCAAAAGTTTCCACGAGTACGAAGGCGTCTTTGATTTCCGAGAAGTCATCGCGCGAGACGACGACGAAGCCGCACGGGCTTTGGTGACGAAATTCGGATTGTTCAAGTCCAAAGATAAGTGTGCGGAATTGGTCATGTTCCCATCGACCGATGACGAAGACGACGATCGCGATCCGATCGTTTTCAAGCCATCGGTCGCGACTATTGAAGGCTTTGCTCCCGACGCCGTCGGGCGATTCTTTCTCGACAACGTCGTCGACACCACCATTCCTGTCACGGCTAAGAACATCGACAGCGCGTTGTTTGGCGTCGCGTCCATGGCGCCCAAAGTATTGCTGTTCGCCGATGAGAGCGATGAGACGTCTCGAAAGGTGCTTCACCTGATGTCTGCGGTGCAGAAAGATTTCATCTACGGCGTTACGTCGGACACCAGCGAGGCGTTGACGGAGCAGTTCCAGATCAAGACTCGACCCGCGCTCGTCGTGGTATATCGCGAAGCCGATAAAAACTCCGACGAAGAGGGTGGCATGCGCATGTCGGTTCAAAAGTACCCCGTCGAACAGTTGATGACGCCCATCGTCAACTCGTGGTTGCAGCAGATTCGAGACCACGTCATCGGCGTCGACAAGGACGCACTGGTCTCGATGCCGATGACCGTGGATACATCGGCGGCGCTCGACGAACAATGCGCGGCAAAAGGTGGTTTGTGCGTCGTGGCGTTCATCAAAGACGACAACGCGGAGCACAAGAAGATTATCCACGCCGTCGCCAAGGCGCTGTACGGCAAGCCGTATCATTTCGCCATCGTCGATCCGACCAAGCAGCGCACATTCTCGAGCGTCTTCGACGTGAACAATCCAGTGGATTATCCCACTGTGACTGTACTGGCGATGCGCACGTCGCGTTACGCCACGCACAAGGGCGCTTTCGACGAGATTGCAGTTCGAGACTTTTGTACAGACATTCTCGGCGGCAAGGTGAAGACGTGGAGGTTTCAAGAGATGCCGAAGCTGGTCGAAGGTGGAGAGACGGTGGAGGAAATCGTCGAGGAAGAAATCGTCGAGGAAGAATTCGATTTGAGCGATATTATGAGCGAGGAAGTCGAAGGCGAGGCCGCGCTGTCACGTGAGGACCTCGCCCAGAGAGCGCAGGAGGAACTCGAGACGCAGGCGCGCCTCGACGCCATCTTAGCGGAGGAGGCGAAGCTCAAAGAAGAGGCTGCCAAGAAGGCGAAAAAACGCAGAAGAAAGAAGAAGAAGAGCAAAAAGTCCGAGCTCTGATCGTACCGTTATTCAATACGCGAAAGCGCGAAACAATTCTTTTTAAACGAGCTACATCAACAGCCAAATGCATAATCCCCAATACGGAATGTACGCGAGCGCGCCCGAGTCCTTGTCGAGAGATTTCATAAAGTAAGCTTGCCAGCAGCACACAAGCGCGATATCTACGACAAAAGCCACGCTGACTCGATCGGTGTGCATCAGGTTATTGAAGTACGCCGCCCGCTCGCTGAGCCCACCCGCGGAGGGGTCTTCAAACAAAGTCCAATACACTGACAGAAGCCCGACGGCGAGTCCGAAACCGCCAAAGAGTTTACTCATCACGCCCTTTTCCCCCAATCGCGTCTCGCGCCAGCCATCCACGTTCGCATTTGACTCCGGGTTCCAATCACGAACCGGCGTCGCCGCGCGAATCGCCATGTACGGTAACAACACGGCGTTCGTAAGAAACATACCGATGGACCACATTTTCGTCGTAGGCAAATCTCTTCCCCGTTTGTCCATAAAGTACAGCGGGAGTAGCATGAAAATGAATGCCTCCGCAAAGTTGAACACACCGAGAGACACGGGGTGCACCGCCGGCGCCGTGCCTAACGCGTCAATCCCGAACTTATTCAACACGGGAAGCACGAAAAAGAAGTCTGTTGATTCCGCGATGACTTCTTGCAGCGTCTCGGGCTTAATCGCATACGCCGGGTCACCCGGAATCGGATTATCCGAAGGTGACAATAACAAGACGTACCAGTACGCCGCGCCCGCGAGCCAAAACGCCGCGCTCACCAGTGCGTTTCCGCCCGCGTCCGAAGACGAGGATTTCGCCGTCTCGACGGCGCCGTCTCCACCGCCGCCCTCACCCCTCTTCGCCGCGATTTGTTTCTTCACCAACGGCGCCACCAGCCGTATGATCCCAAAACTCGCCTCTCCCGGCTTCAACGGCGACTCCACGCAATCCCGCGCGTAGACCAACTTTCCGTTCGTCTCGTCTACGCGATAAAACGAGCACCCGCGCGCGTTCGGAAACGCCTCCCCCATCAGCTCCACGTGCCACGTCAGCCCCACCGCGTCCCCACCGCACGTCGACGCATCGATCACGAACGTCAAATCGTCCGGTATGCCCTCGCAGCTCTCCTCGAACAGCTTCTTCACCGCCGCCTTGCCTCGAAACGGCGCCGGAAAGTTGAAATCCTCGTAAACCACGTTCTCATCCACGCACGCGAGCGCACCGTCGACGTCTCGAGCGTTGATTCGCTCGTACATTTCGCGCACCGTGCGCTCGGCGTCGACCGCCGCGCGCGGCGTCGCCGCGACGCGTCGCGGCGTCGCCGCGCGCGAGAGTTTCATCGACGACGTCGACGCGAGCGCGGGCGAACGCGCGCGCGAGGACGCGAGCGCGCGTCGAGGGGCGACGGCGATTCGCGCGCGCGATGCGATCATCGCTCACGGGTTCGACCGTCCGCGCGCGACGACTCGGAGTGGCGCCGCGCGCGCGTGCGCACGATTGAAAGATGAGTGAAAAGATTAGTGGAGGTGAGGCGTCGATGACATCGAAACGAGAATCGCTACGGCTATGAAACGCTAAGCGGCCGGGAAACGCGTCGTGATGCCGCGAAGAATATTAAAATCCACCGTTGGGCTCGAAGGCGTTCCACCAACCCGCGGCGTACTTGGCGTACGGCGCGGTCCAATTCGTCGGCGCCGGGAACGCGTTCGGATCGATGGCGGCGGAGCTCTTCAAAATATCGCACACCGCGCCCTCGACGCCGCCCTTGTACACTCTATCCATGCGCAACTTGACGAAATCGTTCCAAACTTTGTCCGTGGTGACGACCGCGACGCACGGCTGACGAATCTTCTTCTTCACGTCCGGCATCGCGTCCAAAAACGCCGGGTTCGGCACGATCCAAAAGTCTTGCGGCTTGGACTTTTCCTTGAAGAATCGTCGTCGTTCGCGCAAAATCTCCGGGAAGTGCTCGTTGTTCTCATCGTTGAGCATAAAATCGGCGTTCGCGACGCAGTAGTAGAACTGCTTCACCTGCGTTCGTCGCGCGCGCGCGCCTTCGTCGTCAGTCCTCCCGTCGCCGCGCGCCTTCGTCGTCTTTATGGATAACTTTCGCATATCCGCGTCTCTTTCATCGCGCCTCCGATCGCGCGCGCCGCGTCGTCGACCCCCGCGACGCGACGCGATCGCATCCGCGTCTCGGCCGCGTTTCGCGCGCGCTCGCGCGCGTCGTTCGCGTCGCGCGCGCGAAAACGATGGCGAAGAGGCGTCGCGATCGCACCTCGGTCGAGCTCACATCCACCGCCGGCGCGGCCTCGGCGTCCGCCGCGCGGGCGCGAACGACGCGTTTACCGCGAGCGGTGGATTTGTTCGTCGCGCGCGGACGCGCGGTGACGGAAAAGGCGCACGAGGTGGAGGCCATGACGCGTGCGATTGTGCCGCAGCTCCAGGGTCAGGTCTGGACGAGATTTTTCCGAGAACGCGGACGCGGCGTCGCGCGAGCGGCGCGCGAAGGCGACGGACGCGGACGCCAACGCGAACGAGCGCTCGTGATATTGAAAGCAGAGGTACAAGGTAGTATTACATTATATTATTGACACAATGATCGACGACGAGCGTCGACGGGATCGAATCGCGCGACGAATCACCCGGCGGCGCGTTCGTGCGCCCACATGCCCGCGATGAAGGAGGCGATCCACATCAAGTTTTCCGCGCTCGGCGTCGCGACGGAGGACACCATGGCGGGACCGGGGCAAATGCCGGCCAAGCCCCAGCCCGCGCCGAATAACACGCCGCCCAACAGCAGAGGTTTATCGATTTTGGTGTTCGACGAGAAGTCGAACGAGTTGTACGAGCACGCCGGTCGGCGACCGGTGTGCGCGCCGATGACGCGCATGCCGATCATCGTCACCGCCATCGCGCCGCCCATGACAAACATCAACGAAGGGTCGAAAGACGCTCGCGTGACGCTCAGAAATCCCGACACTTTGGCCGGCGACATCATCCCGCTCACCGCCAGCCCTAGGCCAAACGTAAACCCAGCGGCGCCGTCGACGACGACGTCGATCGCGTGTCGCTTCGCCGCGCTCGGTCCCTCCTTCCCATCGTCACTCCCCGTCTTGATCGCGCGCGCGATGTAAAACCACGCCGCGGCGAACGCGCACGCGCTCGCCGCGCCGACTTTTACCCACAGCCCGAATTCATCCGCCTCCGCGCTCCGCGCCCCTCGCCCGAGCGTGTATCGCGTCGAGTCCACCCCCAGCGCCTCGTTCGTGTCGAACATCGTCGCCGTCACCGCTCCCGCCAGCATGAACGTCACCGTGTACGCCGCGCTCCGCGCGCTCAGCCGCGAGTTGCCGACGATGCCGTGCCCGCTCGTGCACCCCCGTCCCATCGCCGTGCCGACGCCGACCAGCGCCCCCGCGCACGCCGCGCGCGCGCCGCTCACCATCGCCGTCGACACGCTCGCGTCCAGCGCGCCGAGTTCGCGCGCGCACGCCCCCGCGGCGAGCAAACCACCGACGAAGGCGACGCGCCACGGCGCGCGATCGCCCCGCACGAGCCCCTTGAACGCGCCGCTCACGCCGAGCACGCGCCCGGTGAGCGCGAGCTTGCCGATCACGGCCAGGCCGAGCAGGACGCCGCCGCCCAGCGCGTGATGGGGCGCGAACTCGAGCGCGCCGCGCGACATCCCGCGCGATTCTGACGACGACGCGCTGCGAATCGAACGGCAAAACGCGACGCCGCGCGACGCGCGACGCGCGACGCGACATCGAGGACGCGTCGATCGACGACGGACGGTCGAGCGCGTCGATCGGCGGCGACGGGGGCGCGCGACGACGGGGAAACGGGACGGGAAAACGGGAATCGCGACGACGGGAAGACGTTTGCGCGCGCATGGCGTCGGCGGGAGATTTGCTCGCGCGCGCGGACGCGCTGTTGAAGAAGTGCGTGCGAGGGCGAAAACGCGAGCGATGCGCGTCGTCGAACGAGGAGAGGCGCGGCGGTGGGACGCGGGGCGGACGAGAGGGAGACGAACGACGACGACGACGACGACGACGACGACGACTGACCAGGTGGCGCGAACGGCGATAGATACGACGCCTATCTCCCGAAAACGGAGACCACGGCGCAGGTGGAGGAGAGAATATCGAAATTACGCGGTACCGATGCGTTCGCGGCGATGCTGACGAATTCGGAGACGGTTTTGGAAGAATTGATTGAAAAGGCGGCGGCGGTGAAGAGCGAACGAAATCGAGCGACGGTGGCGACGCTCAACGCGGAGGTGCGTCGAGGGAAGAATTATCTGCGCGGGGAGCTGCCGAAGCTGAGGAAGGTCGCGAGGGTGAAGAGTGCGGGGACGACGGAGGATGACGTGCGTGCGATGTTGGAGATTGTGGATAATTTGGAGGATCGAGTCGAGGCGGTGGCGGATGGCGTCACGCGCGGGTTGCCGCCGCAAAAGAAAAAGCCGGCGGGGGGATTCGGGGGGACGTCGACCGTGGTGAACATCTCGAGCGACGCCGATCCGGGATCGAGTGCGAATCCGTTCTTGAACATGGAGCAAAGCGAGGCGAGCGAAGCGTTTAGACAAGAGTTTGAAGCTCGGAAAGCCAAGCAAGACAAAGGCTTGGACGTCATCTCGCGCGGTTTGGGCGTGTTGAAGGACATCGGGGGCGAGATGCAAGAGGAGATGCGCCGTCAGCAACCGATCACGGATGCGATCGAAGATAAGCTCGATTCCGTGAACGCGGACATGCGAACGGCGAACTCCCGGTTGAAGGAGGCGGTGACGAAGATTCGCTCGACGAGAAAATTTTGCATGGACGCGATATTAATTCTCGTCGTACTCGGCGTGTCTTTGACCATTTACAAAACGGTCGCATAGGATCTCTTAGCCGATGGACGTCGTGTACAAGAAATAGCCGATATTATCATTACATCCTCACCTCACTTCCATCGCCAATTCGCGACGAGATCGAACACTTCTTCTCTGCGACTTTGCAAAGTCAACGAGTGCCCGGCGAGCGCGAACTGCACGTGCTCCGCCTTCCCACCTGCTTGCACGGCCAATTTCGCGCGATCGATGGCGGTGTCGGGCGAGATGACGTTGTCGCGTCCGCCCGTGATGAGTAAGACGGGAGTCTCGAAGCTCAAGCGCACCATGCCGCAATCTTCCGGCCGATTTCCCGCGTTGTGCGCTACTAAATCGTACAGCTCCACCGCCGTGCGCAACGACACCCCTTTATCCCAGCTCAACGCGTCCGCGTCGCACTGCGCCTGCGCCTCGTCGTCAAAGTCAGGTCTCTGATCTTCGTCCACGTCGAGCTTATCCCTCGGTTTCGGCGACACCTCCAACCGCGGCGCCGCGTAGCTCGCCAGTCGCAGCGCCGCCAACGCGACGCGCGGCAGCGCCATCTTCATCTTCATCAACGGATTTATCAACACCACGCGCTCGACCGCGCGTCCCTCCTCGCCGCGCATCGCATTCGCGCAAAATATCGCCAACGCGCCTCCCATGGACGATCCAACGATCGTGAATCTTTCCGTCGCCGTCGCCGCCAACGCGCTTCGCGCCCGCGCCAACGCCGCCTCCTTCCCCGCGTACACCCCTCGCGCGTCCCCATCGCTCTCGCACGCCCCGTGTCCCGGCAGATCGAACGATATCACTCGCATCCCTCGTTTCGCGAGCGCCACCGCCATCGCGCGCGCGTTCGGGTTCGTCGCGTGCGAATTCAATCCGTGCAACAGCAGCACCGAACCAACCTCCGTCGACTTCATCGCCTCGCCGTCGCGCTTCGGCGACACCGTCTCGCACGCGAACCCGAGCCCGCGCGTCGGCGTTATTCGCACGTCATCGCGCTCGAGCTCCAAGCGCGGCATCGCGCGCGCGCGACGCGCGACGCGTCGATGATTGACGTCGAGTCGATCGCGTCACTCTTCGACGCGCGCGGTCGATCGATTCGCGCCGATGATCGTCATCAACGACGACTCGAGCGACGACGACGAGTTCAAACCGTTACCGAGTCTGCTGCGCGCCGTCGCGAGTCCGATCGAGGTGCGCGACGACGACGACGCGACGCGACGACGATGGATGGATGGATGGATGGATGGCGACGCGCGCGCGACGAGCTGTCTGGAATTCAAACGCGGCGGACCGACTGACGCAACGAAACGAAACGACGACGCGACGCGCGATAGACGGCGACGACGACGCCGACGAAGAAACGAACGGTGACGCTGCCGACGATCGCGGACGACGATGGATCGGGAAGCGAGAGCGAACCGGCGTGGGTGGAGAAATTTAAGTCGCCGGAGCGGACGCGCGCGGCGGCGACGGCGGCGGCGGCTTCGTCGAGCGACGACGATTTGAGAATCGTGGACGCGGACGACGGGAAGGAGAACGAGGCGAGGGCGGCGGTGAGGGACGGTGGTGGCGATGAGGACGCGATGGGGACGACGACGGCGAGGGAGACGGGCGACGCGGCGAAGGCGAGCGAAGGGAAGACGGCGAAGGCGCTCGCGGCGAAGCCGGCGGCGGAGTCGTCTTCGACAGCCGTGGAGCTCGTCGCGACGGCGAATTTAGGCGGTAAGTCCAAGGTTTTGTTTGAGATCGAAGGCGCCGGAGAGGCGGTGGATTTAGACGGCGATACCGGCGCCGTGGGTCGTTGGCTCGCCGAGTCCTCGCGCGCGCTCAAGGTTGACATGAAGGGCGTGATGTACAACGCGCGCGTCGTCTCGAGCGCCGGCACCGTCGTCGTCGTCGCCGTCAACGCCGACGTAGCCAAGATCGAGAGCGTACACCGCGAGTTCGTGCAGCTTCGCGAAGACCCGAGCGCGATGGGCGGCATGGAGAATTTCGGCGTCGGTTCGCTCTTCGACCAGGACGAAGACGTCGACGACGAAGACGTCGCCGTCGGCGCCAAGCGCAAGCGCGCCGCGGAGACCTCCAAAGCCTCGGGCGCGTCCGCTCGCAGGCCCGCGACGAAGCGTAAACCGGCGCAGAAGCGCAAGCCAGCCGTCAGGCGCAAGAAGTAGCTCGAGTTGTCATTCGATTCCTTCGTCGCCCGCCTCGCGCGCCCCGGCGGTTGACTGCCAACCTCCCGTCGCGTCACTCCGCGTCCCGCGAGCGTCCCTCGTCGCGCGCGCGCCCGCGCCCGCGCCCGCGGCACGTCGACGCGCGCATCGAGCGTCGTTCGGCGCCGCGTTTGCGGACGCGCCGCGACCGCGCGCGCGGTTTCGCGTCGCGCCGCCCGCGCCGTGTCGAGTCCGCGAACGCGGCGCGATGCCCGCCCCCGCGGACGCCAAGCGCGTGTTCAAGCTCGCGCTCGGCGCGGACGGGACGAAGAAACAGCGATACGTCGTCGAGACGCGCTCGGCGGGCGGCGGACGGCTCGGGGTGATTCTGATCGGACTGAAGAGCCCAGATCGGGTGCTGGTGAGCTCGAGCGCGGCGCGCGCGGCGCTGAACGCGGAAGAATTCGTGTGCGTCGACGCGAACGTGGAGCGAGAGCTGGTGAACGCGCGAGCGATACGCGTGGTGCGAGTGGAACGCGGCGAACGGGTGTGCGTGCTGGATGATGGTGAGGCGACGAACGCGAACGTCGGGGCGCCGGCGAACCGCGGGGAGACGTCGACGGAGGGCTCGCCGAGCGGACCGCCGCCGGCGAAGATGATGGGAGCGACGAACCAAGACGTGTTGGGGATGTTGAGCGGGATCATGAAAGGGGCGAGTCCGCGGATTTTGAGGAAGGATGAAGCGGGAGGGATAATACAGAGCGAGCCGCCGGCGCCGACGCGCGCGGCGGGGCAACCGACGGGGCAACCGACTCGGACGAAGTCGCCGATGTTGACGCCGCGAACGACGCGCGGGGGCACCGCGACTCGTGGGCCGACGTCGACGAACGGGCAGACACCGCCGATGGGGAGTGCGTCCGGCCCTGGTGCGTCGTCGCTGCCGCTGGGTACGTTTGGCGCCGCGTCGCCGTCGTTCTTTTCGCCAGCCTTCGCGTCGCCGAGCGAAGCCGCGCCAGCGCGAGCGAGCGGTGATGATTACATCGAAAGTATGATGAGTGATTTTTCCGCGGCGCTTCTCGGAGGTGATACAGGAGACGCGCGCGTGGGCGCGAACATCCCTCTCGGATACACTTCACCGTCGGTGAACTCGCATCAACAACTCGAGCACAACGTCCCGTCAGCGGGTGACAGAGAATTGAGTCCGTTTTTCTCTTCCGTGGACGCCTCAGCGAGTGGTGTCCTCGGAGGCGCGCTAGAAGATGGTGTCGACGTGGCGCCGCACGAAGACATTTCCGGACTTCGTGGCGGCGATGCAGACGAAATCGACCTCGCCGAACTCACAGCCGGTCGATTCGAAGCGGATGCACTGGGTCTGGACGCCACCCCGGCCGAACTCACAGATCTGTTGAATCGATCGCGCATACTTCGTCAAGCCACGGAGACGTTGGGCGATTCTGCGCTCGACGACGATTCCATCAAGGAGGAAGTTTCCGCGCCACCGACGAACAGCGTGTTCCGCGATCTGCAGCGCGAGCCGTCGGCTGGTGAAATATGCACTGCGTTTAATTTGCGCGGGGATAAGTTCGGATGCAACGGGTGCGTGAGTCGACACGTGTGTCAACTCTGCGAGTCGCCGCGTCACACGTTTGGAATGTGTCCGTCACTCTACGCCAACATTCATAAACGCGTGGAGAACAAAGTGTGCTTGGATTATTACTTGAACTCCGTGGACGACACCGGCGGAGCTTTGCGTAACGGATGGGATCAAGAAAAGCACGTTTGGAATTTGTGTCCCCGCAGCGACAAGTGCATGCTCGAGCACGTGTGCGGCGCGTGCGGAAAGAGCGGCAACGACGCGCATTTACCGACGTGTCGCTTACACGCCGTCTTCGCCGACTCTGCTCCAGTCGATTTGTGTCGAAAGTACTACTTGCACTCTCTCGGAGACTATTTCAAGATGGAGAGCGACTCGCAAAAGTTTAAAATCGGAAGCAGCGGTGGCTGGGCGTTGTGCGGCAAGGGCGATCGATGTCACTCTCGACACATTTGCGGTCACTGCGGTGAAGAAGGACGCGGCAAACACAAGCCAGAGTGTAAACTGCACTCTGTGTGCGGTGTGATTCCGGACGCGAACAAGCAACCATGCTTTTTATACTTCATGAAGTCCATGGTCGGCATTCGCGAGTTTGAAAAGGCCCTCCTCGGCGGTAGCGCGAAGGGATTTTGCTCGCAGAAGAAAGGCGAGTGCTCTGGATACCACGTGTGCGGTTCTTGTGGGAAGGAAGACGTGTCGCCGTACAACGCGGAAGGCCACGCCGCGTCGTGTCGCATGCGAACGATTTCCAACGAAATCGATCCGACCCTCAACCCGCGAACGAAACAAATGCTCAAAGATTACGAAGAAGAACTCGCACGCGTTCGCGCGAGCGCCAAGTCGAAGGAAACTACCGCGACGCAAACCATCGGTGACGATGGCTCGAAGGCGGAATCGAAATCCGATCAAGTCGACGATGACGCTTTAACGCCGATCGACGTGAAACGATGTCGACGCCTCCGATCGGAAATTGACGCCATCCTTCGAGGCATCGGCGACGACATCGATTTGCTCGTCGAAGAAGCGGTGGAATGCGCGGGTAAGGAAATGAAAAAGAGCGCGAATCCGACGCACAAACTAGAACAAATTAGAGAGAACTTTCGAAAGATGATGTGATGTAATATGTCGATGATGACAAAATATTGTACCGACGGTCTACGCGCCACGAAGCTCACGCCGCGGCACCTGGAGCGAAGGCTTCGCGTAGCAATGTTTTTTGTTTCGAGTTGAGATGCGAGGGAAACTTGACGGTTTTTACGGTGACGATGAGGTCGCCTCTCCGCCCGGTCTTCTGATTCGGCATTCCTTTTCCTCGAACCGCGCGCGCCGATCCTGGAGCCGTAGGATCGTCGAACGATAGACGCACCTTCTCGCCGTCTACGTTGACGAATTCAACCTTCCAACCAATCAACGCGCTGCGAAGTGAGATTTGAGGAACTTCGTACACCAAGTCATCTCCATCTCGTCGTAAGAATTTGTGCGGCGTTTCCTTGATCACCACGACCAGATCCGCCGCTTCGCCGGTTTGCGCGTCTTCGTTCCCTTTTCCGGCAAATGTAATTTTCGTGCCGGTTTTCCAACCGGGTTTGAAATCGATCGAGATGCACTCATTACTTTGAGCCATCTGACCGCTCGTTCCCGCACGCACGTTTCGAACGTAGTTGATGTCCCGGCGTCCGCCTCTAAACAGCTCCTCGAGCGTGCACTCGAGATTCAACACGCACTCGGGACGACGTCGTTTGCTCCCCACGCCCGCGCCGAACGCGTCGCCCATTCCTCCTCCAAACGGTGACCCCGCGCCGCCGCCGCCGCCACCGCCGAAAAACCTGGCGAACAAATCTTCCGCGTCTGCACCGGTGAATTCATGAAACCCGCCGCCGCCGGGGAACCCGAAACCGCCGCCGCCGCTCGACGCGCGAAATCCACTCCCGGGCGCGCTTCCCGAAAATCCTCCTCCCGGAAACCCACCCGCGCTCGCACCGCTCGCCTCGCCCCTCGCTTCCGGCGGCACGAACCCTTGCTTCAACCCCTCCTCACCGTATCGGTCGTATATCGTCCGCTTGTTCGCGTCGCTCAGCGCATCGTACGCCAAACCCACCGCCTTGAACTTTTCGGCGTCGCCTCCCGGTCGATCCGGGTGCGATTTCAGCGCCGCCTTCTTGTACGCCTTTTTCAATTTTTCCTGATCGTCCGCGTCCGCGCGCGACACCCCCAGCGTCTCGTAAAAGTCTTTCCCCATGCGTCCGCCGATGAGTGTCGACGACGAATGTCGAATTCGTAATCACCGCGTCGCGCGCCCGCGCCCGCGTCGCGCCGTCGACCTCGCGCGCGCGCGTTCGTTCGCTCGTTTTAGTTTTTGTCGCTCGCGCGCGTCGCGACGTCGCCCGCGCGCGTCGACGCGGTCGCGCGACGCGATCGTCGCGTCTCGGAATGACGCGTCGGCGCCGAGTCGGCACCTCGGCGTGCCGACTTTTTTTCGCTGAGACGGACGGACGGCGACGGCGGCGTTCGCTCGGACGTGCGTCGCTTTACAGGAGAATTCTATATTTTTCCTCGCGCGGAACTTCGAGCGCGGTGAAGGCGCCGTCGGCGGTGACGACGGCGTACGTCCAAGGGTCGGCGGCGCTCCACGCGCACGCGCGCGCCGAAACGGAGTCGGCGCGGACGACGCGGCGGGATACGGCGCGAATGCCGCTTCGAGCGTCCGCGCGTGAAGCGCTGTGCGAGTCGCTCGGTAACGCGTCGTCATCGCACCACAGACGCACGGTGCCGTCGGAACCGGCGCTGAGCGTGAGAGCGTCGTATACGGGATTGTACGCGCAGTTCCAAATCCAGTGCTCGTGCCCGGCGACGACTTTCAACGGCCGCTCGTGCGCGCGAGCGTCCCACATCTTGAGCAATCCGTCGTCGCCGCACGACATCATCTCGTGCGGTTTGTTCGGGTTGTATCGCACGTCGCGCGTTTGCTGGGCGTGCGCCTTTTCAATCGTCTGCGCGCGACTCGCCGTGCGCGCGTCGAACACGACGACGTCAGCGTCCACACCGCACGCGAACGCATCCGCCGAGTGAGGATCCCATGCGCCTTGTGCGACGCCGTCCTGCATCGTATTCATTCCGCCGATGATCTCAGAGCGCGATTGATCGACGCGAGTGGCGCACGAAGACGCGCTCGCGAACGCGCCGTCGTCCCGACGACGCCACACGCGCGCCTTAAACTCATCCACCGTCACCAACGTCCCGGTGACGCGGTTCAATCGCGCGCACTTCACCGTTTCAAACTCTTCGACGTCTTTTGCCGTCGCGCTCGACGACGCGTCGTCGAGTCTTAAATCCGTCGGCGTCCCGCTCGCGCCGTCCCGCTCGCCCACCGCCGCCGTCGCCACGCCTCGCACGCGCTTCGTCTCCCGTCCTGCGTCTTCGTACGTCACCACGACGTGTGTACCAGTCTCGTCGACGTCGACGGTCTCGCAACAGCGGTGTTCGAGCGCGATGGACGTCGTCGTCGCGCACGTTTTCGTCTCGGGAGTGAATTCGACTTGGATCAATTTGTTTTCGCCTCTTAGCGTGTTCGTGGCGGTGAAGAATCGCGACGACGACGACGAGGGCGATGGTTCGTCGCCGTCTGCGCGCGCCACGCTCGGTACGGCGCACACGCATCGAGCGTGAACGCCGAGATCGAGGGTCGACATGGCGCGACGTCGAGCAGTGACGCGTCGAGCAGTGACGCGACGGCGCGTTAGCGCTCGCGAGGAAAAGTTTTAAATGAGGAGAATTTGTCTTTCCAAGCTCTACGTGGAAGCGCGACGGTCTATCTACTCTCCTGGGTTCAGGTTTTCAGTTGTTTCGCTCGCTAGCGGCGGATATCGATGACGGATGTGGTTTGTCGTCGTCCCCAAACGTCGCGACGCGATCAATCGAAGTCCAACAGGTCGCTGATCATGCCGAGGTGCGGGAACTCTTCCTGTATGCCCGGAGACCACGTGGAAGGGTGACCCATCCCCGGAGGTGGGGCCATAGTTTTCATCGATGGCGGTGTGCCGAGCGGATTGACTTGCTGACCCATGCCGGGCGGCGGCGGTTGTTGACCGTAGCTACTCATGCCGGGCGGCACCACTGGAGGTTCTGGCGGACGCGATCCAGCCGCCATGGCGGCGAAGGAAGGCGGTAAGCCGCTGTTAGAACTGTGTTGCGGCGATGCAGGTCCAGTTTCGTTCACGCGCGCCGAACCAGGCGGCGGCGGACCGCGCGGCGGCGGCGGCGGACCGACGTCGCCGCTTCCTGGAGGCGGAGGCCCGGGAGGAAGCGGAGGCTGCGACTTGGCGCTCGCCAAAATCGGCTGCATACCCGACGTCACCGCACCGTTGGATGCGCCATTCGCGATCATGCTCGATGATCCCATGCGCACGATATTGGTGCTATCGCCGAGCATCGCCGAAGCCGCCTGGGCGGTACGAGCGACATCGCCAAGCGACTCCATGGACGACTGCTTTTGCATCGACATCGACGATACACCGCTCACCATCTCGCTTCGTAGTTGCAAAATAATATCCTTCGCTTTGTCCAAATCCGCGGTAAGTTGCGCGCATTCGCTCGTCTTCTCGTCGAGCTGAAGCTCGAGCTGAGAGATTCGCGAACGCAACGTGCTCACTTCGTTCGACAACGGAGCCGGGATAACCTTCGAAGGTGACGAAACTTGCGACATGGACTTCGTGCGGGTGGGCGTCGAAGGGCTATCAGCTTTAGGGGACGGAATAGCCTTCGCCGCGGCCTCCGCGGCGGCCTTAGCTTCGGCTTCCTCCTTGAGCTTTCTCGCCTCGTCCTCCTTGGCCTTTTCCTCGGCTTCTCGTTTCGCCTTCTCGGCAGCCTTGGCCGCTGCCTTGGCTTCGCGCGCGGCGCGAGCTTCGGCTTCAGCCTTTGCTTTGATGGCCGCTTCCGCCTCCTCGCGCGCGCGCTCTTCTGCCAACGCTGCTGCCTTAGCAGCTGCCTTGGCGGCGCGCTCAGCTTCCTTCGCCGCTTCGGCTTCTTCGCGAATGCGAGCCTCTTCCGCCTCCTTTTCAGCCTTCTCAGCGTCTTCGATAGCCTTCTTCTGTCGTTGACGCTCTTTTTGCTTTTGCTTCTTGCTCTTCTTCTGACCTTCAAGCTCTTGTGCGAGTCGTTCGGCTTCTTCCTCCTCAGCGATAAGCGCCTCTTGGCGCATCAACGCCTCGGCTTCGCGAAACGCGATTTCGACGCGGTTGACAAACACGTGCGAGAGAACGTACATCTCGATGGTGCGACGACCAAGTTCGGCTAATCGTTTTTCATCGCGTTCGACGGCATCGGTGGCGGACAGGTCATCCGAGGCGGATTTCTTGTCTTCTTCGTCCGCGTCAAACGCGGTTCCGTCAGCGGCCCGCTCGAGCGCCGAGACAAAGTCACCCGTCAAAACACTCTTGTTTTGCACGATGCTCATGGCCACAGAGCACTTATTCGAGGTACTCACGGAGGTCGCCTTGGCTTCCAAGTCATTTTCCGCGATGTCCAACGCGCGGCAGCCGCAGTAAAGTGCATCCATGACGAGCGTCGACGTCACTTCCTTTTCGTTGAAGAAGCGCTTGACGATCCCCTTGAGCAGAATGTCAGACTTCTCCATCGTGAGCTGTACCTTCTCTTTCCCCTCGCGAGAGTTCCAGAATTGACGAAGATTTGACCATTGCTCTTCGTCCGCGCGCATCGTCATCAGTTTCTCGCGCTTCTCATCTAAAAATCTTCGACAAATGCCCTGCGTTTGGTCAAGATGAAAATAAAGTCAGTCGTCGTCGCTTGTCTCGCCACGCGCGCGCTCGAGTCAGTCGAGCTCGAATCCATCCATCGTTCAGATTCTATGGGTGTATAGATGTTCATCAGAATATATTGCTCAGAACGAGAAATGCTTGATATGTGTTTTCATCAGCACGATGGATGTTTCGGTTCGACGGCTCGAGACGTCGCTTTTCGCCTCTACGCACCTCGACATTCGTAAGGTACACCCGAACGAGCTCGCGCCTGTACTGCGGGTCTAGGCATCTGAAAGGTCTCGCGACTTTCTCGTGTATCACTTGAACCTGAGCCTTAATCACGAGCGTGTCCGCCACGGTGAAACCGTCGAGCACCTTCGTGAGCTCCATAAACTTTTTCCAACCCCAGTCGTGCTCCTTCTTACAGAACCGGTGCAACGTATCGCTGTACTTGGACTTTTTCGGATCCTTATTCACCACCGCAATCGTAAACTGCGCGAAATGACTCCATCCCGGCAACAGCTTGTCGTAATCGGCGACGCACAAAAACAACGACAGGTGATTGCTCACGTCGCATCCTTGCGGGTACACCAAAATGTACCACTTATACCCGCCCACCTCGAACACGTTCGATCGCAATTCCCGCTTACTGATTTCCGAAAAGTTTTCAATCTTCCACGTGAATTTCCCGTACATGTCCACGGGTTGCGGCCCTGTTTCCGTCGGTACATCCGTCGTCAGTCGCGCGTCGCGAGAGATCCACCACTAGGTCCACTCCATCATCGCGTCGCCACCACCCTCTCGCGCCCTCTCCCGTCCCGCGCGCGTCGTCGCGCGCGTCGAATTAATCTCACGCACCCGCGCTGTCCTCGCTCGTCCACGGTCCACCGTCGCTCGCGTCCAGCGGCCCGCGCCGCGCGCGCCACGTCTCGTCCGCGGGCGAGTCCGGGGTGACCGTCAGCGTCCCGTCGCCGCCGCCACCGTGCGGTCCATCGCTCGCGCGTCCGCTTCCGCGACCGGTGCTGTTTTTATTCTCCGATTTCGCGGCGTTCGGCGCGTCGTCGTCGCTCGCGTCGTGCGCGTCGGGCGCGGATTGCGCGTCGGGCGCGATCGCGGCGGTGGGCGCGACGTCGTCGGCGCCCACCGCCGCGTCGACGTGCGGCGACGTCGCGTCGGGCGCGTCGGCGGGCGCGTCGGACGCGTCGGCATTCGCGTCGGCGGACGCGTCGACGCCTCGGCTCGCGCGCGCCATGACGGGCGCGAGAGGCGACGACTGGGGACCGACGCGCGGAGCGCGGAGGGTTGGGACTCTAGACATGGGACGACACGCGAGGCGGGACGCGCGAGACGGGGAAATCGGCGCTACGGCGCGCGGCGCGCGATGGCGGTGCCGATAAAATTATTCAGTGCCGCATCGTCGGGCGCGCCGCGCGCGTCGAAGGCGAGGATGGCGTTGAGGGCGTGATCGGAGACGCGCGACGGTTCGGCGGCAAACGCGCCCGGCCGAGCGAGGAACACGCGGGGAGGGCCTGGGGGAAGATACGAGGCGATGGCGATCGCGGTGGTGAGCTTGGCGCGAACACCGCCGGTGACGTCGGCGATGGCGTCGTCGATGGCGAACGTGGCGTCGAGGGCGGCGGCGTCGGCGGCTTCGGCGAGACGCGCGAGCGGCGACGCGCGAGCGCATCGCCAGGGAACGCGAGTGCCATCGCTCGCGTCGGCGTCGGCGTCGACGATGATGTCGCGTAAGAGCACGGCGGTTTCGGTTTCGTTCACGCGGAGCGGTACGTCGCCGTCGGTGACGTCGGCGTTTATGATTCGCGTCGTCGGCGGCGAGTCGTAGACGCCGAAGACGTCGCTGCAAAACACCACTCGCGGGCACTCATCGGGCCACTCTTCCATCGCCCATTTCGCGCACATCTCGACGATCGTATCCGCGCTCAACACTGACGTGCCTTGCGCGACGTCCTCGACCACGTCGCCGTGTATCACCGGCACGACGCCGTCGCGCACCGCGTCGAGCACCGCGCGTCCTTCGTCTCGTCCGCTCGTCTCCGGCCGCCCCGGCCCTCGCGTTCGCCACCCCTCGCGCCACGGCGTCATCCCTCGCGCGTTCACGCCGGCATCTCGCAGCGCGTCGACGACGAGTCGATTCAATTCGAGCACTTTCGCTCGCGTCCCGTCGACGCCCAGCGCGAACGCCGCGTCCCGCAAGTCACCGCCGCGCGCGCACCCGCACGCCTTCGCCTCCGCTGCGACCGCGTCGCCACCGCGCGCGTCAGTCGCGCGTCGCGTCCATCGCGTCCGTCGCGTCGCGCGCGTCCGTCGCGTCGCACCGTGTCCGAAACTCCCCGCGCCGTGCGCGATGATCAACGACGCGCCCGCGTCGCGCGCGAGTCGCGCGACGCGCGCGCAATCCGCGAGCCCGCGCGCGTCGACGACGCCGCGTTGACGCTTGTCCGTGAGCACGGCGCCGCCGAACTTGACGACGGCGACGCTCGGCATGCGCGAAGTGTCGCTTCGCGCGCGACAACGCGACGCCGATGACGCTCGCGCGCGCGACGCCGCGCCGCCTCGGGACGGCGTCGACGCGCGCGCGGCGCGACGCGCGCGCGACGACGCGCGCCGGCGCGACGGCGCGCGACGACGCGCGCCGGCGCGGTCGCTCGTTCGACGCGTTCGACGGCGCGGCGTTGGCGCGCGCGGCGTGCGGCGTCGCGGCGTGCGTCGTCGTCGGCGCGCACGCGCCGTCGGCGCGCGCGGAGTTTTACATCGAAGACGTCCCGGACGGATTGCGCGCGAGCGAGAGCGATTCGCGCGCGAGGCGGTCGCTGAAGTCGCTCACGTCGGGGCCGAACGGGAAGGCGGTGGAAAAGTGCGCGAATAAATGCTTGGCGACGTGCGCGCGCGGCGGCGGCGGGGGGCCGGGATTGGGGCCGGCGAGCGTTCGTCGCGACCCGATCGTGTTCAAGGACAGCTTTCGGTCGAGGGAGTACTGCTTGTTTGAGTGCGCGGATATTTGTTCGCGTTCGCTCGAGGCCAGGGGACGGTGAGCCGCGTCGACGACGACGCGTTTAGAGCGCGCGACTCGCGCGCGCGCGGTAGATGGTGTAGTTTGTATTGTTTTTTAGCTCGGCGCCACGCGCGTCGCGGCACGGCGCGGCGAGCGACGGTTTCGCGACTCGAGCGGCGCGCGCGCGCGCGTCGGCGACATTTTATCCAAAATGATGACGTTGGCGGCTGACTCCCATCTTGCGCTGCCGCACTCGCCGGCGCGCGCGTCGTCGCCCGCCATGCCCGATCACGGCGCGAGGATGATCCTCGCCGTCGCGCTCGTCGTCGCCGGCGCCGCGACGCTCGCGCACGCGGCGTCCGCGGACGCGTTGACGTCGCACCTGACCGCATTCGCGCGCCGCGCGTCGAAAGATCCCCTCGTCGATCGCGCGCTCGAGGCCGCGCTCGCGCTCGAGCGACGCGTCGACGCGATGTTCGCGAAAGTTTGGCGCGTCGTGCTGGATAACTTTCACCCGTTCGTCATCGCGGGTCCGCTGACGTTCGCGTACCACGAGGCGGTGTACTTCGGCGCGTGGACGCCGTGGTTGGCGATGGATCAGTTTGAATACTTTAAGCGATGGAAGATACAGCCGGATAAAACGCCGAGCAAGGAAATGGTGATGAAGTGCCTGACGAAGCTTTTGAAGTCGCACGTGTTCATTCAGTTGCCGATGCAAATGATGTTTTATTTCGTGGCGCCGTACTTTGGATTTTCGCTGGCGATGGAGGCGTTGCCGAAATCGAGGGATTTGTTGTGGCAGATTCCGGTGTTTTTCGCGATTGAAGATTTCTACTTTTACTGGGTTCACAGGGGATTGCACCATAAGCGGGTGTACAAGTACGTGCACAAGATTCATCACGAGCACAAATTTCCGTTCGGCATCGCCGCCGAGTACGCGCACCCGGTGGAGACGTTCTTTTTGGGCATCGGCACGTTGCTCGGGCCGTTGTTTTTCGCCAAGCACATGGTGACGCTGTGGGTTTGGTTGTTTTTCAGGCTCGTGGAAACGGTGGAGGATCACTCTGGCTACGACGTGCCGTGGAATCCCACAAATTTGATTCCATTTTGGGGTGGCGCGGTGCACCACGATTTCCATCACAAGACGTTCGAAGGGCCGTACTCGAGCGTTTTCACGTGGTGCGACTGGATGTTTGGCACGGATAAGGAATTTAGAAAGCATCAACTCAAGCTTAGAGGTGGGAGTGAGTCTTTGGCGTACCCAGCCGTGTTCCGAGGCGCGCCGAACGAGCGCTCCTTGCCTTCCAAGAAGGTGGATTAGATTTAATTTAATTGCGACGACTCGTTGTTTTGTGCTGGAAAGAATACTCTCGGTTGATATTAATAAAAATTTTCGATTTGTTTTCATCGTTAAAGTTCATCTTTGGGAGGCGTTTGATCGGGAGTTTGCTCGTCCTCTGTCTCGCGCTGAACCTGCTCTTCTTCCGCGGACTGATCCGCATCGGTTCCTCCGGCGACGTCCTCCGCCGGCGGCTCGTCTGTAGGCGCGTCTGCATCCGTTGCGTTCGCGATCGTTTCGTTCGCATCCGTTTCATTCGCTTCTGTCTCGTTCTTCTCAACCTTTGGAGGTTTCGGCTTGGACTTTTTCTTCAACTTGCCGAACTTGGTCTCAATGGGTCGTTGGCTGATTTTTATCTCGGTTGACTCGAGCGTTGGCGCTTCAGTCGCCGCCAACTTGTCTTGTGCCTCAATCTTCTCGTCGAGCCACGATTCGAATTGCTTGATCTCTTCAAGTAAGTTCGCGACGTGCGTTTCGTTCAACCACGGTTTCTTTTCCGGCCAAGACTCTACTTCGGGCTTGGCCTTTTCGATAAACGCTCTCGCCTTCGCAATCATCGCAGGTCGTCGCGTCATTTCCTTAGCGCGGAACTCAATGGCGTCGCCCTTAGACTTGAGGTCGTCATGAGTTTGCTTGAACACTTCTGTGGTGGAATCTGCACCGTCCATATACAGCCAATCCTCTTTGTCTGTAAGTTCCTCCTTCAAAGCTTCGCGTTCCTCCTCTGTCGTCACGACTTGAATTTCATCCTCGTCGAGCTTGGCACGGATGGCGTAAATGTACGCCTCGAGGTTACTCTTAGCCGCTTCTTGCGCGCGCTTAGCTTCGTCAACCTTACGCAACTCACCGAGCACAGACACGGAAGCTTCAAGTTGCGCTTGCGTCATCGGTTCCATGTGCAAGCCCGAAACTTTAACTTCAAGCGAAGTCTTCATCACGCGGCGGCGCATTTTCATTTTGGGATTCTCCTCTTCTTCCACGACTTCTTCTGCGGTGGTGTTTTCAGTGGCTTCCGTGACGTCTTCCGCAGCCGTTGCGTTCATCTCTGCTTCGGTTGCGTTTTCAGTCGCCGACGATTCGTCATCCGTGACGTTGGTGGCTTCTGTTGCGTTGTTATCGACCTTTGTCTTTTCCACTTTCGGCTTCTTTTTGGGTTTTTCCGGAACGTAGTCGATGATCTCAACCGCGTACACCGCCTCGTAGACATCCAACACGCCATTGGCATCAAACTCAAAGTACACGTTCATCTTGCCCACAGTGTCGTTGTACTTTGCCATCGCCTCCTTCACCCCGGTGACATCGACGACCATGACTTGGTCGGTGTCTGTGCCCGGAGGTAACGGTGAGCCGTTCGACACATCAAGGTTCACGGTGAACTTAGCGTCCTCGGTGCGATTGAGCAGTTGCACTCGCTGGCGAAGCGGCGAATTCGCAAACGCCGGAACGAGCGTGGCCGCTTCACCCGACGTAAAATCGTCGCTCGGTGTAACTTCATACGTCATTCCATGTGGCATCGCGTCCGCGGCGCCAAACTTTCGCATGCGGAACGTTGTGGACATGTTGGCGGCGAAAAGACCTGCGCCCATGGCCACGGCTTCGTCCGCGTCGAGGTGCACGTCAAACTTGCGACCATTGATGGCTTTTCCAATCTCCTCCTTCACTCCGGGCACGCGCGTGCTCCCGCCGATGACTTCGATAGCCTCGATTTCATCGAGCGTGATGTTGAAGTCGCCGAGCGAGGCCACGATTGCTCGCAACGGACCAGTCATGCGTTCGAAAATATCCCCGGCGAGCGTAGTGAATTCGTCGCGAGTGATTTTCGATCGCAAGTCAATTTCGTCGTGCAATGATTCCACACTAAACGGCGCTTCTTTGTTCGCAGACAGGATTTCCTTCGTCTTGCGAACTTGCTTACGCATCTTACCGACAGCGCGCGGAATCGTGGATAAATCCGTACCGTGCTTTTGTTTGAACTCTTCTTGAAAGTGCTCGACGAGGAGCATGTCGAGCGCGTCGCCGCCCACGGTTTCGTCCCACTTCACCGACACCATCTCGAATTGCCCGTGCTGTTTCTTCACCTTACCACTGGAGAACGAGCTGTATTTCACGAGCGCGGCACCCGCGGACGTGTGTCCGACGTCCACCAAAATGACCCACTTTGGCTCTGGAAACTCCTTGTCGATTCCCCACTGCAGCGCCGCGCACGACAAATCGCTCTTCATCGCCAGCACGTTCAACCCAGCGATCTCCGCCGCATCCCGCAACGCCCTTCGCTGCGATTGCGACGCAAACGGCGGCACCGCGATCACCGCGTCACGAATCTTCCCTCGTCCCGCCGCCTCCCCGATCGCCATCGCGTACTCCAGCGTCATCCCCACCAACTCCTCCGCCGCGTAGCTCTTCTTCCCCAGCACGGCTCTCACCGCACCATCTCTCGCACCATCTCCTTCAATTTCATACGCCAGCTTCGAATTCGTCTTCACCGCGCGCACGCGTTCATCGCTCGCGCGCGCGCCGAGAGCGTCTCTCGCTCGCGTCGCCACATCCGTAGGCGATCGCGGCATCAAATCGTTCGCCGGCTCCCCGATCGCGCGTTCATCGTTGAAAAACGACACCGCGGCGGTCGTTTTACGCTTCGAAACCTCGTTCAGGGTGATGGCGATCGGCGTTCGGCCGGGAGCGACGAGCGAAGCTTTGAGAAACTCACCGCCGAGATCGATGCCCATGACGGCGCCGTGTGCGCCCGCGCACAGCGCGCACAGCGCGCACAGCGCGACGGAGAGCGTCGCGAGAACTTTCGCACGCATCGTGGCGCGGCGGGCGCGCGGTGCGCGACTCGAAGTGACGCGCCGGTCGAAGATGATCTCACAGCGCGAGGCGTCGCATCTTGTATTCTGCCCGCGGCGGGTTCGTCGGTTGGAAATTTCGCGGACGCGCGCGCCGTGGCGTCGCCCGCGACGGCCGATGGAGGAACGAAGGTCTTTAAAAGTCTCGTCACAAGCGATGGTGCGGTTAAGGGAGCTCGACGGCGATGCGCTGGCGAGCGATGTCGACGGATTTGACGCGAACGGCGCACGTTTGGCCGACGCGATAGAGCGCGTGGGGATCGATTTGGGCGTTGGGGTTGGCGTCGGTGCGTTTGCGCATCGCGGTGACGTGTAGGAGGGCGTCGCGGCCGACGCCGAGATCGAGGAAACAGCCGAAAGGGACGACGTTGCGGACGACGGCGTTTTTGATTTCGGCGCCCGTTTGCAAGTCCTCGAGCGTGAGCGCTTGCGTTCGGAGCACGTTTTGCTCGGCGGCTTGGCCTCGGGCGTCATCACCCGGGGCGCTGAGTTCGTTCGCGATGTCTTTGAGCGTTAAGGGGTGGCACTTGAGGCGCGCAGCGCGCGCCTCGAGGTCTTTTACGTCGTCGCGAAGTGCCTTGAGTTTGGGCTTGAGGCGTTTCAGCGCGTCCATCGACGTGTCGCCGGCGTCGCTCGCCGTGAGATCAATCACCTCAGCCACGTCTCTTTCGAGCATCTTCAACAGCTTTTTGGCGATGTGGTAGCTCTCGGGGTGCACCGAAGTGCGCTCCAGCGCGTCTTTCGCGTCCGGGACGCGCAAGAACCCAATTATTTGCTCATACGTCTTTGCGCCCACGCCCGCGATGGTTTTCAGCGCGGCGCGTTCGCGGAACCTTCCACGCTCAGAGCGATGTCGCACGATCTTCGCCGCGAGCGACGGGCCGAGGCCTGGAATACGCGACAAGAGCGACTGTGAGGATGTGTTTAGATTCGCACCGACGTTTGCCACCGCGCTCTCCACCGTCGCCGTCAACGCGTCAGCGAGCTCCTTCTCCTTGACGTCATGCTGATACAGTCCTATACCGATGGACTGGGGCTCGATCTTAACGAGCTCGGCCATCGGATCTTGCAGTCTTCGCGCGATAGATACCGCTCCGCGCAATGACACGTCTATGTCCGGCAACTCTTTCGCCGCGATTTCGGAGGCGCTGTACACCGAGGCGCCGGCTTCCGAGACGACGCGCCAACCGACGCCTTCAAAACCAGCGAGCGCGGTGGCGACGAGCGATTCGGTTTCGCGACTCGCTACGCCGTCGCCGATCGCGATCGCCTTGACGTTCCATTGCTTCACCAACGCTTGCAGCTTGCTCGCGGCTGCGGATTGACCGCCGCCTTCTCGTTTCACCTTCGACTCGAATTGCGGCAAGTGTACGACGCCGGTATCGAGCAGAGCTCCCGTAGGGTCAACCACGGCGAGTTTGCAGCCGGTGCGATACGCTGGATCAACGCCGAGCACGACAGCTGCGGGTGTCAGCGGCGGTTGAAGAAGCAGTGAGCGAAGATTAGCGCCGAAATCTGCGATGGCGCGCTCCATCGCCTCCGTCTTGAGTCGACTCTTCGCCTCGCGTTCGATGGAGGGTGCGAGCAACCGTTTCACACCATCTTCCACCGCCTCGCTAACGACGTTATAACAACCCCCACCTAAGCGTCTCGAGCCTACCATGGCTTTCATCGCCGCCGACGTTGCCCACGCGACGTCGAAATCAATCTTCACTCGCAACACCTTCGCGGCTTCGCCGCGTAAAATCGCCAAGGTCTGATGCGGCTTCACCCTTCGCAATGGCGCGTTGAACTCGTAGTAGTCCCTCAACGCGTCGGCTATCTTCTTCATCTTTTTATCGTCAATCTTTCCCTCCACCGCCGCCTTCCCATTCGTCGTCAACGCGCACTGAAGCCTTCCGTTTTGCCACGTCGATCGTCTCGCCGCCTCCCGAGCGCTCGTCTCGTTCGCCGCCCTCTCCGCGAGCACATCTTTCGCCAGCCTCAACGCCTCGCACACGTCTGGAACATCATTCCCATTCACGTACGCGCGCGCTAACGCCTCGACCCCCCCCGCGCCGTCGCTCAAAATCTTCTCCGCGAGCGGTTCGCAGCCGAGCTCTCGCGCCCTGTCCGCGCGACTGCTCGTCTTCGTCTTATACTTGCTCATCAAGTCTTCGATCGTCTCCACCGCGCTCGCTTCGCGCAATCTCGCGAACAACCTTTCGTCCACGATCTCCAACCGCGTCAACGCCTCGAACGCGCTCTCGCGCTTCGATTCCAATCGCGTCCACTCCGCGTGCGCCGCCGCCACCGCGCGCAACTGTCCCTCGTCCAGCCCATCCGTCCTCTCCTTGCGATACCTCGCCACGAACGGCAGCGTGCACTGCTCGTCGATCAGTAACCGCAGCGCCGCGTCGATCTGCTCGCGTCGCACGTCTCCGAGCGTCGCGCCGCGCGCGCGCGCCAGCACCGCGTCCGTCCGTCCCACCGCCCGCCCGCTCGCACGCGCCGCCCGCGCGCGCGACGCGCGCGCCGACGTCTTCACCGTCCCCTCGAGCGTGCGCTTCATGCCCGTCGTCGTCCCATCGCGCGCGTGTGACGTCGCGCGCGTTCGTCGCGCGCTCGACAAAAACGTGTGTGACTTTGACGATTACAAAAAGCGACGCCCTTCGCGCCGTCGCGCGCGCTCCGGCGCTCACGCGTTGTCGCGAACCGCCTTCTTCAGCCCCTCCTCCTGTCGACTGTGCGCGTTCGGCGTGCGGCTCTCCTCGCTCACGCCGTACTCGGGCGCGTCGAACGCCGATTCCCCTCGCCCCGACGTCGCGCTCGCCGCCGCCGCCGCGCGCAGCGCCGCCTTGCGCGCCTCCTTCGCGGCGGCGGCCTCGGCGAGATCGACCGCGCGCGCGGGCGTCGGCGCGATCGCGGCGCGCGCGACGCACGACGCGAGCGCGACGACGACGACCGCGCGGCGGTCGACCGCGGCCGTCGGCGTCGCGTTCGCGTCGGCGTCGGCGCGTCCAGCGCGCGCGCGCGCCGCGGCGACGGCGACGCGCGCGCGGCGACGGGCGACGCGCGCGACGGGCGCGCGCGCGACGGTGCTCGCGGTCGCGCGCGCGCGCATGATGACGATGGGCGTCGACGCGCGCGCGAGCGAATGCCGTCGCACACGCGCGCGCGCGCGGTCGCGATCGCGCGCGACGCGAACGCGGCGATGGACGCGTCGACGCGCGCGCGCGCGGCGACGCCGAGGCGCGCGGCGGGACGCGCGCGCGCGGCGACGCCGAGGCGACGCGCGAGCGGGCGGGCGACGGCGCGCGGCGACGCCGAGGCGACGGCGAGGACGCGCGAGGACGGCGACGCGGGCGACGCGCGGTTCAGCTTTCGGCGACACGAGGCGTGCGTGCGGACGACGCTTCGCGCGCGCTGCGGCGAGGGACTCGAGGAGGCGCGCGTGGACGACGCGTTCGCGGCGCGAGCGAACGCGAAGCGCGGCGTGACGACGACGACGGAGGCGTGGTCGTCGCGCAGGCTGCGGCGCGTGCGCTCGACGTACGTCGACGGGGGGGAGAAGGCGCAGATTTATAACTGCGCGGTGTATCCGGCGTGCGAGGCGTGCGATGCGCCGGTGTTCGGCGTGGATTTGATTTGCGTCGGCGTCGGCGCGGCGAGGAAGATTTTAATAGGGGTGGATTTGCAGCCGATGAGTCGGGATCGCGATTACAACGACGCGTACGTGCCGAAATTGTTGAAACTTAGGGATGGAGGCGCGCTGTCGGCGTGCGCGGAGGCGCTGAACGCGACGACGCCGTCGAAGAAGTTTTACGAAGACGCCACGTATTTCTCGCGCGGGATGTTCTTCGCGCGACCGGCTCTCGCGAACGAGGAGACGATGGCGCGGTCGCTGGACGTCGTGCGGGCGTACTTAGACGTCTGGCTCGATCGTTTGGATGAAGCCGAGCGCGAGGCAGAGGCGATGGACGGAGCGTGCAAATTCGGTCTGTCTCTCGAGGACGTGCGGAGGTGCGTGCTGACGGAGGCTTCGGCGCGCGAGGCGCAAGACGCGCACGACGCGTGGCAGTTAGAGCACGATCCAGCGATCGCGATGTTTGCAAGCTGGTACGGAGAAGAGTGGGCGCGAGACTTCGCCGAGACCGTGCTATTCCCAGGCGCCCGCGGGTGATCGCGGTCGTTGTACCAACAGTTGTTAAACCAGCGTATAATTCTTTCACTTCATCTCCACGCAATTCGCCGCGTACACGCGACTCGATCGAAGGTTACTCAGCACCTTTCGTCGCCAGTCTTCATCATCCGCATCGCGCTGCGAGCAAAAGTCTCGCGCGACGTCGCTCGAGGGCGATTCTAAAATCGCGAGCACGCCCCGGCCGATGCGATCGCTCGTCTCAATGAATTCCTTCTCCTCCGCCGAGCTAAATCGCATCGGATCGTCGCGTTTCAGTATTTGCAGGGCGTCGAACATGCCCGCGGTGGACAACTCTGCGCTGACGCGTATCGGAATATCGGAAGTCATCGTGGTTTTCATCGCGTCGGCGACACCCGCGAGCGGAAACGCCGAGCAAACCACGTCGGCGGGCTTTGCCGCGGTGGAGAGAAAGTGTATCGTGACGCGGCGCACGTACGTCGTCGTCGTTGTCGTCTCACAAGGTGGCGCAAAGTATACGACGTGCTCGGCATTGGCGTCCAAAGTGAGATCTTGGCGAAGCGGAGGGAGTCCAAACGATTTGAATCGTTCGTCGAGCGTCCACAAATGATCAACCATGGCGCGAGTCTGACGCCACGGCATCAAACTTCCGTTGATGTACACCGAAATACCGTCGCGGTCGATGAAGGGGCGACTCTCGATCGAACCAACGACAACGCGCACGATGGCGGCCCAGGTCGAATCCGAGATCCCGATTCGCCGAGCGCAGTTCACGAATACTGTCGCCGCGTTTGCCGTCGATCGTTCGTCGTCGTACACGACTTCGTCGACTCGCGCTCCAATATCAACAAACAACATCGCCGCGCGCAATCCATTCAAGAACAGCCCGAACGTGTCCCGCAAGAAAGTTGTTCGAGAATCTTGCGCGCCCGACCATTCAAAATCCAGTATCAACCAACATTGAACTTCGTCTCCGACGCTCTCGACGACCTGTCTGCTCCACTCGGCGCCGAGACTCTTGGCGAACCGCACCGCGCAGTTGGACGCCGTCGGCACGAACAGCGTCGCGTGTGAAAACATCTTCGTCTGTTCGAGACCGTACGCGTCGAGCATTTCGGCGAAGGCGCGCATGAACGCTTCGGGATGCGACATTGTCCGACGAGCGACGCGAAGCGTCGCGCTCGCCGACGCCACGCGCGTGGTCAAGGTCAGTTCCAACCGCAACGTCGCGTCGTCCTCGCGTCGGTCGGCGGCGGTGACGAAGCTCAGCGCGAAGAGAGCGAGCGAGCGAGCGATCATCGGATACACGAACGGGTCGACGGTCGACATGGTGCGTCGTCGTGTGAAGAAAAGTCGTGTGTCGGTTGAGTTACAGCAATGTGAACGCGGCGCGGCTATTCGTCGTCGTCGTATTCACCCGCTTCGTCGCCAAAGAAGAGAGCGGTGCCGACGACACCCGGACGTCCCGTAGCGCCGAACGTGGTCAATCCCGGACGGCCCGGACCGACGTCCCATTCCTCCGCGTCGTCGTCGCCTTCGAACGATTGCGAGAACGTCTCGCCGAGCGTTTTCAATTCGCTCACCGAGGGGATGTCCTGAGGTCCCCGCCCCGCGGCATTCGTGGTGGGTAAATCATCGAAGTCATCGAGATCGGGCCAGCCGAGATCGTCCAGTTGCACGCTTTGCGTCTGCTCGCTGAATCTATCCTTGTTGAGATTGTTGGCAAAATTTTCAGCGTCGCCGCCGCCGAAAAAGTCATCTTCGCGATCGTCGCCCCAGAATCCACTGTCGTAAGAGTCGTCCAGATCGTCGTTGAAAGATCCACGACGTTGAGTGTTTCCTGCGGTCTCGTCAACTTCGATGACGATGAATGCGTTGGTGAGCGACGCGCAGAGTTTGACGTTATTACCGCCGGCGCCGATCGCTCGACGGAGATCCACCTCCTTCACGTACGCCGTAAACTTTCGCTTTTGCGTGCCATCCGGGAAGCTTTCTTCCACTCGTAACACTTCAGCTGGGAATAAAGAAGACTTGATCAGTTCCGCTGGATCGTCGGACCAAGGAAGGAAGTGCACGACTTCGCCGCCGCATCGTTCGCGAATGCGTCTCAAAATGCTCTGATCTTCGCCCAGGCACGTTTCCACCGCGTTGCTCCACGAAGTTGATCCTTCGCGTAGAGCTACCGCGACTTTCGTCACCTTGCCTGCCATTCTCGCGATCGACTTAATCTCTATCTCCCCGCGCGCAACCTCTGGAACTTCTTCGCGAATGATGGCGCCGACCAACGCCGGAATGGTCATCGACAGCACCACCGGGGTTTGCTCGCGACCGGTGAACAAGTTTTGATCGACGTCGAGCACGAAGCACGACAACTCGTCCCCTTGCTTGAGTGGTAAGTCGTTATAAGTCAAGAGCTGCTCCTCTGGCGGGATCACACCCGCGGCGCCGCCTTTTATGTCCATCATCCACGACCCGGTTTCGGTGCGGAAACGCAACGTGCCGTCGACGACGTTGCCGATTTGACCGACGAAATCTTCCGTCGCCAGACGCGCGACGCCAGTTTTAATCTCCTCGCTCATGTAACGAATCAACGTTCGCATGCGATTTTGTCGCCGGACATTGAACGTGAAAAATTTGGTGTCGTCGTATTCGCGCTCAACTGTCCCGCCTCGACCGACGACTTGCACGAGCACGGCGAATCGACCGCGTTGCACGTCGATGTCCACGCTCACGTCTATCCGCGCCCGAACTTCTTTTTGCAACACCGTCAGCGCGCTCCCTCGCATATCTCTATAGCCCCTATCGATCGCTCGCGCGATGGCTTCCAAATGCAACCCTACATCTGCCTCATAGCCTTCTTTTTCCTTGGCGAGCGCTCGCAAGCCGTTCACCACCGCCACGCGTCGCGCCAAGTCATCCTTGGTCAATTTCTCATCTGCCAACCTCAACTGCGGGTACCTCGCCTCGATATCTCGCATGCGCGCCGTGGACGATTCCTCCTCGTCCTCCCTGCGCGCCCACGACGACCCCCATCCTCGGTCTTCGTCCACGTCGTCGCCGTAATCGTCCTCTTCGTCCCGTCCCCAGCCTCCGGCTTTTTCCCGTCGTTCCGCTTTGACCGCATTCGCCTCCTCGATCGCCCTCGCGCTCGCCTCGTCCACTCGAACCACCCTGGAATTTCTCCACGCGCTCGCTTTTTCCACCACCGCCTCCATCGGCGCGAATTCCGCGCGATTCGCGCTCTCGTGCGCCAGCACGCGCTCCAGCAGCGCCGTCTTCGAGCCGCCGAGCTTCAGCCCGTACCCTCGACACAGCGGTTTCAGCCCTTTCTCCACCGTCAGCGCGCTCAGGTCCGCGCGGCGAGCTTCGAGCCACGCGTCCGCGGGCGCCGCGGCGTCGGCGTCGGCGTCCGCGGCGCGCGGGACGACGACCCTCGCGCGCGTGGCGGCGGCTGGGGTGCGCTTTTTGTCGTAGAAAACGACGCGCGACGGCGTCGAGAGCGCGGCGCGCGCGACGCACGACGCCATGACGTCGTGAAAATAAACTCGCGAGAGAGAGCGCGCGCTCGAACGACCGCGCGCGCGTCGTCGAGTGACGCGAACTCGGGCAATCGACGTCGACGAGGCGGCGGGGACGAAGACGAACGCGCGAACGTCGATAACAATCTTCAAAATCTAAATCACGCCCCCGGCGCGACCTTGCGCGGTTTCTTCAAGAATTGCAAGTTCCCGGGCACCAACTCGTCGACCTGATCGTCCGGTAAAGACATGAACGGATCGAACGCGTCGCCGTATTGGTCGTCGAACGGCTGCAGCGCCCACTCCACGCGTTCGTTCTTCAATTTCGGATACAACCGCTCAAAGTTTTCGATCAGCAGTTCCGCGCGCTGCGCCAAGCACACCCGCGCCAGGTTCACGCTCGCCGGCTTGCTTCCCGCGTCCGGCACTTGCAGCGTCCCGACGCCGTTCCACACCAAGTTGAGCGGCCCAAACTTCTTCACCATCAGGTTCACGCTGAACGGGTCCTGCCCTTCCTGCTTCTCCAGCGCCGGGAACCCTCCCGCGGCGTCCTGCGCCTTGGCCTCGATCGCCGCCTTCTCGCTCTCCGTCGGTTCCGGGCCGAATTCGCGAAGGAACGCGCCGCCCTTTTTCGCGCGCGCGACCACGCGCGCGCGCGCGTCGCCGCGCGTCGTCGCGTCGCCGCGCGCGCGCGCCGCGACGCGCGTCGAGAGCGTCGCCGCGAGCATCGCGCGCCGTTCGCCGCGCTTCGAGCGTCGCGCGCGTCGTCGTGTGCGGGGCGCGCCGCGCGTCTCGTCGTCGTGACGTCAGCGCGGCGCGGCGTCGCGACCGCATCGCGACGCGCGCGGCGCGAACGACGCCGATGCGCGCGGCGCCGACGCGCGCGCGCGCGGCGACGCCGGCGCGACGACGCGCGTCGTCGCGCGCGACGTCGGGACGCCGCGCGACGACGCGCGCGACGACGCTGTACGGGTCGCAGGGCTCGCGGTCGCCGCTGGTGAACTGGTACGCGCACGAGATCGGCCTCGAGCTCGCGATGCGCGCGCCGAGGGACGAGACGAACCCGCACCCGTTCGGACAGGTGCCCGCGCTGCGCGACGACGCCGACGCGGACGGCGGCGAGCTCGAACTGTTCGAGTCCGGGGCGATTTTAATGTACCTCGCCGACGCGTACGGCGGTTTGGACACGCCGAAGACGCGCGCCGCGGCGGCGGCGTGGGTGTCGTGGGCGAACGCGTCGCTGGATCCCGTGCTGTTCGTCGAGAACGAGCGCGGTGGCGTGGTGGACACCAAGGCGCGCGACCCGAATAATAAGCGACTCCGACGGCTCGACGACGTCTTGGCGTCTCGAGATTATCTGTTGGGCGATTTCTCGGTCGCGGACGTCGCCGTCGGCGCGTATCTGCTCTACGTGCCGCAGTTCTTTCCCGACGTCAGCTTCGCGCCGTATCCCGCGCTGGCGCGTTACATGGGCCGTCTCGCGCTCCGCGACGCGTACGCGAAGGCGTTCGGCGCCGACGCGCGGCGCTACCTCGTGCAAAAGTGCGTCTCGTACGTAGATGGAGATTAAAAGTAAAAAGTAGATGAAGATTTAACCCGATTTCGTTCGTTCGTTCGTTCGTTCGTTTTTTCGCGCGCTCGCGCGTTCGCGTCTCCGCCTCCGCGCCGGTTTCTCGCGTGCTCGTCTCGCCTTCGCGTCTTTCGGTGTCTCAAAGGTCGGGGCCCGAGGCGTCGCGCGGTCGACCCGGCCGTCACTCCCCCGCGCGTGAGCGCGTCTCGCGCGCGCGCGCACCGCCAGGACGGCGCGAACGGTCTCGATACGTCGCGCGCTCGGCGCGTCGCGCGCGCGCCCGCGCGCGTCGCGCGTCGCGCGCGCGTCGCCGCGCCCCGAGGGCACGCGCGCGCGCGCGCCGATTCGCGAGCGGGTCGAGATCGTCGTCGAACGACGCGAGATGCTCGCGGACGCGGCGCACAGCGCGATGACGAGCGAAGACGACGTCGAGGAAGACGGCGGCGCGGCGACGGACGGCGCGCAGGCGCCGTACGCGGCGTTTTGCACGGCGGCGATACTGGCGGCGGTGCACCGAGCGGCGATTTGGCGCGACTCGAAGGATTTCGTGGACACGCGGTCGAGATCACCGCCGGCGAAGGTGTTCGAGGCGCTGGCGCAGTCGCGAGCGGCGACGTGTAGCGTGGCGGCGCGGGAATTCTTGAACGAACACTTCGAGAGCGGACCGAGGGAGAGGTCTAAGATGCCGGAACTGGCGGACTGGCGAAGCGAGCCGGCGGTGGCGAGAGGGGCGAGGTGCGAAAAGTCGAGGGAGTTTGCGACGCACGTGCACGAGCTGTGGCGCGTGCTCGCGCGGTTGGACGCGGATGACTACGCTGAGGAAGAAGTCGGCGCGGAGGGCGAGGCGCGACGGACGACGAGCTCGAGGATTCGATTGCCGTACCCGGCGGTGGTGCCGGGGGAACGTTTTAGGGAAACCTACTACTGGGATACGTATTGGATCGTTTTGGGGTTGTTAACGAGCGAGATGCCGGCCACGGCGCTGGGAGTGACGAATAATTTGTTGTACATGGTCACCACGTACGGATTCGTGCCCAACGGCGCGCGCGTGTACTATTTGAATCGATCTCAGCCGCCGTTGTTGTCGTCGTGCGTCGCCGAGGTGTTTCAAGCGACGCGAGACGTCGAGTGGTTGCGACAGGCGTTGCCGTTGCTGGTGCAAGAATACGCCTATCTCACTCGAAGTGAACGCACGGTGACGATTCGTGACACGGAAACCGGAGAGACGCACGAGCTGTCGCGATATTTTGCCAACACCACGCGTCCGAGGCCAGAGAGCTATCGCGAAGACGTCGAGGTGGCGCGCCGAGCGACCAGAAAGGTGGAGGACGCCGTGGCCAAGCTCGAAGCTAAGCGTAAGATATATCGACATCTTGCTAGCGCGGCGGAGAGCGGCTTCGACTTCAGCTCGAGATGGTTCCTAGACGGCGATAACTTGGAGACGATTCGCACGTGCAACATCATTCCATCCGACTTGAACGGATTTATGCTACGAGTGGAGACGCAAATCGCTTTGCTCGCCCGCGAGGCATTAGTGTCGTTGGAAAACGAAGACGAGCTCTTCGCCGAGCGCGTGTACTTGAACCATTTGCTCGAGAAGTTCTCCCGTGCGAGCGAGGTGCGGCGGCGCGCGATTGACGCCGTGCTTTGGGACGACGACGTCAAGCGGTGGCGAGACATGGCGTTCGAACCGCTCATGGGCGAAGACACCCGAGGAATCGTGCGCGATCGCGATGATCTCACGGCGGCATCTGAGAGCCCGTTTACGAGCGATTTTACTCCGCTTTGGTGCGGCGCTTGCGATCCCGACAGCGATCAAGCGTACGAAGTCGTCGAGTCGTTGAAAAAGTCCAAGTTGGTCACCGACAAAGGCATCGCGACCTCACTCGTCGAGAGCGGTCAGCAATGGGATTGGCCTAACGCTTGGGCGCCGGAGACTCACATGATTGTCGAAGCGATACAAATTTTCGCCCCTCGCGAGGAAGAGTACGCGAAGACGCTCGCGCACTCGTGGCTCCGCACCGCGCATCAAGCGTGGAAGTCAACGGGCTACATGCACGAAAAGTACGACGTGCGCTCGACCGAGGACGGCGTGGGTAAAGGCGGCGAATACATCCCTCAACGTGGTTTCGGCTGGACCAACGGCGTGACACTTCGATTACTCGAACAATACGGATTCCCTCAAGATTGAAGAAAGAGGCGAAAACCAAGAAAGCATCAGTGCTACAAACATCCACCGCGGCGGCGCGCAAGGCGCCGCACGCGACGAACTGAAACGATTTAAATCCTCGAGACATTAAAACCATTCACTGTTGTACTCGTGTATCATCAAATTCATCTGTAATATCAAATTTAATCGAACGGACCAAGCCAAACCAAACGAACGCGGACTGCGCCGCACTCGCGCCCTCGTCGACATGGACGAAGACCCACCACTCCCGCCTCCCATCACGACCTCGGACGAACTCTACGCATACGATGAAGTCGCGCACAAGCTCCTCGTCGCTCAAAAGCCTTGGGCGCGCGATCCTCACTACTTTAAGAGGTAACGGTTGTCCCCGGCAGATTGCGCTCGCAATCGCACTTTTCTCGAGTCGCACGCCGCGCGCGACGCGTCCGGGCGACTGACGACGGCGCGAAACGCTCGCGCGTTTATGTTCTAGGGTAAAGGTGTCCGCGCTGGCGCTGATGAAGATGACGGCGCACTGCAAACGCGGTGGGGATATCGAAGTCATGGGCATGCTGCAAGGGTACGCGAAGGACGACGCCTTCATCGTGCTGGACGTGTTCGAACTCCCGGTCGAAGGCACGGAAACGCGCGTCAACGCGCAGGCGGAGGCGTATGAATACATGGTGGAGTATACGCACACGTGTAAGGCGGTCGGGAGACACGAAAACGTCGTCGGGTGGTATCACTCGCATCCAGGATACGGCTGCTGGTTGTCGGGCATCGACGTGAACACGCAGAGCATGAATCAGAGGTACGGGGAACCGTTTTTAGCCATCGTCATCGATCCGATCCGGACGAGTCGCGCGGAAAAGGTGGAGATTGGAGCGTTTCGGACGTATCCGGATGGATACACCGCGCCCGAGGAGCCGTCGACGTCGAGTAATCTAGGAATCCCAAAGAGCAAGATAGAAGACTTTGGCGTACACGCGAACAAGTATTACTCGTTGGATGTGAGCTTTTTCAAGAGCTCGCTCGACGCGCGTAACTTGGATTCGTTGACGAAGAAGTATTGGGTCAACACACTCAGTTCGTCGACGCTGCTGGCGAATCGAAAACTCATCGCGAGTCAAGTCTCGGACATGGAGGGGAAGATTGCCAAAGCCGAAAAGGAAATCAAGCGAGGCGGTCCGACGACGACGTCTTCGGCGTCGCTCGCCTCGATGTCGATGTCCCCGACGTCGGGATCGAATTTAGAGAAAGCAGGCGATGTTTCCGCGCTCGGCACGGTGACGCAAGACGCGATATCGCTCGCGATAGAGCAATCGAAAATGTTCGCGTCGTACGCCGTCAAATGCGCCCTGTTCGACGCCGTCTCGGCGCACAAAGAGAAGAACGACGACGTCGAAATGCAAGCCGCCGACGCGTGAGTCATGAAACGATTTGATTCGATGATGACGCTACGATTCATGCTAGATCTTCGTTGTTTACTGTACAATACTCGCTCGCTACTTTTCCGCCGCATTCGCCGCCTTCGCGTTCACCTTCGCTTCCAACGCCGCCGCTAACGTCGCCAAATCGTGCTCCATCGCCTTGACCCAATTTTCAAAATCCCCGATATCTCTAAGCTCTTTATCGAACGCCTCCAGCGACGTCGCCCACTCGCTCGACCGCTCTCGAAACGCCGTCGCCGTCTCGTTCAGCGCGCGCGCCGACGACTCGACTTGCTTTTGATTCTCAAACACCTCAACCACGCCGTGGTTCACCGAATCCGTCATCGCGTCCGCGAGCGCGGACACCTGCGCGACGGTCTCTTTGCGCAGCGCATCTGGAGCGAGACGGCGCGCGCGCGGCGCGGTGCGCGTCAGTCACGGCGCGAGCGCGCGTTTGGTGTTACGCGCGAGCGCGAACGAGCGAACGAATGAACGACGACGACGCACCGACTTCGCGCTTGACTTGCTCTTGACCCGCGCGGTGGGTCTCGTAGAGTTTCTTCAACGACATGTCGCGCGCGCTCTCGACGCACGACGAGCTCGAGCGCGCGGGAGTGTGCGGCGAGCGCCGGGCCGAGCGCGAAGGCGAGCGTCACAACGCGTCACTTCTTCCAATTACAAGCGAGCATCGTCGCGCGCGTCACGAACAATACGTCGTTCAAGTACAATATTATTGACGCCTCCCCATTACGCGTCACCTCGCGAGCATCTCGTCCGCTCGCGGGCGCGTCAATCTCCGTCGCGACGCGTCAAAACGAGTCTTGCGACAGCAGCGCCTTGAGCTGCAGCAAGTGCACGACGAGAATGATGACGTGCCAATTTTCATGCGGCCCCCACACGCCTTGAATCTCAAAGAATGACTTGTGCTTCGCGTCGAAGCGCGTGCACGCCATGAAATACCACGGAGAGACAATCTTGGAGAGGACCTGAATCGCCACCATCGTCTTGAAATCCTCGATGGCTCTCGCCTCGACGACGCCCAGGAAAATCATATTCAAAAGGATCAGCGTCAGCCGCCGACGACGCATAAACATCAACACGCGTTTATTTTTTTGTTTAAACGCCGCCACCTGCATCAAGCACATGCACGCGAACACCGCCACCGCGCCGAATTGACTAAAACTGTGCACGCCGCCCGTCCACAAAATAGAGTGCGAGGTGAAGCCCCACGATATCCCGATAAAATCCATCGCCAACGCCACATCGTACCCGAGCGCGGTCTTCCACGGCACCATGTGCAAGCACGTCGACCCCAAATACGTCAACATCGTGCACTGCACGAACAGCGACGCGCGTTCCGGCATGTTCTTAAAGTATCCCAGCCCTCGTCCAGTCAGCGCCGCCACGACGCACGCGAAGTGCACCCATCCTCGCATCAAAGGTCGTATCTGCGCCGATCGTTCGCCCGCGAATCATCGCGCGCCATCGTCAGTCCTCGTTTTCCCGTCCGTCTCGCCCCTCGCCCACCGCGCGTCGTCGTTCGCCTTCGCGTCGAGTCGAGTCTTCGCGCGCGAGCGGGACGCGCGCGCGCACCTGCTCTCCTCCCGCGTACGCGTCGTGCCTGCCGAACCCCTTGAAATAGTGTCCGAGCTCGTCAGAAAAGCTCGGCGTCCGTCGCATCGTCCCCGTCGCCGTCGCCCCGTCCCGCGCGGCGCGCGCCGGCGCGTCGTCGTCGTCGCGTTCGTTCGCGCGCGGCATCAGCGGTGGTTTCGCGACGCCACGCCGTCGCGCCGCGGGCGCGCTCGACGCCATCGCGCGGCGCGCGCGAGCGCGAGCGCGCGGGCGCGCGCGTCGAGCGTTCAACGCGCGCGGCGCGGCGTCGGGCGCGGCGCGACGCCGTGTGCCGCGATGGCGCCGTCCCGGTCGCGTCAGAGCGCGCCTCGCCGCGCGACCGCGACGCGCGATGGCGCCGCGCGATGGCGCGCGCGCGCACATCGCGCTGACGTGCGCGTCCGACGCGCGCGTCGGCGCGGGCGACGTCCTGCGCGTCGCGCCGAGGTCGGTCGAGACGAATCAAGATTTCGTCTCGGACGCGTTCGAATGCGTCGTCGAGCGCGACGCGAGCGACGCGAGCGACGCGAGCGCGAGGACGTTCGAAGTGCGCGCGTCGGGAACGTTCGCGCGGGCGTTCGTGGCGTTCGGCGCGCTCGGACGGGTGATGTGCGTCGGCGCGCTGGACGACGGCGCGGCGCGGACGCGCGACGACGGGTCGAGCGCGGACGTTTCGACGACGAAGACGCTCGTGTGTCGATGCGAGATGATGGTTGAGGGTGTCTCGAGAGCGGTGGTGCGAGGGATGAGCCGGGCGGCGCGAATCACGACGTTTGGACATTTGTCGACGAGGGACGCGGCGACGCTCGACGCGGAGGCGATGGAGGCGGCGGCGAGTGATGAGCGACCGTTTTGTGGAGTTTTAGGATGCCAGACGCACGTGGGCGATCGTCGAGCGACGTTGAGCGCGGTGTTGGAGGAGTTGCGGCCGGAGATGCGGCGGGAGCACGCGACGATTAAGGCGGCGACGCCGGGATATTTGTGCGCGGGCGATTTGCCAGAGGACGTCGTGGAGCGAATTTTAGGATTTTTAGACCCGAAGTGCGCGAGCACGCTCGCGTGTACGTGCAGAGGATTTCGTTCGCGCGTGGAAGAGACGTCACCGGGATTGGCGTTGACTTTACATCCGCACCAACGCGCGGCGCTCGGATGGATGCGACGGCGCGAACGCGCTCGTCTACCGCCGATTCTCGATCCACTTTGGAAGCCAATCGATTGCGAGGACGGTCGTGTGCTGTGGCTTCACACTTTAAAGGGGGAGTTAAGCGATCACCATCCCGACGTATACGAAGACTCGCAAGGAGGAATGCTGTGCGACGAGCCCGGATTGGGGAAGACGGTGACTGCGCTCGCGCTCGTGCTGGCGCGACGAGGTTGGCGACCTTCACCACCGATCGGTTACACGGCGCGTAAGATGGAATCATGTTGGTACTACGAAGACACAAACTCCGGTGGTGCGGGCGGATACGGTTCACCTGCGGTGATGGCTGCCGTACCGACACTCGACGCCGAAACGCCCGCAATTACTCCGATGAAGACATCTGCCGCGTTCGCGGGAAGTTCTTCGAGAGGTAACTCTTCCGGCCTGAGGCGAAGCAAACGCTCAGCCGGTAACACGCCAGTGGGGTATTTTGCTTCGGTGTGCAAGAATGGGTTGGATGGCACGATGAGTAGGAGCGCAAAGCGTTCGAAATTAGAAGAGAAACAAGCGTACGAGGCGTTAGCCGCTGCGACGACGGTGGAAGTTCCAGATTGGCAGACACGTTTGGAGTGCTCGGCACACAGCGCCCCCATTGGTTTCATCGCGCGCACGGGGTTGAAGGAAGATTCAGCGCGTTTGGCGCGAAACACGTCTTACTTTGAAAGCATTCTTCGAAACTGCGTCGTGTACGTTGGACGCGCCGCGACGTGCGACGTCGTCGATTACATTTTAGAAAACACCGAGGAAGTGTCGCACGCGATGCCGCTTTCGATGCCACTCTTTCGCAGAAATTCGGACCAGCCTCCGATTTTTCGCGCACTCGGGTTGGAACCGTACACTGGAGTCGGCAAGTTGGAAAACGCGATTCCGTACGCGCCGCCCGGGTCGGCGACGGAGGACCTCATCTTAGACAAGCAAGCACTTCACGACGCCATACGCGTCGTCGATAACAGAGGGAGTAGCAGCGAGCCGATGCGTGTCTGGTTATCGAGCGCGACGTTAATCATCATTCCGAGTGTCCTCATCGAGCATTGGTTGCAGCAAATATCGTTTTGCACTTGGAACATCACCGGTGAGGGTGTCCCGCGCGTCGCGGTGCTGGACAAACCACCGAAAGTGGACGGCTTCAGCTCAGTTTACAAGACCGAAGGTAGCTTGGAACCCGTGCACTTGAATGATCTGGCGCATGTCGATGCGAAAGATTTAGCAAACGACTTTGACATTGTCATCATGCCCATCAATCGACTTTCCACAGAGTTTTCAAAAGTTGATACGCCGATTTTACGCATTCTTTGGCAGCGAGTGATTTTGGATGAAGGCCATCAGCTCGGGGCGTCTTTAGCTGTCACGGCCAAGCTTTCTGTGGCGTGTGCACTGAAGGCACATGCACGTTGGCTCATGACAGGAACACCGACGCCGACGACGCTCAAAGGCGCGGGGACGGCACATTTGCAACCGCTGCTCGGATTTCTACGTCAGCCTCCTTACGGGACGAGTGCGGGGCTTTGGACTACTGCGGTGCAGCGTCCACTTGAAGGTAGAGACCGTTTCGCTCAGGCGGATGCCGTTGTGCGTCTCGGTGACGTTCTGCGGCGATGCATGGTGAGAACGTGCAAGTCGCACATCGAGCTGCCGCCGCTCAAGCGCACGACGTCAATGCTGCAATTCAGCGATGTACACGCCGATTCATACAATGATCTCGTCGCGTTCGTCAAACGTAATTTACTTTTGGCAGATTGGGGCGACCCCAACCACACAGAGTCTTTGCTGAATCCCAAAAACGTTCGAGAAGCGGCAGCGACGGTGACCAACCTCCGCGAAGCCGCGTGTGTCGTCGGCCAGATGCCGATCACGTGCTCTTCTGATGAATTCGATGAGACGATTCTCGCTTTGATGCAACTTCTAAAAGAGCGAGGTTTTGGCGATGAAGAACGCAAGGCACGCGTGAGACGCGTCTCGCCCATGTTGATGCAGTGCAAAGGGACATGCGATTTGTGCTTGCACAAAGTCTTGATGCCGCTCGTCACTCCTTGCGCGCACATCTTGTGCTGCGGTTGCGTCATGCGCGGTCCTCCGAAAGGCAAAACGTTGAATGGCAAGGACGTCGAAGATGAGAGAGTGAACGAACCAGAGCTCCCACCGGGGGTGCACCGTGCGCCGCGAGGATGTCCTGTGTGTGGATCGGCCTACTTCATGGAGGAGGACCATGACAACAACTTGAATCCAGTGCAAGAAGTTCCGAAGGATTTGATCGAGCTTCAGCCAAAGCTCGAACAACACTCGTGGAAAGTCGACGAGAGTCGGGGCGGTGACGGTGTGTACGCGCAGGGTGAAAGTTCTAAAGTGGATCATTTGCTCGCCGAACTGCGAAAGATAGGCGCCGCCGTGAGCGCGGAAATCGTCAAGCAACAAGACGATCGTGACGCGTTCTTCGCTCGTGAAGCGAACGGGATGTCGGAAAACACGCCGGGTTGGAGTGGTCGATTAAACGCAAACGCACAGGCGCGCGAAGGAACGACGCAACAAGGTAGACGCCGCAAACGTATGCTGGACGCAGCGACGCCGCTCAGGCTGCGAGACTTCACCCCAACCGCGCCGCCACCGAAAAAGTGCATCATCTATAGCGATTTTCGTCCACATTTGGACACGATTGATCTAGCACTTTATGGTGCGCGCGTTCCTCACGAAAGCATAACGAGAATCGGGCAAAGTCGATACGATCGCGAGCAAGCGCTCAAGAATTTCAAAAACGATCCCGACTGCGCCGTTTTGCTTCTAAACCGCGCCGCCGCTGAAGGCTTGGATCTATCGTTTGTTTCGTACGTATTCCTCATGGAGCCGCTTTCGAATATGTCGCTCGAACAGCAGGTCATTTCGCGAGCGCACCGCATGGGCCAAAAAGACACCGTCCGCGTGAAAGTTTTCGCCATGGCGAACACCGCGGAGGAAATCATGTTGGACGTACAATCGGAGCTCGCGCGCAATGGCACAAAGATGTCTCTAGATTCGCTCGACGCGACGACGAGACACGACGTCACAGAAGATTCTGAAGCTGACGTGGCGCCAACAGTGGTGGCAGAATCGCTTTCGCGTCGACGCATTCTCGAACGTCTCGAGCTCGTCCCGTCGAAGAGCTCGGACGAAGCTGCGGCGAGAAAAGCCAAGGCGGTGACTGATCACTTCGAGCGCATTCGAAACGGCGGCGACGGGCGCGTGCTTGGAAATGGAAAGAAGAAAGGCGAAGAAGAAGAGGCGCGCTGGATGCGCGAGGCACTTGAGGCGAGCGCGCGAGAATTGGAAGCGCGCGCTAGTGACGGGGGCGTTCTCGGCATCGGGAGTCCCCAATCGGGAGTCCCCAATCGGGAAGAAATCGCTGAAGACGATGAATCCGAGGCGTGGACCATGCGCGTTCGCGACCCTAACGATGGAGGCGCTGTGAAAGACTTTACATTGCCGAATGCGGGCAAGACGACGGTGAGCGCGATGCGCGCGCGCATTTCTTCAAGGATTGGCGCGAGTATTGATGCCTTCGTCGTTCGGTGCGGTTTCCCGCCGCGCGCGCTCACCGACCGTGATCTCTGCACGCCAATCGCGCTGCTTGGGATTCAAGCGAATGATTTGATCAATCTTCAGGCGGAGAACGCTCCGGATATGCATCAAGCCGACGCGACGATCGTGACGACCAGGGCGAAACCAAAGTTGACGAAAGCAGCTCGCGCGAAGGCGTTGGATACGTCTGTTTTGGATGCCAAGGTGCAGAGACGGCTCAAAACCGTACTCAAGCAATCCGAGACGAGTACGGAGATGATGTTACAAGATCCAGACGAGGATCCTCGAGGCGCTGGCGCCGGTGGTGGCGCCGCCGGCGCGATGTCCATCGATCTCCTTCGCGCCGCCGAGGGCGGTAAGCGCGCCGTGAACGACGCTTCGATTCGTTCGCTTCAGACAGCTTTCCAAGCCATGGTGGAGGAACGCGCTAAGGAGTCCGAAGGTAACATGAAATGTGGTGCCGCGCGTTCCGGTGCCGTCGAATACTCGACGCTCGCCGACGGTCGATTGGTGGTAAAATACGAAGCCGTCGACATCTCCACCGGACGTCGCCAGAAGAAAACTGACTGCGTTCAGGACATCCCGGCCGCCATGCTCCCCATCGTTCTCGCCCTCGTCGCCGCCGACGCCGACACCAACGCCGCCGCGCGCGCCAATCTCTCTCCTCCCTCCATGGCCGTCGCCTCCCCTCGCGTGTTTTGGGCCGTCGTCCGCCACGGCGGCGTCGGACCGCATCTCTCGTTTCCGGACGCTTTGAAGAAAATCGCGCCGAAGCTCAAATTCGATTGGCACGCCATCGACGCCCGCGAGCGTCGCGCCAATCCACGATACGCCGATTACGACACGTCTCATTAGCTTTTAATCCCATCGACCGACCCACCGCCGACGGCGCCAACCGCCCGGCGTCACAATTCGCCCTGAACGCATGCCCGACCCCATCCGCACCGCGCGCGTCGCGAGCGGCTCGGACGCCGACGCCGCGCCCGATGGCGTCAACGCCGACGCGAGCGCGTCGCTCGAGCGCGCGCTCGCGCTCGAGCGCGCGAAAACGACGACGCTCGAGGAAGAATTACGACGCGTGCGCTCGAGCGCGGAAAAACTCGCGCAGACGGTCGAAGCGGAGGAGGAGTTCCTCGTGCGCACGCTGAATAAAAAGCTCGACGCTCTCACGCACGAGAACGCGACGCTGACGCACGCGATGCGGACGCAACGCGTGGACGACGCGCTGGAACGGCGCCTGCGAACGCTGCAAGAGGAAAAGGTGCAGATGGAAAACGCGTTGGAACGCGAACAAGAGTGCATGATGCACCGCCTGACGTCGGTGTTGGAAAATTTGGGACGGGAGAATCAAAGCGTGAGCAAAGAACGGGATCGGTTGAGCTTTGAGACGGCGCGATTGAGGGAGGAGAAGGTGCGAATGGAAAACGCGTTGGAGAGCGAGGAGGAACACATCGTGAACTTGCTGCAAGGACAGATATCGCTGCTGCTGAAGAGGAACAGGGCGCTGGAGAGACAGGTGAGAGCGCTGGGGGGGATGGTGAGCGATAGCGATTACGTCAGCGACGATCCCGTGATGTCGCCCAAACGCGCGTCCGGGCAATTCGCCTTCGGGTCGGCGAGAGACGCGTTCGCGAATCGTAAGACGCGCCCCGCGGGGTCGTCCGTGCCGACGTCGCCTTTCGAGAGCGATCGTTCCATGAGTCCGTCGCGTCGAGGCGTCGAAGCGCGTCGAACGTCGAACGCGTCGGCGAGATCGATAAGTTCCGAGTCGCGCTCGCCTCGAACCAGCGTCGACAGAACCTCGTAGAAACGCCGAAAAGGCGCGAAATTCTCGCAGTTTTGTTTGTATTGTTGTACCATAAATTACACCCAGCGACGATCGCACCTTTCGAACCATCCGAATCGCGCGCGTCATCGCTTCCGAGCCATCGCGAGCGCCGCGAACGGATTCCCGCTCGCGTACTTCGGCGCCGTCGCCTCGCTCGTCTTCGCGCCGTCGCGCTTCTTCGACACCCCCGCGCGCACCGTCGACGCCGCGCGCACCGCGTACGACTCCTTCTTCTTCGCCTTACCCTTATTCTTCTTCTTCCCGCTCTGCAACGCTCGATCCAACGCGCTCGTCGTCGTCGTCGTCGTCGTCTCCGTCTCCGTCGTCTCCGTCGTCTCCGTCGTCGTCGTCTCCGCTCGCGCGTCCGCCCCGTTCGCCTCTCCCCACTCCGCGCGCGCCCGCGCCCGTTCCTTCGCCCGGCGCTTACACCGTTTCATCCATCGCATCCCCTGCGCCTGCGGCGCCTTCGCCTTCATCCCGTCGTTCGTCCTCGCGTTCGCCGTCGCCGTCGCTCGCCGTCGCTCACGCCGCGTTCGCCCTGAGACACCGCTCGAGGTGCCACGCGAACCTTCGCGCGCCGACCCCCCGTCCGCACTTCGGGCACGTCACCGTCACCGTCGCGTGCCCCCCCTCGCGCTCCCGCGCCTCGCGCGCGTCCTCGCGCCGTCGCTTCGTCGCCTCGCGCGTCGCCTCGCGCGTCGCCTCCACCACCGCCTCCGCGCCCGCGTCGTCGCTCACGACGCGCGCCGCGGCGTCGAGCGCGTCGCGAACGATCGTCCCTTGTCGTTCGTACCGCGCGACGAGCTCGGCGATGGTTCGCTCGCGTTTGCGCGTCGACATCGGCGCGCAGTGCGGTCGATGATTCATTCGCGCGTCCGCGCGCGACGACGCGACAGCGCGACGCGCGCGATGGCGCGATCGATGGCGCGATCGTACGTACGCGCGTCGATGCCCCGCGCGGCGCGTCGTCGCGTGCGCGCGCGCGCGTCGAAGAGCTCGAAGGGTGGGCGGTTTCCACCGACGGCGATCGTCGACGCGCGCCACGACGAGTTCGCGCGCGCGCGCGACCGCGTGCGAATGAACGACCGCGAACGCGCGTGCGACGACGACGTGTTAGCGATCTGGGCGCTGTCGTCGCGCGAGGGCGCGGCGGCGTGCGCGAGGCTGTGGGCGAGGGACGACGCGGGCGGGACGACGACGAAGCGCGAGACGACGACGACGACGACGCCGAGGATCGTGCTGACGCACAAGAACGAGAATCTGTACAACGCGTACGCGTGCGAAGTGGCGGCGGTGACGAGGCCGGCGGCGCGGGCGATGGAGGCGGGGATGTTCGCGGCGGCGAACGGCGGCGACGGGACGACGCGGGCGTGCGCGGGGACGCGGGCGGAGATCATGCCGTTGGCGTGCGCGGCGAGCGCGGAGGAGCTGCTGGAGACGGTCGAGGGAATGAGAGTGCGCGTGGAGACGCGCGCGGTGGCGTTTTATCACGACTGCGTGGCGAGGAACGCGAGGAGGATGTCGAGCGACGAGGTGTCGAGGCGATTTCGCGGCGTCGTGGCGCGATGGAGCGCGCGCGGGCTCGACGATTCGCGAGACGAGCGGTCGAACGCGATGCGATTCGCGGTGGTGGAGGGTTTGGGGGGGTACGTGTTCGGTTTGGTGACGTACGCGCCGTCGCCGTCGAGCCCGAGCGCGCGCGCGGTGGATTGGGCGAGAAAGCCGCGGCATTTCAGCGCGGGGACGCGCGCGGAAATCGCGCTCGCGTGCGTCAACGTCGCCTCAGCGCACGACCCGCGCGCGTTCGACGCTCGAAGCGGTGACAGCGTCATCGTCGATCCGTGTTGTGGGTCGGGAACGATGCTCCACGCGGCGTGGACGCGTGGGTTCGCCGCGGCGGGCGGCGACGTGTCGCCGGGCGCCGTCGTCATGGCCAAGCAAAATCTCAGCCACTTTGTCGCGCGCGCGCCCGAGTCATCGGCGATGCCGAACGTGATCGAGCGCGACGCTTTGGTTCCTGGTGCTTTTGACGATGCGTACGGGTGCAAAGGTAAGCGCGTGCGCGCGCTCGTCGCGAATTTACCGTTCGGTCGCCGCGTCGCGCTCGGCGGCGGCGACGGCGACGGGAGAAGCGCGCCGGGCGCGAGCGCGTCCGAGTACGCGCCCGCGCTTGAAAAGTTTCGCGACGTCGCCGAGAGGCACGTCTTCATCAGCGGTGTTCCCATCGCGCACGAAATGCGCGCTTTGGGGTACGAGAACGTCACCGAGGTGAGCTTGTGCAGATTCGGTAAATCGTTCATGACGACGGCGCTCGGATCGACGGCGACGGCGCCGCTCGAGCCGAGCGTCGCGTTCACCGTCGAAGACGCGCTCGCGAACGCCGCGGGCAAGAGCGAGAAGCAATGGGAAAAGAAGTCGAAGAAGAAGTCCAACGTCGAACTATCGGAACGGTTTAGTAACCCGGACGCCTTGCGCGTGGCCGTGGACGTCTCGTACGAGCAAGATTCCACGCGAGCGAGACGCAGCGTGGCGAAGCAGCTCTGCGAGTGCGTCGGCATCGCGCACCGCGAAGACGCACTCGCGATGACGTATTGTGACTTCAGCGGTCCCATCGCGGAAGAGTCGCGAGAGTTTTTCTTCAGCGATCGATGGTCTTCGGTGAAGATGGACCCGCGAAGCGTTGAGGAGGCGTTCGACGCGCGCGACGTCGTGTACATGTCGCCGGACGCTTCCGAGGTTTTGGATGAAGTGGACGCGAGTAAGGTGTACGTGGTCGGAGGCATCGTCGATTTAGCGACGCGAGGGATGCGGACGAGCCTGACGCGAGCGAACGCGAGTTCGTTTCGATGCGCGCGATTACCCATTCGCGAACACAGGCCCGAGCAAACGCACACCGTCCTCAACATCGACGCCGTGGTGAAAATTCTTTGTGGACGGCATCGTGGAGAGTCGTGGGACGACGTTTTCGATCGCGAGCTCCCGAAGCGACAGGCGGCGGAGAGACCGAAGCGCGAGCGCCGCGAACGACTCGCGTAAACGTAGCACGTACAGTAGCGTTTAGCTTAGCATCATTTTGTCGCCGTCTCTAATTCACACTAGTAGTCTAATCTAATCATTTCGTGTCCTTCGCGCGCGCCAGAAATGTCTGCAGCGAGTGCAATCTCGCGTCGATTTCATCGAGCATTTCGTCCCCGGCGTCGACGAAGGAGCGTCGCGGCGGCGACGCGACGACGCGGCGGCCGACGACCGGCGCCGCCGCGATCGCCGCGCCACCTCGCGTGCGCTGTATCGACTTCAACGTCGCCCCGAGATCGCGCACTTTAACCTTCAATTTCGTTTCGTTCTCGCGCAACGCTTCGTTTTCCGCCTCGAGCTCGACGATTTTCGCCTTCGTCTTCGCCTCCGCCGCCTGCGCCTTCAACGCCGCCCTGGTCTGCGCCTTCGCTCGTCGCTCCAACGCGCGCCGCATCTCATCGCGCTCCCGCGTCGTGGCCCTCAACGCATCCCTCAGCCGCGCCGCCGCGTCCTCGTTCGCTTTCGTCTCGTCCCTCCCCGACCGCGCCGCCGCCGCCGCGATTCGCGCGTCGACGCGGTCCAGCGGCAACGGCACGCGCGTCCGCGTCCCATCCTCCGCGATCTCCGTCGCGATCAACACGTACCGCGTCTCGACGCCATCGTCGTCGTCCGCGTCTTGCCCGTCCCGCAACCGCCGCAGCGTCTTTTCGCTCATCGCGTCCGCCGCGCTCGCGTCGTCGCCGCCGTCCATCCCTCGTCGCAGCGCCCGCGCCAACCGCCCCACCGCCTCCGCCTCCGCCTCCGACCGCGCGCGACGCTCGCCGTCGACGATTCGAAGTCGATCGAAAGTCGCCGCGCGCGCGCGGTTCGCGACGCGCTCGATCCACGCGCCGTCGAACGCGCCCGCGTACCGCGTCGTCGTCGCGCGCGCGCGGTCGGTGCGACGCAGCGCGACGTCGAGCGCGCGCGCCTCGGCGTCGTGCCGCACGCGCGCGTCGAAGACGAGACCGCGTCGCTCGAACCGGTGCGTCGTCGTCGTCGTCGCGCCGTCGCCCATCGACGCCGCCGCGTCGCGCGCGCGAGTGACGATTCGAATCATCGCGCCCGCGGAGTGAAGTCGTAAAAATTTGTTTTCATGGAAATTATAATCAAAATTCGTCGTTCGTGATGATCTCGGGAACGACCGCTTCGGTGGTGTTGTGCCGTCGTTTACACCACCGCGCCGTACGGCGGGTGTCGACGGGCGACAAAGGAGAGTGGAGATTTTTCCTTGTCCTCGACGCGCGGCGCGCGACGGAAAACGCCGACGACGACGGCGAAGACGGCGACGAGGCAGCACCCCGCGAGAACCCACGTGCCGGGCATCGATGTGATTGGAACGTCAAATGCACTCGTTGGCACATCGCCCGTTTCCTCAGTCGACCGTTTCTTCGCGCCTAGACCGAAGCGCGCGAGGGACAGCTTTTGAGAAGACGCGCAGTTCGCGTCCATGACGAAGGTAAACGGCGCGGCGGCGTTCCCGGCTTCGTCACGAACACCGCTCACTTCGACGGCGTACTGACCCACTTCAGTGTTAGGAAATCCAACCATCCACTTGAAGCCAACCTCGTTATTGGAGCATTGGAAGTCAAAGCCTGACTTGATTGCGTCTTCGCTCACGGCTTGATTGACGCTTTGCCCGTCGTCTCCGCAGGATGCGCGTTTCTTCGTGATGGCAACTTTTTGATCCGAGCAGTCGATCGCTTCGGGGAACTCGACAGTGTAAAATCGCTTGAACGAAGGATACGACCTGCCGGGAATCGGCGTCTTGGTGTCCACTCTGAGCGTGAGGATTTGATCAGAGACGTACTCGTGAACGGTGCTGTCCGCCAAGGCGCTGATCGGACGACTTTCCGTGCCAAAGCAAAAGTTCTTCAATCTCAACTCGTAAATGTTATCCTTAAAGCCACTGAGAAGCTTTTCGTACTGGTTATTGACGTCCCAGTCAAAAGTGCAACCACCGAGACGTGACCCGTCGCATAACAGGTTTTTCTTGTAACTGAACTTTGGATCGCTGTCTTCAGACTTTGCCGTGATCCATTCGCCGCCGCTCGCGGGACGATATTGCAACCGAACGAATCGAAGATTCGGGTTGATAGCTCGGACGTCATCCGAAGAGCCAGGCCATAACAAAGCTCCGTCCGGATTGAAGACGGTCAACTTGAGTGGCTTGGGCGTGGCAGATGAGACGCTCGAGAACAAGTAATCCGCCACTGTGGAACCGTCGAAGGCGACTTTCGGACACTTTTGATTCCACGTCATCAATCCTAGCGGAAGAGTGTTCGTGCTGATCGGTTCTCGACCGAACTTTGACATTAGGCTGATTTCGTGTTCGCATAAACTCATGACGACGACGGCGACGTGCTCCAGTCGAAGACTCGACGGGCTCGCAGCCGTCACGGTAAGCGCGAAAGACGTCTCAAGTACCTTCTTCTGAACTTTCAAATCTTCACCGTCCACAAATTTTAGAGGTAATACGTCGCCAAAGTATACTTCCTCTCCACCCATACTGAACTCGATGTTCTGCAAGTCTTCAAACGTTGGTGGAGCTCTCCGCGAGGCTTGTACAACCACCGCTGCGACGTCCACTGCTGTCGCCGAGTGTTCTTCCACGGCCACTCGCGCGTTTTCTTTCATTGTTTTGATGACGTCGGCATCTTTCCCGATAGCGAGCGACGCGATCGAATTATCGACGGCTTTCAAAACGTCCAACCCTGTCACGTCTTCCTTGGCCAGCGTTTCGTACATGTCCTGAATCACTTTGTGGACCGACATCACGAGACCGTCAACAATGCGCATTCCGAGCGGAAACGTTTCCTTGTACGGCGACTCGTTGGTCAATTTCAAGTGTAACAAAGCACTTTCATCAGGATTCAGATTTTCGTTAAACGAAGTTTCTTTGGATAAGGAAAAGCCCGCCTGTCGAAACATCGTCAAAGGTTCACCGGGACACGAGCTTCTGCCACCCTTTGTGATGAACACCGGCGTACCAAAGCGCACGTCTTCTCCAACCTGCACGACAAACTTATCTCCGAGTTGAGCGTCACCTAGACTGTACAACGTTTTCAGAGAGGCGTGTCTGTTCCAAGCGAACGTTCGATCTTCAGCGAATGACTTTTTGAAGGTATAGACAGCCTCATCGTCCACCCCGCCGAGCGCCATGGCAAGTTGAACGGTCGAGCCGAGCAAGCCTCCGAGTTTGAGTTTGTATTTGTTGGACTGCTTTGCTGACAGTTGAACACCGAGGCTGGTGTGAAGATCTGCAATCTTTTCATTCGAAGAAAATGAATAATCTGCGGTGTGACCACCGCCGCCGAACGTCAATAATAACGTCCCCTTGTCGGGTACACCGTCTGTAGCGTTCACGTTCGTCGTCACATTCATACCCGTAGCAGCTTGTCCACCCGTGAAGGACGCCACGACCCTCCGCGACACATCAGGTGCGTCATTTGTGTTCCAAAGTAAGTAGTCTTCGCCGAAAGATGTGTTGCTCATCGACAGCGTTTCGACTCTGATATCATCGCGATTGCACTCTCTCCCGGCACAACTTTTAAATTGTCGCAACAAATCGTTCGTCGCCGAACTGAACATCCCCCACGTATAGGCTCCTCGCATCCCGTCTTCATCTTTGGCTTGGTCTTCTTTTGTGAGCACTCCAGAATCATCGTCGAAGAAGTTTTCTTCAAATGCCGGTATGCCATCCTCGTAATACTTGCGTGGATAGGCGGCATACTTGTAGCCCATCTGATCCATCGCCGGGCCAGCTGCGACTGCGCCCGCTACCGCCGCGCTGAGCAAGATGGCGCCCGCAACTTGTCCGGCTGTGGTCTTGGCCGCCTTTGTGGCCATGTTCTTGGCCGCCGTGAGCTTTTGGGCGGATCTCGTGATGAATCCCGGCGGTGGTTTCTTTGCAAGACTTTTCCATTTAGAGGCCGCCTTTAATAGCCTTTGCTTAGCAGCATACGATTTACTTATCTTAGCAGCAGCGGCGGCAGCCGCCTTGCGACGGGCGGCGAGTTTCTTCGGCGCGTCTAAATTCTTCGTCACCGTGTCGATGATGCCTCCGGTATTGACAATGGCATCCAAGGAGGCAAAAGCGGCGATTCTCGCGTCAGAATCCGTCCGAGGTGTAATCCCACGGATTCTACTGTACGTAGCTGTGTCGCCTTTACCATACTCCCAGTACCGCGAATCAAGCATCCAATCCACGCCACCAATTACTCTCGGGTCGTCAAAAAACGGTGGTGGGCCGATACCGTTGAAAGGCATCATGAAGAAACTTGAATCCCAAGCACTGCCGACCTCTTCGATAATATCCTTAATCGGTCTGGCGTACGCCTTCTTGAATTGTTCCACCTGGACTTTGTAGTTCGTGTGCATAAAACCACCATCAGACGCCGGTTTTGTGATTCTCTCGATGGCTTCGTAAAACTTCGTCTTCACACCACCCTCATCGATGGTGAACACTTTCGGAGAAGACCATTCAAGTGTTCGACGCCAAAGGTCAATCTTGTTGTCGAGATATTGCATCCAAGCTTCGATTTGATCCTCTTTCGTGCACTTGGTCATTTCTTTACTCGTCGCGCCGGAAGCGCAGTCATAAAACATTTCCGACCCGTCTGCTTCGATGCCACCTTCCTGCACCAACGTTCGCAAGTAGTACAGATTAGGCATGACTTGTGTCTCGATCGACGCGACGCTCATGATGTACGACGTCGGCTTTCGCGGTAACCACGTGATTTCGCCATACACGTACAAGCAAGGCTTTTTGAGTGTTCGAACATCGTTTACGACATCCAAGATGTCCGATATTTTGTACACGAGCTCGATACCACCGCCGAGAATGACATCGCCTGCTCTCCCAGGAGTACCTGCGTCCTTGCTCGAACGAATCGTTCGTTCTGTCGTGGTTTCGAGACTCCACCCCTTGTCTTCTTTGCTCGTTATACGCATCGTTGGACCATCCGTTTTAGTTTTGAACTCGCCTTTTGACGAGATCAAATGCAGGTCCGTCGACAAAGAACCTTCGGCGATCCATCCGGCGTTGAAACCAACATCGACGGACTTATCGATTTCGGGAAGTTGTTTCTTCGACGCCCCACCTTTGCCCTCGCTCGCCATACGTTTCCCAACCAAGTCAAACTGAAGTCCAATTTGAGAGCCCGTCGATAATTCCGCGTACGAGAGACCACCGGGTGGATCGTGCACGACGGTGTAGACCAAACCCTCCAAAGGCACAGTCGCCCAGTAGACATCGTCACTGTCCGGTCCGAAGAGCCCTTCTCCTCGAGGTTTCGAGCCCAGAGGTATGAGCTCACGCTTTGCGTACGCGGTGACGAGTTTGTACGTATCGAAGCGCTTGATGGTGAATTCCACAGTTCGTCGATGATTACCGGCGAGATTAGGCGTACCAGC